TGAGTCCGTGCGTATCACAGAAGCGATCTTCGTTGGATTACTGTGGTGAGGGAGGCCACAATCAATGCCTGGAGAAGTGCCACAGGTTCATTCGTACCTACTTAAGCATGTCAGAATGAGACCTGTGAGGGGGCAGGTGTGGGAAAAACTGGGTGGCAGCAGCATTCCTCTCCCTGGGAACTTTGATGGGGGGGGGCGGATGAGGTGAGAGCATGACTCTCTCTTTAGACACCACTCTGTGCTCATCTCTCTGATGACTCCTATTACTTATAACCTAGCTAGGCATAAACACATTCTGCAAACTTAAAAAAGAAGATTTCTGTTAATAATGAACATTTATAGTATTCAGGTTTGAGGTGTGTGTGTCCCCTGCCCCCCCCCCCATGCATGCTGCTGAGGCAAGCAAAACGGTTCAAATTGCTTTCGTTTTCTCAGACAGCCTTTCCACAGCCCTGTAAAATAGGCCAGTACAGTGGTACCTCGGGTTACATACGCTTCAGGTTACACACTCCACTAAGCCAGAAATAGTGCTTCAGGTTAAGAACTTTGCTTCAGGATAAGAACAGAAATCGTGCTCCGGCGGCATGGCAGCAGCAGGAGGCCCCATTAGCTGAAGTGGTGCTTCAGGTTAAGAACAGTTTCAGGTTAAGAACAGACCTCTGGAACGAATTAAGTACTTAACCCGAGGTACCACTGTACTCTTATTGGTATGTTGCCAGAGTGGGGACATTTCTGAGGCATAGAAACGGCAAGCATAGCTAAAGCCCGCTAGAGAATTCATGGCCGAGTTAAAATTTAAAGCAAAGCCTTCCCAGCGCATATCTTAATCTTCACTTATACACCAGTGTTTCTGTTTTGCAGGGTATTGACACCTGAGGCATCCAATGTTTTCTGAATTAAAATTAGAGGCACATTTCACCAATGGGATTTACTTTTAGAGAGGCCCAGTGGTCAAGAATATGAACAGGACCCTACCAACTGGCTCACAGATTCCAGAGCTAGCAGCCACCCATTCTAGAACCAGGTCTAATTCTAGAACCAGATCGAAAAACAAGCAGCCAGCACTTAACCAGCAATCTAGTCATACAAAAGATGGTGCCATAAATTCACTTACATGACACCACAACATCCCCATTGCAATGGTTTTTATTTTATGGTTGAAAAGATGCTGAAGGTAGCTCAAGCTTTGTTGCCTGAAAGACAAAATCCATCCCATTAAATTTAAGACACTGTTGAGGCTTGGTTGGGGATGAACACTTGCCTCCGTATTCCAAGTTGTTCATTTCCTTGGCCTTTGGTGTTTTGTAGCTTTCAATACACCTCAAGGAAATGAGAGCAATAAAGGAACGTCATAAACCTTCCAACAAGCTGCTAAGAATCAGGTGCTGGTGGGCTTCCTCCCCTCCCCTGAGATGACCTTTTGGTGGCCAGAGCACAGATGCCTCCTAGGAAGGACATCTTTTCCACCCTCCCCCTTCCAAGCCCAGCGTGCTCCAACCACCAACAGCACACCATTGCATACGGAAATTTGCTTCTGCTGGGCAGTGGGGATGAATGGGCACCAGTACAAAGAAGGAAGTCATATGCTCATTCATGCATCAGCTGATGCTTTGATTTCCCTAAAAAGGTAAAGGTAAAGGACCCCTGACAGTTAAGTCCAGTCGCGAACAACTCTGGGGTTGCAGAACTCATCTCGCTTTACTGGCCGAGGGAGCCGGCGTTTGTCCACAGACAATTTTTCTGGGTCATGTGGCCAGCATGACTAAGCCGCTTCTGGTGAAACCAGAGCAGCGCACAGAAACATCATTTACCTTCCTGCTGGAGTGGTACCTATTTATCTACTTGCACTTTGACGTGCTTTCAAACTGCTAGGTTGGCAGGAGCCGGACCAAGCAATGGAAGCTCACCCCGTCGCAGGGATTCGAACCGCTGACCTTCCGATTGGCAAGCCTTAGGCTCAGTGGTTTAGACCACAGCGCCACCCTGCGTCCCATTGATTTCCTTACCTGAGGACAAAAGGCTACATAGCTTGTAGGTTATGGAACTGACCCTGAAACTGACCCCAGAGACCCTTAACAAACTGCAGTGTCCAGAATCGATTGAGGGAAATAATATGTTTGAATGTCCTGTAAAGGTAGAGGGTGAGAGTCACCTAATGAGTCCTTTCAGCAGAAACCCTGCATATGGAGATTTGTTTGTGAAATGGAGTGTCCTCCCTTCTCTTCCCCGCTGTCCCCTGCCTGTGTGTTCCCCCAAAATGGCTCTGGGAGGGTCAGGAGAACCCCCAGAAAAGCATGCTGGGATGGAGTCTCAGAGAGGAGGGACTGTTCCATCTGGCAAGTTGAACCACTTGCGCTGACAGAACATTCAATAATAACACAACACTGAATTGCTCCCATAGGGTGTGCACAATCTCAAAAAGCACTTTTCAGACAAAAGATGTGCAATAGCTCTAGACCGTGTGGATTACAGGCAACTACCCATTTGCATGGGGGTTGCGTTCTGGGTCTTCATGCCTGTTGGCGGACCCTGTTCCCCTCACCCCACCTGCCCCCATCTTGTTCCACCCCCTTTATGGGCCACTTCCAGCTCCACAGAGATGAGTGTGTGACGGTCACACCTCAGTCAGATGTACGTAAAATAGTCGCTACCTGTACATTTAAAAACACACACCAGCATTCAGACTCCATTGATTCTAGACTAAAATGTGTGTATGCAGAATCAAGTGTCTGGAGTGAGAAGCAACTGCTGTCCTTTTCAGCTGTGCCCCAGATTGCAGCCTGCTTATTTTGTTCCATAGAATTCAATGGGGGCCACTGAGTCCCAGGCATGGGCGTAGCCAGGATTTTTGTGGGGGGGGCAGATTTTTGTTAGGGAGGGCAGAACCTCATTTAGTTAAGTATTTTTATTGATTTAGGGGGGCACCTGCCCCCTTGGCTAGGCCCATGGTCCCAAGCCAGCCCCTCTTCCCATAGCTTTTCCCTCAGCCCTTTTCACCACAGTGGTCACTCGAGAGTGCGATGGGTTAATGAATGCCAAGAAGTGATGAGCATGCCTCCTTAATCCAACATCTTCAGCAGCAATCCTAAAAACATGAAGGGGTAAGGCCCATAGAATATACCAGGTCTAATTTCTGAGTAAACACACATCTGTTTGCAGGTTTATTCAAGTGTGGGTCAAGATGAAATGGCGAAGGAGGTACCTTAATAATAAGATGATGAAAGGAACAGTGTGAAACACACTTATTTATTTCCAGAATGTATGAATGTGGGAAGAAAATGCTAATTCCTCACCAAAGCCCTGCAATCATTAAATGCTGAAAATGAAGATATTTACACCCACTGTATTAATGCTGCAAGGGACTTTTTTATGCGTCATTATGACAGGTGGTGGAGGGAGCGAGCCGCATTCCAGTGAGTGAGCCTGTCCCTGGCTATAGTACTGGTGTTAGCCCTCTCACTGGTCAAAGCTGAAGGAGTTAAGGGGCAGAGGGATTAGGAGAGGGAGGCTGGGAAGATGAAACAGGTTTGTAGTACTAAAAGGGTTTTGGAACTGATTCAAGAATTTGGTCAGGTTGCAGGATTTAAACTGAATAAGTTAAAAACAAAGGTTTTAGAGAAAAATTTAACAGCGATTGAGAGAGAGAGGTTTCAGAATGAGACAGGTTTAACAGTGGTTAAGAAAGTGAAATACCTGGGGATTAACATGACAGCAAAAAATGGGAATCTATTCAAAGACAATTATGAAAAATGCTGGGCTGAAGTGAAAAAAGATTTAGAAATTTGGTCAAATTTGAAGCTTTCACTGCTAGGCCGTATTGCTGCGATAAAAATGAATGTATTGCCTAGAATGTTGTTTCTGTTTCAAACATTGCAAATTTTGGACAAAATGGACTGCTTCAAGAAGTGGCAGAGAGATATCTCTAGATTTGTCTGGCAGGGCAAGAAACCTAGAATAAAATTTTAAATACTAACGGATGTAAAGGAAAGAGGTGGATTTGCCCTGCCAGACTTTAAACTTTATTATGAATCAGCAGCTTTTTGCTGGCTGAAAGAATGTCTGCTTCTTGAAAACACAGACATTTTGGATTTAGAAGGTTTTAATAATGTATTTGGATGGCATGCATATTTGTGGTATGATAAGGTCAAAGCACATAAAGCATTTAAAAATCATATTGTCAGGAAAGCATTGTTTAATGTCTGGATTAGATATAAGGACCTACTGGAAAACAAAACCCCAAGGTGACTGTCACCGATGGAAGCGAAAGCTCAGAAAAAGCTCAATATGGAGGCCAAATGGCCGAAATATTGGGAAATTCTGGAACAAGAGGGAGATAGACTGAAACTGCAGAGTTTTGAGAAACTAAAAAACAAAGTGCAAGACTGGCTTCATTATTATCAGATAATGGAGGCATATAATTTGGACAAGAAAATTGGCTTCCAGGTGGAAAAATCAAAATTAGAAACAGAACTGTTTGAACCCAAAACTAAGATTTTGTCAAAGATGTATAACTTGCTGTTGAAATGGAATACTCAGGACGAAACGGTGAAATCTGTTATGATTAAATGGGCACAAGATGTTGGACATAACATAATGATGGCTGACTGGGAACAGTTATGGACCACAGGTATGAAGTTTACGGCATGTAATGCCTTAAGAGAGAATATTATGAAAATGATATACAGGTGGTACATGACACCAGTCAAGCTTGCAAAAATCTATCATCTGCCCGATAATAAATGTTGGAAATGTAAAGAAACCGAAGGTACATTCTTTCACCTTTGGTGGACGTGCCCAAGGATTAAGGCTTTCTGGGAGATGATTTATAATGAAATGAAAAGGGTATTTAAATATACCTTTCTGAAGAAACCAGAGGCCTTTCTCCTGGGCATGGTCGGCCAATTGGTGCCAAAGAAGGACAGAACTTTCTTTATGTATGCCACAACAGCAGCAAGAATACTTATTGCAAAGTATTGGAAGACACAAGATTTACCCACTCTGGAAGAATGACAGATGAAGATGATGGACTATATGGAACTGGCGGAAATGACTGGCAGAATCCGAGACCAGGGAGAAGAGTCGGTGGAAGAAGATTGGAAGAAATTTAAAGACTATTTACAGAAATACTGCAAAATTAATGAATGTTAGAATGATGTCAGAATGAAGTTAAGTGGTTTTAGCAGCAATGTTATAAAGGTGTATGTAAAAATGGATTGTTAACAAGTGAAAATTCAAAGTTATAATATATTAAGTTAAAGGATTAAGACAAAAACAAAGAGGGAAAGGAATTGCTGAATTAACCAATAGAATTGGAATACAAAAAAGGGAGGTGTGAGGAGGTCGGGGAAGCAAGGAAACGAAATGTAAGGCATGGAAAGACTGATGTGTTTTTTTAAGTGTTTTTTATCTTTTTTCTGTATTTTTTTTCTTTTTTATTTATTTCTTTTTTTCTTCCTTTTTTATTTATGTAATCTTTTCTTTGAAACTTTAATAAATATCATTAAAAAAAAAATGAAATCAAACAGAAACAGAAAGAAACTAGAAGACCAAAGAAGAATTAATCATAATCAAAGAGGGACAGTCATTTGTGGACAAAAGATGGACTTTGAGAAAGTCCCCAAAAGAAAGCTCAGCCAAGCAAAATCTAAACTTAAAAATTCAGAAAAATACCAAGATGAAGATTTTAAGGATAATCACCAAAACAAAAAACACCACATGACAACTAGAGAAGCCAAGAGAAAATGAAGGAATAGGAAGGGAATAAATCAAGTTTTGCTTACTTTTCAAACTAACTAGTCTTTGGATGTAAAAGGAGCACATGAAAGCACATAGATGGGTATGAAGTTTGCTTGAAGCACAGTGAAAAATAGGTAGCAGAAATGGAAAGTTTTTCTTTTAAAAGGCAACTAGAGAAGCCATCTGATGTTAGGAAAAGTGTGAAGTTTTCATTGCTGAAGCTAGAAAAGCCAAGATTGGAAAGACTTTAGCAGAGCAAAGACTTAGAAGCAAGAAGTGTTGGTGGATCTAGGCTGATGAAGTGTAGCTGGTAACACAATAACTGAAAGCCCTCTGAAATGTTCTTAGTACATGTAATACTTGGATAATAAGTTTTTTACTGAAGCCAAAAATAGGAGAGATGAGAAGGGAGGGATTTTGGGAGCATACTGACTTCTTGTCTCTTTCTAGAAAGTCTGGAAAGTTCTTCTGTGTACCACCTTCCTGAGGTTATTATAATAATATTATAATAATTTATTATTTATACCCTGCCCATCTGGCTGGGTTTCCCCAGCCACTCTGGGCTGCTCCCAAATATTTAATATTTAATTAAAAAAAAAAATACTATAAGTCCTTTGTTTTTCATCTAGCCCTGAGAGTGGCATCTAGCACCTGTAACCCTCACTTAGAATGCATGTGCCAAGATTTCGGTGGATAGCAAGTGCCGCAGGTAGCAGCAGCAGCAGAAGCAGCAGCAGCAAAACACACTTGTCACGGGTCAGAATATTTTACCTAATTGGAATCTATGGGGTGATGTGTTGATTCCAGTGTGGAAAAGCAAAGAAGGCATTTTGAGGATGAAGCTGCGGGGGGGGGGGGGAGATAAGGTAGAAAAGGCATTTATCCTGCAATATCAGGTGTAATTTGGACCATAATTTGGATCTGGAAATAGAGTCAAAGGCCGATTTCAGGTCCATAAAGGCCACAAATAGTTTTCCCTATAGAGGTCTAGTCTACTTCTCAGCTAGGAGGGACAGCGCTAGGCAATGGTCTGATGTTGCGTGATTCTTGTGAAAGGCAGCCTGAGCTTCAGATATTATGTCATTCAGAAAAGTTGTCAGTTTGATACAGAGAAAGCGGGCATACAGCTTTCCTATTATACAGAGCAAACTGATATGCCTATAATTAGAAGGCATGTTTGACTGGCCTTTCTTAAAAATTGGGACAACTATTGCATGTTTCCAACTGATCAGTACTTTGCCTGAATTGTTAACTGCTGTAACAAGTGCCGCAAGAAGAGGGGCCCACCAGTGCTGGTTTGATGTAATCAACTCAGCTGGAATAAAGTCGTTTCCTGGGGCCTTGCCACTCTTCAGATTCCTAATTAATGTGTAGGCGTCCATCAACCGGGTTCCATCATGGCAGCAATGACATTTCTGCGGAGTCTTCATCATAAAAGCAGGGGGAGGAGTTCAAATTGTCTGTAAATATTTTTCTGAAATGGTTTTCCCATACTTGGGCTGGGATGGCACAGCTAGGGGCTGGGGAACTGTTACTTAGCGTACCGGATACCAACTGCCAGAAGAGTTTGACTTCGTTATTGTCAGGGAACCGCCATCAGTGCCGGAGGGAGAGAGCAAAAGCCAGAGGGATTCCAGAGAGCGTCCAGGGATCGGGAGGAGCAGCCCATCTTCTGGGGAAGAGAATCAGCGTAGCACCAGTGGAGAAGGGGGGCAGATGGGGGAAGCGGCGAGGCGGTCCCATGACTCCTTGCCTGGGACCAGCGGGGAGAGTAGGGGTCCTCCGCTGCCCACGCCCTCCTTGCGCAGAAGGCTTTCGCACAGAGAGAGTAGGAGGAGACTAGGCGTCAAAGAGCTTCTTTGCTGGAAGAAGTTTAAGAAATGCCCACTGACGGATTCTGCCAGCGATTGAGACAGCCACGGGTGAGTGGCTGTCCGGACAGAAAAGGTTCACTTAGGCAACCCAGCCAGGTGTTTGCACCCAGCCGGGGAGATAAGCACCGGCTTACGCACGAGCAACCCCTACAACCACTACAGTTATTTAGCAAAGCATTCAGTAACAGGGACTAGGAATTTTGTTCAAACTGGCTTTTTTTGTGGCCAAAAGGGTTTTGTACTCTTTTTTGATATTTAAACAAGTTGGAGGTAGATCATTTAAACCAGTGTTTCTATAAGCCAAATAAGAGTCCCTTAAGGCTTTCTTCTTCATGTGGCACTCTTGGTCAAACCAGTTGCTCCTTTAACAATGTGGGGCTTGCTGGCTAGATTTGTGTTCGCTAAGACCACATCCTGCAAGTACTCAATGAGATTTTCGTAAGCCGCCAGGGAAGAATCTGTTGAAAGAGCATTAATTATAGTTGGTCTTAAACTAATTGCAGTTTGCGAATTCAGTCTGGTCTCGGCTAAGATAGCTAGCTCAGGGGTCCATTTTTTCCTATGCTTTGCTGACCCTTTAGCTTGACCGTTTATCTCTTGTTCTATGTGTGACCTTTGAGTTTTGGCCTGAGATGGAGAGAATCAGAGGGAGACAATCACTCTCGGTTCTGTTATCAATACTAAAGTTTTTGATTGATTTAAAGGTCTTCCTGTTTGTGAGACAATAGTCTACTGTGCTGGCTCCATTAATATTTATAAATGTAAACTCTCCTTCGCTGCCCAAAGGAAACACCCCATTTATAATCGTAAGGTAAAGACTTACCATATCTGTAAAGAGGCCAGGCAAAAGCCAGCGTAGTTGGTTATGCAGTCTTTGGAGGACCTGTGAGGGAGGGAGCGTAAGGAGGAAGGACTATTTTCCTTGAGTTCTGTTAGCATACGGAATTTAGCTTCCAGGCAGTTGTCGTTGGGGCCTATTCTGCAGTTCAGGTCTCCCATTATATAGAGTGGCGCATCAGGGCACTTGGAGTATATTTTTGGAAATTGCCCCATGTACTCTCAATATGTACTTGCGGTTTGTATGGCGAGATATAAGCTGAAACAAGAATGATACTTTGGGGCCCAGAATGCAAGATGATCCCCAGCACCAAGTGCTTTGAATCTTTAAATTCAATAATCTGTGTTGTCAAGGAAGTGGATACCAGTATTACAAGGGCCTTCCTTGGACGTCCTTTCTCATACAGTTTAGTGGCCTTAATTTCGTGGGCAAAGTAACCTTCCAGGATTATATTGAAAGTTGCCCAGGTTTCCAGCAACATTATCACATTGAAATGTGTTATATACTCGTGAAATGACTCATCCCCTACTTTGTTGGCCCAACCTGCTATGTTCCATGAGATAATATTTAGGCTACTCTCGTCGCCGGCGATTTGGCTTCATTGTGGATGGCAGATTGTAGTCAGCTCTCCCTCTGTCTCAGTTATAACACAACCATTCTTGAGGTGTTTGGAGTGTTGTTCTTTCTGGGGTTGTTTGACAGACTTGTCCAGATTGCCAGCGATCAGCAGTAGCGTTCAGTTGTTTGTGGCTTTCGGGGGATCGGAGTCAAAAGTAATTAAGTCTGTCTCTGGCAGTCTTGGTGTAATGCTTTCCTCGGGTGGGGCAACGCCTGGCAATGGATTATCTGTTTTCTGTGACGATGGTGAGTGGTGGATTTCGAGATCTACCAAAGTCCTGGTGGAAGAACTGATTTTTGACACAGGTGAGTTGGGCAAGCATTATTTGTGTGCTTGGCCATTAAACTCAGAAGGTTTTCTGTCCTGGGGGATGTTTCGGCCAAATTCTCCACCCGGAACCTGCCTTAGTGGCACTGGGGTTTGTGCCTTAAACCTTTGGCAAATGCCCGCTGATGATGAGGGCTTGGATTGATTGAAGTCGGTCCGACTGCACAGACAATTCGGCAGCAAAGGCTTTAATTCTGTGTCTTCAAAAACATGCCTCAAGATAACTATATAATCCTGTAGGCAGGTCTTGTATTTCAGAAGTAGTTTTGGAATAACTGAATCAGTGAATGATAATAAAAGTCTAGAATGTTGAGAGTCCGATGAAAGCAGGTTTACCGCGGTAAGATTGTCGTGCTGGATGTTTAGCAACAGTTTGAAATTTCGCTTTGCACTTGCGATTGAATTCCAGAAAGGGAACAGACCATTAAAAGGGTAACCATCGAGAACTACTTGAGAGCTTTGTAGGATTAGTTTGCTGTTTCCATGTTTGTTATTCTTTCTGTAAGAGGTTTTACGGGTTCTGGCACAAGAACAGCTACACCCCTGAGTTTGAAGATCTTGTTAAGAGCGCTGTGGCCAGACTCTTGGGTGGCAATAGGACTGTTCCGGGTTGCCAACAGCGCCAACTCAGCCAGGAGGGACACTACCTTTTCTAATTTGAGGTTAATTTCCTCTACCATTCTTGCTGTTAACAAACAGTGGTCCACAAGTACAGTACTTCAGCATAAGATGGTACACCCTCAGCTGCTTTCTTTGTTTGTTTGTTTGTTTGTTTGTTTGTTTGTTTGAAATCTCATTTTCTGTAAGATTGGTGGAAGGTGACTGGGGACAAACTAGTGATTCTAGATGTCTCTGTTCTGCCCCTCTAGATTAATGGCTCATCCAGCTTCAAATAAAATGGTGGTCAAAATGGTATTCCATGACTGAAGGACATTTAGGTGAGTATCCCTTGGTTGGCCAGGGAGAAAATCTCTGTTGTGTTCCGTCTGCAACTCATTGTGCTAAGACTCTTTCAGGTTGCAGTGACAGAGTTGTCAGAAGAGGCCCTATTCTGTGTCACCACAATGAGGCTCACCTGCAGGTAGGAGAAGACTTCTTCTTTTGTTCCAGCCCTTCTCTCCTTTTGTTCCAGCTTGTCTTTCCTTCAGGTTTCTCAGAGTATCCCTTGCATGGCTAGGGGGAAATCTCTATTGTGTTCCGTCTGCAACTCATTGGGCTAAGACTCTTTCAGCTGGGATGACTGAGTTGTCAGAAGAGGCCCTGTTCCATGTCATCACGATGAGGCTCACCTGCAGGTAGGAGAAGACTTCTTCTTTTCTTCCAGCTCTTCTTTCCTTCAGACTTCCCAGAGTTCACTGTTCTTGAAGTGAGAGTCACCAGCATTAGGACAGTGCTGCTTTAGGTAAGTTCACATTCTACCACTCAGTCGTCTGTTTTCAAAACAATGTCTTTTGTATTGGTCTCTCCTTTTCCTCATTTTCTTTTCCGCTGGTCTCTCCACAGGTCTCCCCAAAGAGCTCTTCTTAACATCTTAAGGTTTTCTTTTTCCTGAGAGAACATTCACAGAATGTTCTCTCAGGTTTTGCTTTTCCCCTTGTTGCATTGCTCAAAAAAAAAGCAAGAGACACTGGTGGTTGGCGCTCCTGGTTCCCAGGACGGGGTTCAAATCCCTGCGGTGTCCATGCTTACTTCCAATGCAACTGCTATCTCTCTCTATTCCTCTCTATCCCTCTCTCTATCCCTCTCTATCTCTCTCTCTCTATCCCTCTCTATCTCTCTCTGTCTCTCTATCCCTCTCTATCTCTCTCTGTCTCTCTATCCCTCTCTATCTCTCTATACCTCTCTATTCCTCTCTATCTCTCTCTGTCTCTCTATCCCCCTCTCTCTCTCTTTGTCTCTCTATCCCTCTCTACCCCACACTGCCCAAATAACAATTGGCTCCTTTTTTCTTAAGCCCAAGTATTAGCATGGGAGGGTGGTGACTTCAGTGACTGAGCTTGATTCTTAACTCCACCATTGCACCAAAGGACCATTTCAAGCACCACCTTCCTGGCAATGTGCTGTTGCTGGTAAGATGCTCACTTGATGTATCACTGGTTGTGTGTCTAGGTCGGCTGGATCAGGTGGCTGCTTCCCCTCCTAGCGTTTCCAATCACTGGTGTGAGAAGTCTCTCTATGGATCTGGTCTGTCTGCATTCCAGACACTACTGGAGGAGCAATTCTCCCTGCAAAGGTAACAGACAAGGTGGTTTTGTTTTTTTACAATTCATGATCAATAGCTTACCTATCTTCTGTCAGTAAATGGTGGATCATCAAGCAAGGAGAATTGGGAGGAGACCTGGGCAAGGTGTGATGCAGGTGCAGATGCAACTTTGATTACAGGTGTTCTGGCAACTTAGAAAGCTCAGTGTCTATGTTTGCTTGCTTTCAAATTGGCAGGTACAACCAAACTATTGTGCAAGGAGGCCTCTGTTTCAAGGCCAGATGTGATGTGCTTTCTCATAACGGTGAGTCTGTTTTTGGAGGTCACATGGCAAGCCTGTAAATTAAAAATATATTTTTGAAATAAAAAGTGTCAACAGAGAGATTTCCAGTGCAACCCTATGCATGTCTACTCAGGAGTAAACCCACCTGGGTTCAAAGGGACTTATCCCCAGCTAAGTGTGTGTAGGATTGTAGCCTTTATGATGCATCAGACTTGGTCTAAATCTGCTTTTAAGGGGACTTAAAAATACTTGAGTAAATATAGAATGCAAAGATTTTTAATAAACTTGAGGCATGAGCCATCCAAAGGTAAGTAAGCACTTTTGCATCTCATTCGCTTCAGTGAGAGAAAGTCAAGAAGGTGTTTAATTCTTCCATGGACACACACTGCTTACATTGGTCTGGATTGTGCCCTTGCATTTTTCAAATAATTACTGACAAGCCCAGGAAGTCCCCAAGAATGGTGCCATTTAGTCACGATGGAGAATGATTGGCTTTTTAAAAAGCAGGGTAAAGGGAGGTTAACTGTAAGCGTTACAGCAAATGTTCACTTATAGCCCTTGCCATAAAACTAATTAACAACACCATCTAATAATAAATCAGGTTTTAAAATCCTGAGTCCTAGTGTGATCTTCCCGGAGCATCCCTGTGATCCATCATTGGCTCCAGGCGGAGGACAATTGACCTTTCGAGAGACGAAGAGATGAGGCAATCAGGGATGACTATGACAGGAGCGCAGGAAACGGAATCTGAAGCAGAAAATTGCTCTCACCATATTACTAACACATCTAATTTGAGGACATCCTGGCACAATCAAATTCACACAGAGAGACATGCAGGAAGGGGGTAGAAAACTGAGGAAGATCTGGTTGTTTGCGGGAAGACTTCCTGGGGCTCTGTGTGTGTGAGAGAGAGAAATGGACCCACAGGTCTTGGGAGGGGCCAGACCTGGTGATTAAGGATTTGGTATTTTATAGTGCCCCAAACTCCACCCTGGGAGCCAGCAAGGCAGCGGTCCTGTTGGTTATGTGTATCTGCCTGTCTGTCACCCTGGCAACAAGGCCTAGCTCTAACCTTTTCCCCTCTCCTGCCTTCCTAGCTGATAGCTATTCAATCAAACTTAAGTACCCATAAATACTTTGGAGGGAACTAGTCGGATTACTCCAGGAATGTATGTGTATAATTTTATCCTTCCAGGCCTAACTGGTGGTTTAGCACTTGTGATGCTTAATTTTAAGCAAACCTTCATTAGCAAAGAGAATGGAACCCTAATTATTTGGGCACAAGCTAGCAGTTCGAAAGCACATCAAAGTGCAAGTAGATAAATAGGTACCGCTCCAGCGGGAAGGTAAAGGCATTTCCGTGCGCTGCTCTGGTTCGCCAGAAGCGGCTTAGTCATGCTGGACACATGGCCTGGAAGCTGTACGCTGGCTCCCTCGGCCAATAAAGCAAGATGAGCGCCGCAACCCCAGAGTCGTCCGCGACTGGACCTAATGGTCACGTCCCTGCACCTTTACCTTTATACAAATGGAAGACTGGGGAAAACTATGGAAAGTAAATTTAAAATTTACTAATTGTATAATTCTGAAAGAGAATTATATGAAAATGATATATCGATGGTATATAATTGCTAAAATGTATAGAACAAGTTCTAATAAGTGCTGGAAGTGCAAAGAGAAAGAAGGCACTTTCAGGATGAGAACAAAAATTGCACGCCGGCAGCACAGCAGCAGCGGGAGGCCCTATTAGCTAAAGTGTACCTCAGGTTAAGAACAGTTTCAGGTTAAGTACGGACCTCCGGAATGAATTAAGTACTTAACCAGAGGTACCACTGTACAAAACAATGGTACTGTACAGGTAAAGCATGGAATACAGAGTGAATTGAAACACAGAGCTGGGTAACAGGTGTGTGGGAGAAATACTAACCAAGGAACAAGCTGGGAGCATAATTATGAGACCAGGTTGATAAAATAACCCAACACTGCTTGGCCCCAGAAGTTGTATGTGAACTACAATGGTACCTCGGGTTACAGACCCTTCAGGTTACAGACTCTGCTAACCCAGAAATATTACCTCGGGTTAAGAACTTTACTTCAGGATGAGAACAGAAATCGCACAGTGGCGGCAGCGGGAGGCCCCATTAGCTAAAGTGGTACCTCAAGGTTAAGAACAGTTTCAGGTTAAGAACAGACCTCCAGAACGAATTAAGTTCTTAACCCGAGGTACCACTGTAGTATTCTGCTGCAGGTGAGGAGATGTAATACACTGTTAGGCATGTTAAGACTGGAATTGTGGTTCCCCAGTGACCTTTGATGGCCTGAGACTTGCTTTTAAAAGTGTAGCATATTTTATGGAGAAGCGCTGGAGCTGATTCACAACCTGCACAGGAAACCCCAGATCTGCCACAGAGGCTGGAGACTGATCATAGTTAAGAGAGAGAGAGAGAGAGAGAAGGAGAGCACTACAGTTCGGAGCATCATTAACAAACTACAGAGGCATCTGTCGTTATGGTGCACACACAATTAAGTTGCCTCATCCTCACTGTTTTCGGATTTCTCAAAAGGTCTTACCCATTCTGTTTCCGAAAGGTGAGCGTGGGATTAGTATTCACACCACAAACACAGGTACGCCTTCCAAGCCACCTTCAACTTTCATCTCTTCCAAGCAGTTCTGGCTCCCTGGTGACTGTTACCCGTGTGATAACCCTGATTTGTCGTAATCACATTGTGCAATTGTGGGTGTACTCTATATATATATACAGTGGTACCGCAGGTTACATATGCTTCAGGTTACATACGCTTCAGGTTACAGGTTACAGACTCCGCTAACCCAGAAATAGTGCTTCAGGTTAAGAACTTTGCTTCAGGATGAGAACAGAAATCGGGCTCTGGTGGCGCGGCGGCAGCAGGAGGCCCCATTAGCTAAAGTGGTGCTTCAGGTTAAGAACAGTTTCAGGTTAAGAACGGACCTCCGGAACGAATTAAGTACTTAACCCGAGGTACCACTATATATGTGTGTGTGTGTGTGTGTGTGTGTGTGTGTGTGTAGTGAAGATCTTATTTTTCACATTGTAACATTTATTCTGAATCGTTCTTGTGGCCTTTTCTTGAACTGTTTCAAATATTTCCATTCTTGGCATCCCTCCGCCCCCATTTTCCTTTTATATTGCTCAGGAAGTCAGAGTTGCCATCTGGCTAATTTGAAAGCGATTGTTTTTTATGGCCTTACCAGTTGTTGGCTTGCAGGCTGTTTTGGATGCTCAGGTTTGTTTATTTTTCTAGGTTGTTTTTCTTCTCTCTGCGGGTGCCCAGAGAAATCCTAAAAGCACATGAATGTTAAGGTCAGGAGGACAAGACAGTTAAAGGGGACCACACACCATCTTTTCTCTCTAACCCTTTCCTTTTTGAAAACCCAGCTACAAACAGACAATAATAAAACATTGTGATAGGCAAATCCCTGAAAATGAGTCTCACTGGTGCCAACACACGACTATTTATTTTTGTGCTGCCTTAACATCTCTGTCCTGTCTCCTAGATCTAATGTCTTCCCCCAAATGAACAGATATAAATGCAAAACCCAGACAATCCTTAATGAACATAACACAGCAGCCGATCACACAATTATTTATTTATTATTACGTTTATAACCTTCCTTTACTCCCCAAAAATCATCCAGTGGTGCAGAAGTCCCCAAATTAACAGCAAAGTCCCCAAGTTAACTATCCAAGTGGGCTTTCACCTGAAGGAATTCCACAGCAAAAAATGTATTGGCTCTCGCAGTCATCTGTCTTTTCTTAAGATAACAGTAGGGAGCACAGAGTCTCCCCAGCATATCACAGGCCTAGTAGTTAATAAGGTAGAAAACCTGTGTTTAGACTGTACTTTTTCAACTGCAGTTGGGTGTACCCCTCCCTCATGAGGAAAAAAAATATTCTTATGCACAGAAGACAATACAGTGGTACCTCGGGTTAAGTACTTAATTGGTTCCGGAGGTCTGTTCTTAACCTGAAACTGTTCTTAACCTGAAGCACCACTTTAGCTAATGGGGCCTCCTGCTGCTGCCGCGCCGCCGGAGCTCGATTCCTGTTCTCATCCTGAAGCAAAGTTCTTAACCCGAGGTACTATTTCTGGGTTAGCGGAGTCTGTAACCTGAAGCGTATGTAACCTGAAGCGTATGTAACCCGAGGTACCACTCTAGTGTCAGGGAGATGGCTGGTAAGAATCATTCAGCAGATACTGAGTTTTCTATGTGGCGAAACATCCAGTCACATAAGCTGCAACATGCATTCTGAAGTGGCTGCGTCCACTTCAGCCCATCTGGGTTATTGATTGATTGATCGATATGCTGCCCACCTGACTGGGTCGCCCCAACCACTCTAGGTGACTCCCAACAAATTAAAACACAGTAAGATTAAAAAACCTCCCTTTAAAGGGTTGCCTTCAGATGTCTTCTAAAAATCAGATAGTAGTTATTTCCGTAACATCTGACAGGAAGATGTTCCACAGGGTGGGCACGACTACTGAGAATTCCCTCTGTCTGGTGCCCTGTGGACACCTAGTCCACAACAACGTTATAGTCCAGATAGAGGTTTACCACTGCTGGAAGTAGTAGGGCTTAGAGTACAAAGGGACTCTTATCTCAGGGATTCCGAGACTTGGTCTGGGAAACAGGCACTGGCTAAGCTTCTTGTTCCACTTGGGCTGCTAATCAAAGTAGGGAAGTACCAGGCATTTCCTGTGTGCTGTAGCTGTCCATGCCCTACCTGGTCTGGGAAGTCAGGTGATGCTGGAGGACCATTCTCATGGATGTTCTTTCCTCTGATCAGCCAGTTGCTAAGGGAGGTCACCTTGTGCTTTAGCCTGTGTCTTTACCCCCACTGTCTGCACCTTCTAAGGTACCTTCCTACATTTAGCCTGAGGTGTAATACATTCCTCCAGTTATTCTGGACCAGGAAGTAAACAATCAACACTAGGATTTTGAACTGGGCCCCTGGGTACCAAATGGGAGTCTCTGCCTTGTGATCAAAACATCACCTGCACCTGTGTGCCTGGTCTTTGAAGGCCACCCTATAAAAGCATTGTGTGATGGATATCACTGCTTGGGAGCAAACTGAAGAACTAGACTACCTAGTCATGGATGCTTTCGCTGAGATCCCTGCATTGCAGGGGATTGGACAAGATAAGCCGTGGGATCCCTTCCAACTCTACCATTCTATGATTCTATGATCTTAGACGGAGGACCGGCCTTGGGGCCAAGCCTGTAGACTCTGTTCTTCTGTTGTAATGTATGCTTGTCATTGGATCTGAACAGCTTTATTCCTCATGCTGTGAGTAGCCATAAAAATGAAGGACTGAAGCTCATGATGGCGGTACATCCATCAGCTTTAGAGATGCAAAGAGGCATTTCCGTGAGTAACCCAATTATCAGTTTAGATCATATAAGCTGCTATATATAATTAGCAGCCACAGTCTTGGGCATCGACTGCAGATGGCCCGCAATTGTTGCCTGAGCTCATTGACAATCAAATTATTTGCACTTCCAGATTTCTGTTGAGGAAAGGTTCAAGTCACTCACCCACCCCCGTACAAATGACGGCGGAAGCACTTTTCGTTCTGGCCTTCATTGCTTTTGATATATTAGACAATGAAGCAGAAGCGAGACATTTTATAACCCAGTGTGATGCTCTGGCTTCCATCATTTTCAGTGGTTAATATCTCCTTTTCCAGTCAAGACGCTGGAACTTCAGAATACACTTCCTTAGGAGATCGGTCTGGTTTCCTCCAGATGTTGTTTGACTACAAGGACCATCGTCCCTGATCATTGGCTGTGCTTGCTAGGGCTGATGGGAGTCAGAGTCCAACAACACCTAGGCTACCCCTGGAGTAGATGATGGGGACGACGACAATATGCTGTGCCTGAGACGCAGATCCACACCATACATTTGAAGTACTTCCTGTACACATACCTTCCCCAAAGAGTTCTGAGAGCTGTAGTCTTCCCCTCACAGAGATAAAAACTACAGCTCCCAGGATTCTTTGAGGGAAATCATGTGTGCGTTGGATGTGCTTTAAACACCGTATTTACACGAATCTAATGTGCCATCGAATCTTATGTGCACCTCAACTTTCAAAGCCTTGAAACCAAAAATGTATTTCCTATGTTTTTCAAGCTTGCAGTCACATCTAATGCACTATAAAATATAATGTGCATCCTAATTTTCGTGACGTAATTTGCCCATAAAATGTGCATATTACATTCGAGTAAATACGGTATGTGGCGTGGATCTGATCGCAACAGTGTCGTAGTCAGTCAGAGGAGACAATATTCTGAGCTGGATGGATATATAGTCTAAGCTGGCATGAGGGAGTTTCTTATGACCCCTGGCGACCTGCCCCTCATTGAGGGGTCCCCAGTGTCTGAGCATGCTTATGTGATGTGTCTCTGATAAAGAGTGCACACACACACACACACACACACACACACACACAGGTCCTTGCAGTGCAAGCCCTCCCACCATATCTTTCCTCCCTGTCATAATTCCATTACAGATGGAAAAATATGTTTTAAAGAGGTTTTAACGCTCCAAAACACCAACCATTCCAAGTCTTATTGACAAAGTGATGTAGAGTTTCTGCACAAATAATCTGCATGGAAAAGGCAAAAACCAATTTAAGAGCGACTTGTGAGCATGATTTAAATTTAACGTGACTTGTGAAGAAATTGTAAAACAGAAGGGCTGCAATTTATCCCCCCACAACACACCCCCGCCCTCTTTTTAATTCTCTTCCTTGCATAATTTCCCCCTTTGCTTTCCCAGACAGACTTCATTAGCATCTCCCTCAATTACTATCGGTGTACCCTGCAGAGATGCTATTAACAATCCCGGCTTGCTTGGGGACTTGAGTTTTATTTAACAGTTGCTTCCGTAGTCACAGGAGAATTTCGCTAGGCTGCTCAATGTCTTAGAGGGCTTTGCTGGTGGTTGTGATAATGCGAGTCTCGAATAATTCAGGCAGATGAAATCCAGAGGGCATAGTCATGACAACAACAACTACTACTACTTCCTGTGTGCAGAGGCCAAGGAACAGGCCCTAGGTGGAGAGAGGGGACTGAGGTTGCCAACCCAACTGTAATGTGTGTAGAGGATCTAACACAGTTTAGGAGTTGAAAGCCCCTTCACATTTGCAAACTCAGCCATCTTTCAACAGCTGCAATAGAAGCACCATCACGTTTCAAATGGTGGACAGGCTGAGATAGGATGGAAGCTGATCTTAGGCCATCGAGTGAGTTCAAGGTTAAAGCGAGATTTGAATGGATGGGGGCTCCCCCCCCCCAGCATACTTGGCAACGCTACAGCAGTTCTCTTGGCGTGCAGATATTAATTCAGATCACATTTCCAAATGTAGGCTGAGGGCAAAAGAACCACGTCTATCAATTCTAGAGTGGCTCTGGAATTTACAACCAGCCTCTAATTTGACTGGAGCTGAAGCTGTAAAATTGGAGCTGCACTTCCAGTGCTCAGAAATAAATTATACCGAATTTGGGGGGGGGGGAGCAGGATGGTGCCCAAGTAAATGCATTCGGGCTGAGCTGCCAGTCAGCCGAGATCCGAGCCCTTGACTGTGAATCAGGTTGACAATTACAAACGCCGTACATTTCTCTGCCTTAATTCAAGGGATCTATTGACATTTCATCATACAAATCTTTGCCAGCCTTGACAATTCATTTCCCCCGGAATCCCTTCCTTGATTGCCTCCCTGGCGGCAGCGATATAATAGGCAGCTCTTTGGATTAGCTGCGAAGGAAATGAATTGCCCTTAAGAGTAGCTTTCCGTCCCTTATAGAGGGTTCCTTCAGGGCAAATAAAAACCCCTCTTCCTGCTTTTTTAAGAGTTTGGGCAAAGCCAGGAAGAGTATTTAGGGACATATGCTTAGGGTAGCATAACCTGAAACATTTATCTGATGAAAATAGGGATGTCCCATTCCACAATATTTAAACCCCATACATCTTAATGGGTTGCCCCAGCCACTCTGGGCAGCTTCCAACATAAATAAAAACATAATTAAAAAAATTAAACATTTAAAAAAACCCTTCCCTGTACAGGATTGCCTTCGGACAGCTCGGGGGTTGGATAACTCCATACCCTCCAACATTTCTCCAATGAAAATGTTGTTGTTGTTTAGTCGTTTAGTCGTGTCCGACTCTTCGTGACCCCCTGGACCAGAGCACGCCAGGCACTCCTGTCTTCCACTGCCTCCCACAGTTAGGTCAGACTCATGCTGGTAGCTTCGAGAACACTGTCCAACCATCTTGTTGTCCCTTCTCCTTGTGCCCTCCATCTTTCCCAGCATCAGGGTCTTTTCCAGGGAGTCTTCTCTTCTCGTGAGGTGGCCAAAGTACTGGAGCCTCAGCTTCACGATCTGTCCTTCCAGTGAGCGCTCAGGGCTGATTTCCTTCAGAATGGATGGGCTTGATCTTGCAGTCCATGGGACTCTCAAGAGTCTCCTCCAACACCATAACTGGCAAGCCATTCCAGTATCGCTGCCAAGAAAACTCCATGGACAAAGACAACAGGCCAATGAAAATAGGGACATCCTAAGGAAAAGAGGGACATTCTGGGATCAAATCAGAAACAGGGGTGACTTCTCTGAATCAGGGACGTCCCTGGAAAATAGGGACACTTTAGGGTCTGTGGTAGTTAAAGCCCCTTTTATTGATGGAAGCTGCTGCCCCCTGATCTCTGTAGCTGGACCTTTTTTGTGGCACTTCAGCACTTTTGCAGACAAAGTAAAAAAAAGGCATTTCCTTTGCACAAATTACCGCCTGAACTCCAAAGACTGCTAACCTTCTGCTTCCTTTGCTGCTCAGGGTTTTACAGCCTTTTGAGCAGGATGACCTTTCGAAAGCTTTTTTCTCAGCCTTTGGTATCCAAGGGAATTCCTCACAAAATCCTGTTGGTGGAGTGGGGGGGGGGCAGCTGTAGAGAGTGTGTCTCCCAGCGGTCCCACTCTAGGAGTCTTTCTGCACCTGAGGCAGGAGGAGGTGGTAGAATTATGGACTCCACCTTCAGACTTCTGGCTGGGCAGCAGGATGCATGTATCACCATCATTCCTCCAGAGAACTCCTTGCATGTCACAGGTGAGCACATCAGGAAGAAGCCCCTGGAAAAGTAAAAAGAAAGAAAGAAGCAGGGATTTGTTGTTGTTGTTGTTATGTATTCAGACTGGCTGCAGTTCTCACTCTGGGCCACCAGTATGCAAATGAAGGATTGAGAGTTGCTTTCACCGATTGGGTAGTTACTTGGAATTCGTTACTGTTACCTGAGAATGATAACTGATTATATTATTTGGGCAGCCTGGCGATTCCTTTGTAATGGTAAATACTCAGTTCCTGAGTCCAGGTCACAGGCACGCCCTATTAAATGTGCCCTTAAGACAGGATTTGTGAAAGAGACAAAGGGGAGATTTCCCATTTCCTTCGACCTTGCAGATAAATATTTGAGGTCATTTTGGGAGAGAGAAAACGGTTTCAGGACTTTTCTGTGGGTTTCAGACATGCGGTTCACATATTTGTATGTGTTTGCTTGGTACATTTATGAACATCTATATAGGGACGCAGGTGGCGCTGTGGGTTAAACCACAGAGCCTAAGACTTGCCGATCAGAAGGTCGGCGGTTCAAATCCCCGCGACGGGGTGAGCTCCCGTTGCTCGGTCCCTGCTCCTGCCAACCTAGCAGTTCGGAAGCACGTCAAAGTGCAAGTAGATAAATAGGTACCGCTCCGGTGGGAAGGTAAACGGTGTTTCCGTGCGCTGCTCTGGTTTGCCAGAAGCAGCTTAGTCATGCTGGCCACATGACCCGGAAGCTGTGCGCCAGCTCCCTCGGCCAATAAAGCGAGATGAGCGCTGCAACCCCAGAGTCGGTCACGACTGAACCTAATGGTCAGGGGTCCCTTTACCCTTTATTTTATATATATAAGGCCTTAAAATTCTTATAACAATGTGCCCATGGATTTTGAATGAAGAGGTGCAAAGTGATAAGTTCACAAATATCTGGGCTTGTTTCCAGTCTAGGGCTAGTTGAGGGAAAAGAGATTACAGTGCCATTGGGGGAGCTTTAAACAAGGATGAACGACTAGGTGACCCTGCTCCTATCTGCCATTCCACACACACACACCGCAAATGTCCCCAACCCCATATTATTCTGCCATGGTAAAAGCACAGTTGGGTGACTGCCTTAAGCAGTGTCTGATATATATATATCCCTTCTATCACATACTCCATCAAAGTTATCTGCTGCCAAAATTAGATTAGTTCTGCTTCCGATCCTTTGGAGAAATTTGCTGTGTTCTGCTGGAGTCACAGAAATGTTTCTCAGGAATGCTAAGCGCTGCGTAAAAATCCAGCGGCTCTTGTGTAGTGCATGCAAGCACTACCAGTCATTGACATCCCAATAGATCAGTCAGTAGAGCATGAGTCTCTTAATCTCAGGGTTGTGGGTTCAAGTCCCATGTTGGGCAAAAGATTCTTGCATTGCAGAGGGTTGGACTAGATGATTCTCCTGTTCCCTTCCAGCTCTGCAATTCTATGATGCAGTGAAAGATACGCATGCAGTTTTGCAACAATGGCATACTGTATTGTGTGATCTGTAGTATTCAAAATATGGAATCCCTGAATCATCATGAGGCAAGCAGATGCATGAGTATATTTCAAGTGCACCACAAGAGTTTTAGTGGAAAAGTAATTTAAAACATGTGAATGAGCTGACATAACAAGACAAGAGAATGTCTTGTTTTAGACATATTCATGGAGGCAAGGTCCGTCCATTATTGTTTTCCAATAATTAAATGGAGCCCCCAACTTCAGAGGCAGGATATCTGTGAGTCCTGGATACATTCTGGCAATACATAATCTTATTAAAGATTTGAATTATAACATATTAGGGTTTCCATGGGCAAAAATGTATAGTCAAACTTTTAATAGAAGCTTTATATAGGGACGCGGGTGGTGCTGTGGGTTAAACCACAGAGCCTAGGACTTGCCGATCAGAAGGTCAGCGGTTTGAATCCCCGCGACGGGGTGAGCTCCCGTTGCTCGGTCCCTGCTCCTGCCAACCTAGCAGTTCAAAAGCACGTTTAAGTGCAAGTAGATAAATAGGTACCGCTCTGGCGGGAAGATAAACGGCGTTTCCGTGAGCTGCTCTGGTTCGCTAGAAGCAGCTTAGTCATGCTGGCCACATGACCCGGAAACTGTACGCCGGCTCCCTCGGCCAATAAAGCAAGATGAGTGCCACAACCCCAGAGTCGGCCACGACTGGACCTAATGGTCAGGGGTCCCTTTACCGTATATAGGGTTGCCAGATTTCAAAAAGTAAAAACCAGGACACCCTGAAAGTTGTTGAGCTTTGACTTGCGAAAGATCCAGGACAACGAGCCGCCTATCAGAAATTCCCCCTGGATGTCAATTCCACCTTTGAAATCCTGGTAATGTCCAGGAAAATCTGGACATATGGCAGCCCTACTTTATAAAAAGTTATGGTGGGCAAGAAGGAGGAGGAGGAGGAGGAGGAGGAGGAGGAGGAGGAGGAAGTAATTTCAGAATTGTGCTGTTCTTTTATTTCTTGTATTATATTTTTATTGTACAGACAAAGGACCATATGCCAGAGTGGCTAAAAAAATAATACAAAGGCCTTTAAAAATTTTAAAAACCACACAAATCATGTGAGTGAAAGTGTGGACTGGAGGGAGATCCAATATGACAGTGCAAGAATAATGTGGTGAGGCTGATCTCCCCTGGCTAAGATTCTTGCTCAGACAGAAACTGTGCAATTCCTTAGGGTGAGATATTTAATTAAAATAATAACAATAAAGAAATGGTGCAATTCCTTGGTGGCTCTGTCAGCTGGCAGATGCCATTGTGCCCTTTCGCTTGTTTCCACATTCCTGGGGCGTGTGGCCATTTGGAGCAGAGTTCTGACAGGGAGTGAGAAGCAAGCTTGATCTGTCTTACCCAACCTAGCCTGCAATCCTAACCCCACTTACCTGGGAGTAAGCCCCATTGAATTCAGTAGGATTTGCTGCTGAGTAGATACAGTTAGCCTTGCAGCCTTGGCAAGGAAGCCTTCTTCAGTAACCAAGTTATATTAACCTAGGGGTGGGGAACCTCAGGTCAGGGAGCTCAATGCGGCCCTCGAGGCCTTTCCGTCTGGCCCTTAGAACTGTCCTCAGGCCACACCAATAATTGTCCCTGCTTTGCATCCAGAGTTTTTGCCTGGCTGGAGTGTGTTGCTGAACTTTGTTCATGCCTCCTGTTTGTCTGAATGAAAGGTGTGTGTGTGTGTGTGTGTGTGTGTGTGTGTGTGTACACAAACTACCCCAGCGTCCAAAGTTAAGATCTGCATTGGTTACTCTGCCTTCTTTTACCTCTTGCTGCCCACAACAGGCACAGCTCCAGTTATTCCCTCCTTTGCGGGTTTCACTATCTGCGTGTCAAAGGCCTGAAAGGGTCAATTCCAAGCAAGAACAGCTGGTCCAACCTCAGCGGAGTCAAGTTTGCGATGAGAAAAATGCAAGTGTTTGCATGACTGTGTAATATTGATTGAGGCAGGATGCTTTTGGGTGTCATCAAACTGCCCTGGGATAAACAGCAGGCAGCAGGAGAATTTCGCAAGGTCCATATTCACCAAGCACATGACAAGATGATGGCAGAGGTGATCAGGTTCGCTTTGTAAGAAGAAAAGAAAAGAGTGATGAACTTTGCTACCAGCTCCTTCGTTGTTCTTGTGATGTCTGTTTTGGGAAAATGCATCAGGAATATCTTTTCTCCCCCCTACTCCTACGGCAAAACCAAATCTACTCAAAGGATCTGCCAAAGTGAAGGTAGGAGTGCATACCTAGAGATCAGAGCTCACTCCCCACCCACTCCTGCCCCACATTTGCAGCTTGAGCCGCAAAGTTTGACGGACAATCTGGTCTTTCTCCACATGCCCCACGCTTCTCATGACCCACATCCCTCCACCTTTTCACAAATGTATCTTTAAAGGAATTTTGTAGGTTTCTGCAACCATGTCCCTTGTTGCCTTATATCTGAAAACAACAATATTGGGATCATTCTTTTTTTTTAAAATTGAAATGAAATTGAAAAGTGATATGAGCTGGTGGTAGGATGTGAGAACTTAGCTGGTCACTATGGCTCAGAGTCAGCTTCTGCAGCAGACAAGCAGAACCAGTTTTCCCAGAGCTCAAGTCTGAACAGAATTAGGTATGTCTGTTGAAAGTGGGGCAATGCACTCCCAGAGTGCAGCGACTCCCTTGTTTATTTATTATTAAATTTTGGTTAATGTCAGAGTGATGTGGCTTCTAGGAACTGGCAAAAAGCTCCTTGTTCTACCACTAACATCTCCCATACCCTCCACCATTTATGTGATGAAAATAAGGACCTTCTTCTTCTTCTTCATATCCCGCCCATCAGACTGGGTTGGCTCAGCCACTCTGGGCAGCTTCCAACATATACAAAAACATAAACTCCAACAAAAATCCAACAATGTGGAAGAGCCCACAGTGTTGAGAGCCAACCAGGAAAATATATTCTGTCACTGAGTTCACTTTTGGAGCTACCCGATTCACGATCCTCAGCCGTAATCTGCCCAGATTCTGCCCGCTTCTGTTCTTGAGTGGACCAATACAACCTAATCCATCCTGTCTCTGCCTTTGGCCAACATTTGATCTAAAAAAACCTCTGTAGTTGTGATAGCTACTGCAGCAGCACCCAGCATGGATGGGAGGAGATTAGACCCTCCGACGGTCTCTATTTTCCAGGGACAAGTCTCAGATTTACAGAAGACGGTTTCTGATTTGATCCTGGAATGCCCCGCTTTTTCTTAGGACGTCCCTATTGTCATTGGAGAAATGTTGGAGGGTTTGGAGTTATCCAGTACCCAAGGCGCGCACACACACACACACACACACACACACACACACACAGTGGTACCTCTGGTTACAAACTTAATTCCTTCCGGAGGTCCGTTCTTAACCTGAAACTGTGCTTAACCTGAAGCACCACTTTAGCTAATGGGGCCTCCTGCTGCCGCCGTGCCACCGGAGCACGATTTCTGTTCTCATCCTGAAGCAAAGTTCTTAACCCGAGGTACTATTTCTGGGTTAGCGGAGTCTGTGGCTCTCCCTTCTCATAAGCACCTTTCTTTACTTTCCCTGAGAGACTGATGAGAACTCTGTGCACACTATAATTACTAGGTGCGGAAAGGAACCTCCTCGCTTTGTGAAATTTCAGTACGAATCCCCGAGGTAATTACTATTATGGTGTACGAGAGAGTAACACATCACTGTGGCAAACCACGTGACTTCCTAAAACGTAACTGCTATGAATCGACCTGAACTTTCCCATCGCCTCAATAGAGTCAAAGTCGCTCCCTTGGGGAAAAAGAATGCAAGCTAGCTTATGACAGAAGTTGCAGAACAGGTGCTGAAAACATTCTCACGCACTCCGAGGTTAATAAGACAAGGCCGCAGCATGAGAGCAGGCTTTCTTCAAAGCGATAGCTGACATTTCTGTAAGGTTTGTTTGTTTATGTGTTTGTTCTGCTCTCCAAACGAAGACATATATATTGTGGGTTTAGGTCAGGAACAGCAAGGACGATAAAAAATGCACAGACACCCAGCAATTTCAGGTTTCACTTAAATCTAACCTGGCAATTAAATGTTAAGTAATGTAATATTATCTATACTGCCAGATAAGCATAGATTCTCTGCTCCTCAGAAATCCTGACTGCTTCATTTCCGTGAAAATATTTACTAAATTATGTCTTCATCCGCACACGCCTAATTCTGTTTTTTCAGTGTTTCAGGCTTTGAGCCAAAGGCAAAGAGTTATTTAGCTCTTGATGTTTGGCTTACACGCACCTAGCCAGGCAGCTCCCCAAATAAGTACCTGGAAGTATTCTTTTACTGGCTTCCTCACTATAGTCTCTAGCCAGACATCTAAGAAATATCTCAGTTTGTAGCAGCTGCAGAAACAAGGGTCATGAAGCTCAACACTGAGTGCTTGAATGCAGCCAACTTTAAGTATTTTTAAGGACCAGTGATTTTACGGGGAGACATCTAAGTATTTGGAATGTGTCCCTGTTTGGCCTCTATCCATCATTACTTTCTACAAAAAGATTTGCCACTTCAGAAGCCTGCCAGGAAGCCATGCCCTTTCAAGATGTCAAAATCCTTTGGAAGGTCTGTTCACATGGACTTTCGTGTGCTCATGTGATTCAGTCTCCTCATTCATGAACAAAGTGCCGCCTAGGACTGAGTGTGCCTTTAAAGTGAAATTAAGGTATTAAAAATGTATTGGGCAACATGACTTCTTAATTAAATAATGCAATAGGAAGATCATCTTATCCAGGGAGTTTTTGGTGAGAAGCCAGGAGTACAGATTATTCAGTCCCACGTTCAAATCTTTTCAAGTCTCTCTTCTGACAAACTCTGAAAGCGCAGAGACCTCTCCTCTGGGGTGTTTTGTTTTGTTTCGAATGATTACTGTGTCTCAGCTTAGGTCCAAATTAAAGATAACAGGAAATGTGCATATTTTGTGTATATATATTTTTTGTTAAATAGCAGCAAATCAAGACAATTGAGTGGGGGAAACGGATAGTGGTGGGCAACTCTTTCCTAGAGTGTGGTGGCCTGGTGAAAGCCTGTCTCCTCCAGGAGTGAGTTGTCATTGGCCCCATACTGGCAAGAAATTGGGATGCAATCCAGCCGCGAGAGTTCTAATAGCACAAGGATGGAAGACTGAAGAAACCCCAACTAAAGAATCATGGCAAGAAAAATTGATGGACTATGCAGAACTGGCAAAACTGACATATAAGCTACGGGACAAGGATAACTGTGACTTTAAAGATGAATGGGAACCCTTTACAAAGTATCTGAAGACGCAACAAAGCGAACTGGACTCCTTGGCTGGCTTTGAATAAACATTCACAAACTTTTTATTGATAATAATCAGCTAAATAGTTTTGAGGATCTATACAACTTTGTAACATGCAGAAAACAGCAGTCTCAGAGAAACCAAAGACTAGATCTGAGGGAAGCCGGGGTGGGGGTGGGGGGGGGGTTGTGTGGGAGGGTGGGGGGAGGGAGGAAAAATGGGGGGGGGGAATAAGGATGATATGTTTTTGGATAATATGTTTTGTTTTAATTTTGAATATTTTTTTTTTTAAAGAAAGAAATTGGGACACAATCTACTATTGGGACGCAAATCTAAATTTGGCTGGATGTGGACTAGGCAAAATTTGGCATCATGAGAAATCAATGAAATAAACAATAATAAGATTTATTCAGTCTCAGGTTCAAATCTTATTATTATTTTATAGGACAGTACTTTAAAATATTAATGATTAAGTGGTAAACAATAAAATGCAATACCAACAAATATAACCAGTCAGCAGTGGGGATTTTTTATGGACAACCCTAAGTTGTTGTGCTTTTTTTAGGGGGGAGCCAAAGATGTTTGGGGGGGGGGGGAACAAAAACTTTTTTGGTTTTTGTTCTCCTCCCAATTGCCCCGCCGCCGGCATGGCTGCGGCCCCATTACAACGTCGCCTCCATCGTGCTGCCCAAAGCCTGACACTACAGCTACAAAGAGGTGGCGGAACTCAGTTCTGGCTAGGGGGGAAAACACCACCCTGCCAATCAGTAAAGTATTATAAATACTATTAAATACGACTAAAATAGACTGGAAAAAGTCGAGCTACTATCCTAACCATGCCCCATGGAATTCAGTTGCTTTTAATCCCAGGTAAGTGGCGTTTGGACTGTAGTATCTAACCCAGGAATGCTGAGAATTTTAGAAACGTGCATCGAAAAGTAAAGATTGGCGACACATGACTGATGTCAGGGCGGAAGTTACTCGACAGATGGAAGGGCCAAGTCCTCCGCCGCTTCCCACTTCACTGGAAGCGGCTTTTTCCTGTTTAAAAAGGGTGACGATGTACCAATTCGGGCCTCTCATTTCTACCGGAGAAGCGCCCCGCCACATGCGAGTGTGCGCGCCCATTAGAAAGCCAAAAATACAGTAACCCCAAACCCGGCGCCAGGATGTGCGCGCAGCTGAGGCCGTGACCCGGCGCTGCTTTCCACGAAAAACCGAAGGGCTTTCCTGAGAAACTTGACGCAGCAGCAAACAAACGAACGAACCAAGTGCCAGAATGACAGAGAAAGCCAGGAAGCGGCCCCTTGAGTTGCTTGGGTGTTCCCTTTTTCCGCCGCCCCTCCGCGCTCGGCTTCCCATTCACAAAGCCTGGGGCCGCCGCCAGTAGAACGCGCCTCCTTCCTTTCCCTCCCGCCCCTCCTCCTCCTGTATTATTATTATGAATGGAACGCGCGCACAAGCGCCGGGGCCGCGTTCGATTCCTCCCATTGTGACGTCGCGCGTTCCATTCAAGGCGAGCGGAGGCAAGAATGGGGCCCGGCGGCGGGGAGAGGGAAAGCCGAGCCGGGAGGGCGGGGCGAGGTAGTAAAAGCGACCCTCCCACGCGCTCCGGAGGGCGCGCGGCCAGCACCGCCGTCGCCACCAGCGGCAGCAGCAGCAGCAGCAGCAGCTGCGCTTCCTTCTCCGCGGCCGCGCTAGGGCTGCGCGCAAGAGGAGCGCGCTAAGGCCCGTGTCCCGCAGCAGGAGGGAGAGGGAGGGAGGTTGCGCGGCGGCGGCGGCGGCGGCGGCCATGGCGGAGCTGCGCGAGATGGAGTGCGTGGGGCTGCAGCGCCTCCTGCACGGCGGGGGCTCCGGCCAGGGCGGCAAGTGCCTCCTCTTGGACTGCAGGCCTTTCCTGGCGCACAGCGCGGGCCACATCCGCGGCGCGCTCAACGTGCGCTGCAACACCATCGTCCGGCGCAGGGCCAAGGGCTCCGTCAGCCTGGAGCAGATCCTGCCGGCCGACGACGAGGCGCGCGCCCGCCTCCGCTCGGGGCTCTACTCGGCCGTGGTGGTGTACGACGAGCGCAGCGGGCGGGCGGACGCGCTGCGGGAGGACAGCACCGTGGCGCTGGTGGTGCGGGCGCTGCGCCGGGACGCGCAGCACGCCGACATCTGCCTGCTGAAAGGTGAGCGGGCACCTTCCTTAATTGGCTGAGGGTTTTATTTATGTTAAGTGGTGAATTAATAGGTTTAATTTCATAATGTGAAGCTCTAAGGATGTTAATGTTTAAATTTTACAAGAACTGTGGTTTGGAAAACCGTTAAAAGGATATGCAATGAAATCCAACCAAGGGGAAGCGAGGAAGTCACTTAACAATGTTAATAAGTGTAATTTTCAATAAGGCTATTTATTTATTTTTGTTTTATGTGTTTGTTTATAATGTTGTGAAAACCAATAAAAAAATTTTGGGGGAAAAATGAAAGGTGAGCGGGGGTGGCCCAAGACCTCCGGGGAGAAGGAGTTGCGCGGACCCAGCGCGGACCCAGCCGAGAGCACGCAAGAATGGGTCATTGCTGTTAACCAGAAGGTTGCTGGTTCGAGACCACCCAGGGGTGGCTGTGAGCAGGATTCCTGCATTGCAGGGGGTCGGACTAGATGACCCTTGGGGTCCCTTCCAACGCTACCATTCTGTGAATCGTGCCTGCGCACTTCTCTCTGACACCCGTGTTGCCCAGCAAGAGCGCCTCTTAGGGCAATGCGTGTCTCCCACCACATGCGACTCCCATTTCAAGCCCTGAGAGTGGGAGCTTCCCGACCTGGCTTGAACCCCGGGAACAACACTCTTTCATTAAGTTATTGGAGGTAGGGCTCAGATTGGCTCCCCAACCCTCGCCTACTCCCTTCCCTCGCCGCCAAACTGCGCGGGCGATCCCTTCCCCATGCAGGCAGCTCCACCTAGTAGGAAGAGATTTCTTTCTGCAAGAGACAGCCTTGATTCTGTCCTTTGTGTGCAGCGCCGTGCACTCTGCGTGTGCCATGCATTAGTGGCGCAGGTTCCGTCACCGTGAGGTTTCGCACCCATTCCTCCCTCCCTCAGATGTGGTTCTTAAATACTATGCAATACTCGGAAAAAAGAGGGAGTTTTTATCACCCTCTTGCAACCTCCTTCACATCTGTCCCAGCCAGGGATTCCGGTAGCGGGAGTCTCCTTCACGGTCCCTCCTGGTGTGGTCTTTGGAAACAGTAGACTGAATTGTATCCGGAGATTGTTTCCTGCCCATCTGACCTGTCATCTGGGCTGTGTGTGTGTGTGTGTGTGTGTGTGTGTGCGTGTGTGTGCATGAAGGCTGCTGGTGACCTTTTGAACTGCAAAAGCTCTGGGTGGGTGGAAAGATCCTGGTTTATTGTCCCAGGAACGGCCTCTCCCTTCTCGGGACTTAGGAATGCATCCTCAAGGATTAAAAAAAAAAGGAACAAAGCAACACACAGCCTTGATGCCATGCCTGGGTATATGTATTCATGTGCCCTGGAAGGATATTTGCACCAGTTTCTGTAGAAAAATGGCACCAGCTCCTGAGAACGATGTAGAGGAAGCATTGCAAGCTAGTGGAGGATTTTTCTTATTTTGCAAACGTGCAAAGCTGCGTTTATAACCCTGGTCAGGGCCTAACCTTTTAATGGAGGCCGTGTTTTGAATTCCGCAAGGGCTGAGAAGCATCCATAGCTAGCATAGGCTGTCTTTGGCTGATGAGTCTTTTGCCTCCTCTTCCTACAGCAGAGGGACCAGCTCATCTTCTCCCCTTGGGGCATCTCAGCTGCTCCCTCCCAGTTGCCTGTGCGTCCTGCCTTAGGGACCTCTGCTGCTTACTCACATGCGACATGCTTTGGGGACGAAGATGGATTTGCAGGCAGGAGCTATGCTGGAGGGCTGGTGATCTGGCCTCCTTGTGCCTATCCCTGATCTGTTCTGTAAGATACAGTGTGGTCCATTCAGCCAAATATTGTTGCCTTTTGACCAGAGCTTGGGCCCGGGTATTTCCTGGAAAGGTATGAGCTATGGTCTCTCTCTGTGTTTCAAGTCACTTTTGAGATTGAGGTTGGCTCAGAAATAAACAAATACCTGGTTGTGATCTTAAGCCAGTGGTTTGCAAAGGTTGTGCTGAACGTTGCTGCTCTGGCAGTCCGCGAAGAACAAGCAGTACATATCTTCTTCCTTTTCGCCTATACCCCATGATGCTTGAAAAAATTCTGACTACATCCTTATGGTCTAAATCTGGCATAGGCAAACTCCGGCCCTCCAGATGTTTTGGAACTACAATTCCCATCATCCCTGACCACTGGTCCTGTTAACTAGGGATGATGGGAGTTGTAGTCTCAAAACATCTGGAGGCCCCGAGTTTGCCTATGCCTGGTCTAAATATTTCTGGAATTTAGTTGTTGCAGAAAACATAGCACGTAAGTTACAGGTCGGTGGGACAGGGAGAGCCACATAATTTCTATTCAGTATGGTGGGATTTTATTTCATATAGTTTCGTTTTAGATTTACATGTGTCTCGCCATGTGACATCTAGAGAAATATGGTTGTCATGATTTTCGATTGAGTGTTGCTATTTAATATGTTTGGGTTTGGTATGCAATGCTTTTAGTTGGAGACGTTATTGAACTTTTGCTCTTGTTTACCTGTCTCTGTGGTTCCATAATAATTTGAAAATGAATAAAAAATACATGAAAAAGAAGATTCAGATTTAAAACTATGATGCCATATATCCAGATTATTGGTTTCTTTCGGGGCTTTCACTGCATCAACTTTTACTGCTGAAGAGGCAAGCTGCTGTTCCGTTTTATATTTTAGCATTTAAAAATGATTAGTGGGCTGCCTGCTTTAGCACATGGTAAAACCAAACAAACCTAGCGTTTTTCTCCAGTTGTTTTAATTGCTGTGTTGGGGACTGCCTCAGTGTATACTGGGGGCTAGTGGTGGTCCTAGACTGGGTAATTGACTGCTCCGAAAGATTGGGTCAAACAAAATAACAAAAGATCCTTTGCAATTTCAATTGGGCTCAAGGACACAGTTGGATTTTGAGTGAGTGCTGTGGGCACCACTCTCTCCTTCCCTCTGTTATCACCTCCCCTCCTCTCCCGGAAAACTCATGCTCACACACATAACTTTTCTTTCTTTGCAATTCCAAGCGATCTTGGTAAATATCTGATCTGGTAGCTTAATCTGAGTCTTGAAAAGCAGGAAGAACAGAGAGAGGAAATGGGAAAGAAGGCCACTCTTCTCACTTCCTCTTTCAGCTCTATGTACTTTTCAAAGGAGAAAGAGATAACCACCTATCACCAAGTGGGGAGGGGGGGGCTCTGAGACTTTGCTGGTGGGAGACTTTAAAGCTGCCCTTGTGTTCACAGATTCCCCATTGGCAACCCCAACTGGTTTGGTACAGAGGCAAAAAAACAATGCTGTCCAGGGTTGTAAAGACTGCAGAGAGAATAATTGGGTGCACTCTTCCCACCTTAGATCAAATCTATGCTGCCAGGTGCCATAAGAAAGCGGCAGAGATAGCGCAGGATAGTGCACACCCCGGAAATGATCTCTTTCAGCTTCTGCCTTCTGGAAGAAGGTATAGGGTTATAAAGGCCAGGACTAGCCGCCTGAGAAACAGTTTCTATGCAAATGCAGTTCTGGTTCTAAACGCAGCATAAGGGGTCTCTATAGTATAGTGTATTTTAAAATGGGGTTTCAGAGTTTTTAGGGAGGGTTGAATGTTTTATGTAGTTTTTCAGTTTCATTGTTCTGCATGGGACAATGACAATAAAGATATCGTATATATTTAAGTGCAAAAACAAACTTGCCTGTTACGGCAAGTAACAATAAACCATATTCCAACAATGAATTATCACAATTTTTTGCCATGTTAGCGGCTGTTTCTGTGAATGATTCGCTTATTCAGTTTGCCTTTTGCTTTTATGCTTATAAATTACAGTCAGACTAGAGTTACAGAAGTAGGGAAAGAGGTAGAAATAGAAATAAGTTGTATTATACAGAGACAAACAAAAGTCAGCTTTGAAAGGCATTTGTGCGGAGATTAATTTTTCAAGCATGATGGCTCCTTTGGATATTTGACCGTCAAGTAATAATCAGCGGACAATATTTGATCAGCCAAGTGACCAGTGTGCAAATCTCGGGTGATCATCCAGATCGCTGTTTAAGTTTTGGTGTGTTAGGGCGATGGATTTGTCACTTAACCCGTGAATCAGCTGAGGGGCTGTTGCTCTGAAGCTCCATGGAATTCCTGTCTCTCTTTCCTTTGACTCAGTAGGAAACAAAGTCTTACAGAGTGCACCATGTGCCGGCGATTGCTGGAAAATTGTGACACCACCATGAATGGGTGAAAAATAATGGAAACGCTTGTGATTGCAACAGTCGTACGCAAGTGCAATTAAAACGTTTTGGGTGTTGATAAGGCCAGATCTGGGATAGATCAAGTGCAGAGTGGTTTGAAAATCCCCAAATATTTCAGGGTAATTTATATTAACAGCAGCACACAGAGGCCTGCCCCCGCACTATTCATGCTTCACAGCGGTATAAAGTTTAAACTGAGTGTTCTCTCAACCGAAGCAGATAATTAAATGAGTCTTAAAAAATTTGATACACATCACAAGGAATGTATTTCAGCTTGTTCAGCTATCATTATCTGTAGTTTGGCAATGATGCTCTAGTGACAGGTCCCAATCTTAAATGCTGTCGTACATTTTGAAGCTAAGAATAAACCAAGAATCAACTGAGATTATTTTTTAAAAAAATAAATGGTTGCCACCCAGTTTAAAATCTTGGAAACTAGAGAGGTGCATGAATAAGAGTTTGAGTGGTTTCTTCAGAAACTTTGCATCTTGTGGGCTGGGACTAACAGCATTGGAAATACAGTAATGTTCAAATTTGCACAGTTCACATAATTTATTCAGGACACTGAAATTGGTTCAGCTTGCCTGGGTACAGAATTTGATCTTTAAGTATACAGCAGTACACACAACCCTGTTTATATCTGCCCAAGGGCTTTTTTTTTTTTTAATTGGAGAGTAGTAAATGGAGCAAATAGAGTCTCTTGTTAAGGGACGCGGGTGGTGTTGTGGGTTAAACCACAGACCCTAGGACTTGCCGATCGGAAGGTCGGCGGTTCAAATCCCCGCGACGGGGTGAGCTCCCATTGCTCGGTCCCAGCTCCTGCCAACCTAGCAGTTCGAAAGCACATCAAAGTGCAAGTAGATAAATAGGTACCGCTCCAGTGGGAAGGTAAACGACGTTTCCGTGCGCTGCTCTGCTTCTCCAGAAGCAGCTTAGTCATGCTGGCCACATGACCCGGAAGCTGTATGCTGGCTCCCTCGGCCAATAAAGCGAGATGAGCGCCGCAACCCCAGAGTTGGCCACGACTGGACCTAATGGTCAGGGGTCCCTTTACCTTTAGAGTCTCTTGAACATCTTACTGAATAAATCTTCCTTACTCAGGCTGGTGCATTTTGTTTGTTAGTTGGTTAGCCAGTTCAACAGTCACACAAAGTACTTCGGTTTGCAGTCATGCAATCCTTTGTATGTTTGGTACCTAGTTAGATCACCCTTGGAGAATCATCCCTCCCTGCCCCAAAATTTTTATTTAATTTAAAAATTCAGTGGAGAAATAAAATGAAGGGGAAAAACAAAAAAGAAAAAAGTGCTTGCAGCTGATAACAATACAATAAATGGGTATATTAGTAGTAGGACTATTCCAAGGAATGTAAAATTATTAACAAGTCATGCTAATTTTTATAAATGCATTCCAAATATCATTATATTTATCCATACACAATCTGCATCTAAAAGCAATCTTGTTCGTATGTTGAGAGAGTTATCGTATCTTCTATCAATTGATCAAAGGAGGCCATAGTATTATCTCCAATGAATCAATATCAGTCTTTTGGCTGCTGTCAAACCTCCCTTTGTTGGTATGTGGTTTAGGATAATACGACCTTTGGAGAATCATGTGTTCATGAGAGTCATGAGACCACTGGATTGCTGTTCTCTACACAGAAAGGTTCATGTAACCCAAGTACTGAGTGCACTCATTTGCATGCAGAATGCCAAGCAAGAAATTGATGGTTAGGTTTTGCATGGCGAGGCCCTGAGCACCACCCCATGTCTTTGATAATGAAACATACAGACACCAATATTTTGGGTTAATGGGATAAATAAGGCCACAGGTTTATTGGTTACAGATGTGAGTGGTATTGGCTTAGGCACTGGAACTGAACTGGCTATATCTGACTCCCGCCCATCATGCAGGTAGTCTCATAAGGGTCAACCATCAGTAGGGGGAGCCCTGTTGATGTACATCAACTGCGAGCTCCCCCAGGTTCCCCGATGGGGTCGTGGCATGGCCCTAGCCCATACCCGGGCTTCAGACAGGACCCACACCCCGGATCCCTTTAAGGAAATACCCTTAAAGAGGAGCAGCAAGTGAAGGCCACAACCTCCCCTCCCATCAACCAGGTTTACCAATGCCTAACCGCCAAACGCGGTTGACGCGGGTGGCACTGTGGGTTAAACCACAGAGCCTAGGACTTGCTGATCAGAAGGTTGGCGGTTCGAATCCCCATAACGGGGTGAGCTCCCGTTGCTCAGTCCCTGCTCCTGCCAACCTAGCAGTTCGAAAGCACGTCAAAGTGCAAGTAGATAAATAGGTACTGCTCTGGCGGGAAGGTAAACGGCGTTTGCGTGCGCTGCTCTGGTTCACCAGAAGCGGCTTAGTCATGCTGGCCACATGACCCGGAAGCTGCACGCCGGCTCCCTTAGCCAATAAAGCGAGATGAGTGTCACAACCCCAGAGTCGGTCACAACTGGACCTAATGGTCAGGGGTCCCTTTACCTTTAACCGCCAAACCTTACAAAGTTGTGACAATTGCTACAAGGCAGGCGAAAACCACATGGCTGGTGCCAATTTGCCAAGTGGGAAAATTCCTACTGGGCCCCCTCAACAGGCGAACAACCGTAGTCCATAGCAAGGCCAAGATGGCGAACGCATGAAAATAGGGTGGGAGGGTGGGAGATCCGATGCAGGAGCCTTGTGGACGTTTAAGTCCGGTAAGCCACGCCCCACGGTCAACCCGATTGGTCGGCTGTGGGGTGTGATATGGGCGGCATCGCCACGCCCCCCGCTGTACATGGGGACTGCTCGTGGCCAGTCTGCAACTCCGGCCCCTTGGGAAGGTGAGCGGTTTTTCCAGAACAAAGTTTCTGATCTTTGTGGGAACGAAGGATGTTGAGGGCTTGGTAAAAGAGGAATGCGTGAAATGTGGAGACAGACTGGAAGAAGACATTTCTATGGTAGAAGTATTGAGGGCCAAGGGCTGCAAGAAAGGTGGAAGTGTTGAATGGAAAGAAAGAAACAACAACAATAATCTTTATTACGGTCCAGAGACCCAACAAATCGTTACAAAGCAACACACAATTCATACAGCCTACCTCCAGGTTAAACAAGCATTTTGTTCTGAATATAGGGATCATTGGTTCTTGTTGAATGGAATTTGCAGGATTCTTTGGCGTGTGTTGGTTAGGTCCAGTTCCCCAACCCTCCACACCAATAGTGGGAGGTGTGTTGGAGCAAGGGGGACCAGGACATCTTTTGAATGGGACCTCAATGTTTTTAAGGGGGGGAGAGACTTCAAACAATGATTTGGGAACCCCCAAATTAGGATAGGGAGTGTGTGTGTGTGTGTGTGTGTGTGTGTGTGCATGCAATATTTGTTTTCAACAACAAAGCTTAAAGCAGTTTACAGAATGAAAATTTTAAATGCCTATTAAAAATAAATAAAACTTCAGAACATATAGAAATGAACGAGCAAAAGGGAAGTCCCTGAAGGAAAAAGTGTAGATACTTGAAAGGGCCTCGTGTGGTTTGTGAGTCAGCTGAATGCAGCAGACCAGCCAGATAGGACCCTGATAAGTGCAGTGTTTGTACCTGTTTGATATGGCAAGAATAGAGAGATTCCGCAGCACTCCATCAATCAGGCTACGCAGCTCTTGTGATACTGGGCTGATGAGCTTATGAAGTCACATATCGTGACTGTCTTGCACTGTGATCGAAGTGGGCCTTCTGCCCCTGCTCCAAAAATATCCAGGGGTGATACTAATCAAGGAATGTGAGCATTTTTGCCCGAAGGCTAGGTTTGTGAGTGTGCTAAAAAGGTTCGGATTGACAGATGGCGAGTTGGCATGCTAGCCAGCCAGCTTTTGTGCTTGTCATTGAGCCCCATCGCCTTCCTCAAGTCCTCTGGCAGCTGTAGAGAACTCTGAAAATGGGTGAGTGAGACAATGGCCTCCCTCCTCCCAAGTTCTCTTGCATGCTGCTTCTTCTTCTTTGGCAATCACACGTAGCCGATTGGGAAAGAAGGAATTAGCAACAGCAACCAGAACGGAATTTTACTTTTGACTATAGAGTGGTACCTCAGGTTAAGTACTTAATTTGTTCCGGAGGTCCGTTCTTAACCTGAAACTGTTCTTAACCTGAAGCACCACTTTAGCTAATGGGGCCTCCTGCTGCCGCTGCGCAATTTCTGTTCTCATCCTGAAGCAAAATTCTTAACCCGAGGCACTATTTCTGGGCTAGCGGAGTCTGTAACCTGAAGCGTCTGTAACCTGAAGCATCTGTAACCCGAGGTACCACTGTATTACCAACACACTCTTTCGACAAAAAATAAAATAAAACATAGTCGAACCACGGGCACCTTTTAGTCTATGTCGTTGTCCAAGCTAAAGATCACTGTGATGTGGTCCTTACCAGAGCTATTATGAGTGCCAATGACTGCTGAACAGATTAATACGTTCCACGGCGGCTATTAAGATCTTGCATGCACCATAGAACTGAGGCCAAATTCATGCAGGGCTTTGGGGACAAAGCAACAACCAACAAACCTATGGTCACGTAAAGCATACTCCATAAACACATGAGACGTAACCGGCTGTGTTCTTGGATAAATAAGATATACGATTCATAGTATCAAATTGTAAATTTCAACAGAAGTAACTCATAAAGTTCAACCAACGAACAAAGCAGAAGACCCAGTGGATCAGATCATTCTATAGTCAGTTCATTTGGGGACAAGCAGGAGTGACACAAGGGGCTATCACTGCTTTTTTCTCTTCTTCAAATCCAAAGCAAGGTCTTCCTGTGCTTTCAAGGTCTTCCTGTGCTCTCTGCATGTGCTGGAGAAGACGCCCAGCGCACAAATTCCTCCCGCCCCAAGTTAACTTCCCGTTTGCAGTAAAATGCCGTGTGTTGGGCCAAGTAGTGGCGTTCCAAGGGGGCGGACTGGGCCGCTCCATGTGCCATTCCAAAAGGGGGAGGGACAAAATGCCGACCCCCGATCAGCGGCACCCCGGGGCACGCGCTGTTCACCGTGCACCCACCGGGCAGCGCACCACGCCCCCTGGGACGCACGCCATGCCCCCTGGGATGAGTGCCGCTCCAGGTACTGGAGCAGGTTGCTTTGCCTCTGGGGCCAAGCCCTTTGAATGCAGCAGGATCAGTCCCCAGAGGGGAGAGAGGAGCTGTTGGCCACCTGGCAGCTGGATTTGTGGGCCTCTCAGCAGGTGACCTGTGGATGTGGAGAAAACAGCACTTTTTGTTAAAAGATGGATAGCGTTCGAGACCTCAGCGATAAGCAGCCTGGTCGGTGGGAAACTGTGAAGTCATCCGTAGTAAATAGAGCTTGGACAATATTTGAAAATGCAACGTTGGATTCAGTGTTAGAAATTAGCCAGGTGCCAGGCGCGTTTTGCGACTGCCATGGGTCCCATTGCAAGCGCATGGAGATCTCTGGCATCTCCATCTTAAGCAGGTAAGCAGAAGAGGTTATTTTATTGCATTTATAGGCAACCTTTTCCTCCAGGAAGTACATGGTTCACCCACCTCCTCAGTTAAGCCCTACAACGACCCTGCGAGGAAGGTTAAGAGGCTGAGATTGGCGCAAGGTCACCCAATGAGCTTCACGACCGATTGGGGGTTTGAACCCTGATCTCCCAGGTCCAACACTCTTAACACTGTGATGTTGCTTATCTTTCAGGCGGCTATGAGAGGTTTCATTCGGAATATCCGGAATTCTGTGCAAAGACAAAATCTCCAACTGCTGCGTCCATTGTGGCGACTGCAGAGTACCTTGAGCACAGCTGCAGCTCCTGTGGGACACCGCAACACGATCAGGTTGGCTTTCCGGGGCTTATATCCGTTTAAACCCTCGTTCTTGTCAGAGACCCTTGTCTGAATTGGCAATATGAATTCAGTCTCCTGGTTGGTGTGTTATCCATAAGAATCAAAGACAACCTGTCTGTCCTTAAAACAACAGAGGTCTGGTTTTGCACTTTGAACAGGATCCCCGAGCCCTGGAGAATATGTTCTCCATCGGAATATTTTAGAAGTGGCGAAATGGCCTGGCCTAATTTGGATAGTGGGGACGCGGGTGGCGCTGTGGGTTAAACCAGAGCCTAGGACTTGCCGATCAGAAGGTCGGCGGTTCGAATCCCCGCAACAGGGTGAGCTCCCGTTGTTTGGTCCCTGCTCCTGCCAATCTAGCAGTTCAAAAGCATGTCAAAGTGCAAGTAGATAAATAGGTACCGCTCCGGCGGGAAGGTAAACAGTGTTTGCGTGCGCTGCTCTGGTTCGCCAGAAGCGGCTTAGTCATGGTGGCCACATGACCAGGAAGCTGTCTGCAGACAAACGCCGGCTCCCTTGGCCAATAAAGCGAGATGAGCGCCGCAACCCCAGAGTCGGTCACGACTGGACCTGATGGTCAGGGGTTCCTTTACCTTACTAATTTGGATAGTATAAGAACATGGATCAGGCCCATGCAGTCCAGCCCCCGGTTCTCACAGTGGCCAGTTGGATGCCAGTGAGAAACCAGCAAGCAGTTTCCGACTATACGTTGTGTGTGGCTGTACTAGTTCTCCCCATTCTTACTTTGTAAAAAGATGCCACTCTAATGTGGTGGTGTCCAAGTAAGGCAGATGTGCATCTGGCCATGTGTCTTTCAATCCAGCAAGGAGAATGTCCAGGAACCTGCTTCTGTATATAGATCTCCCTTGCTGGGAGAAGGTGTACACCTATTGTTGTCTGCTGAACAATGAAGATGTTTTGGTACACTGTTTGGATGCAGTGGCTTCTAGTCTAGCCATGGAGCCATAAGGTTGCATCCAACCAACCAAGTTATACTTGGCGTAGACCTACTATAATTAGGGAGCCTAAGTTAGTCATGTCCATTAATTTCTAGCTCCCGAGGGTGACTAACGTGGGAGACAGTCAATAGAGATTGTTATTTCTCGTGTGGGTGTTACTGTCATGCTGGCTGACACACAGTCGTAATTCAAGAGTGCATGGTGTAGGGATTTGAACTTGGTGGCCTTCCTTTGCTTAGGAGTAGAGCAGGGATAGGCTAGCCAACACCCTCCAGATATTGTAGGTTACACCTCTCATCATCTCCAGCCAGCATCCCCAGTCGTCAAGGACAGATGATGGAAAATGCAGTTCACAACATCTGGAGATCTTTGAAGTGGAATCTCCCAGGCCTCCGGAACTAAAATTTTGTGGAAATGAACAAAGAATCTGCAAGTGTAGTTGCATGAATCAAAAGGGCTAGGTTTTATTAGGAGAGTTCAGAGTTTCAATGAAGAGCGATGTTAAAAAGTTTCAGAATGGACAGCTTGGCAAAACTATTATTAAGTGACTCTAAGGCCAGTTAACCTTGCTGCAGGCGTGCTGTCAGCAAGTGACACAGAGTCTTGTTTGGGATAGCGGCATAATGCTCTCAAGAGAGACAGATGCTCAAGACCCGATTAGAAATTGTGCGCTCACCATTACTCAGCAAGCTAAATTGCATCACTAAATGCAATTCAGAGTGATATTCCTGCTGCACCCTTTTTGTTTTGTGTTTTTGCTCAGTCACCGTAAGCCTACAGAATATATAACACCATATGGTATAGCCAACTCCATTTCAAACCAGGCCCTCCACAGGTTTGAGGGGGGAAAGATGGGGTCCCACAGCTTTAAGATCAGAAAGCTTCAAACGTAATGCTATTGTGAATCTCTGGCGACGATTGAGAATCACTAGAGAATTGTGAATGGGGACTACTGCTTATTTGTCCCTGTTGTGAGTCCAGTAATGTCACTGGCATTCGCCAGATGTGTTTTGTGGAGCTCATGAATTCTGTGAGCATCACGCATCTCTGCCTGTTCCTTTTCCTGTTGGGACTTCTCTTCTCCCTCTCTCAGTCATAGTGATCCCTCTCTTTTCTCCTTTCTTGCTTCCCCTTCCGGAGAGCAGGGTGGCCCCGTGGAAATCCTTCCGTTCCTCTTCCTTGGCAGCGCACATCACGCCGCCCGGAGAGACATGCTGGACGCCTTGAGGATCACCGCCTTGTTGAATGTTTCCTCGGACTGCCCAAACCACTTTGAAGGACATTTTCAATACAAATGCATCCCAGTGGAAGACAACCACAAAACCGACATCAGTTCCTGGTTCATGGAAGCGATTGAATACATAGGTACGTTCATCTTGGCAGGTTGGGTGGGTGAGGCAGAGATAGTGGGACACAGGCTTCAAAACCGAAGCTTGTGAGTCCAGCTCCAAACGGTGGAGCAAATGTTTAGGTCTCTAGCTACTAGAGTAAACTAGAGTAAATTTACAGACTATTTGAAAAATAATTGTGATGAACAGATTACGCTAGTAGGTTTGCAAGAAGTTTAGTAAGGTGAATTATTTGAAATATTGCAAAAAAAGACAATGAGGAGAATTATTAGTTAAAGATAATTAAAGGTAATACGAAATTAAGAAATGCATAAGAAGTGATAAGAACGGAAAATCATCAGAGGTGTTGACGGAAGTCCAAAGAAAACATTGTATAAGATGAGAAGTTTTGTTGTATGAATGATAATTACAGTGGTACCTCAGGTTAAGTACTGAATTCGTTTCGGAGGTCTGTACTTAACCTGAAGCACCACTTTAGCTAATGGGGCCTCCCGCTGCTGCTGCGCCGCCGGAGCACGATTTCTGTTCTCATCCTGAAGCAAAGTTCTTAACCTGAGGTAATATTTCTGGGTTAGCGGAGTCTGTAACCTGAAGCGTATGTAACCTGAAGCGTATGTAACCCGAGGTGCCACTGTAATATGTTAAAAACTTATACAGTGGTACTTCGGGTTAAGCATTTAATTTGTTCCGGAGGTCTGTTCTTAACCTGAAGCACCACTTTAGCTAATGGGGCCTCCTGCTGCCGCTGCGCTGCCGGAGCACGATTTCTGTTCTCATCCTGAAGCAAAGTTCTTAACCTGAAACACTATTTCTGGGTTAGCGGAGTCTGTAACCTGAAGCGTATGAAACCCGAGGTACCACTGTATATCCTTGCACAGTCCTGGCTGTCGAAGGATTCTTGCCTGTTGACATTGCTTCCTCCCTATTCTGACCTTTCTGCTTTGCTCCCCCCAGACTCCGTGAAGGCCTGTCACGGCCGCGTCCTAGTGCACTGCCAAGCTGGCATTTCCCGATCGGCGACCATCTGCCTGGCCTACCTGATCATGAAGAAGCGGGTGAAGCTCGAGGAAGCCTTTGAGTTTGTCAAGCAACGCCGGAGTATCATCTCCCCCAACTTCAGCTTCATGGGACAGCTCCTCCAGTTCGAGTCTCAGGTTCTGGCTACATCGTGCGCCGCCGAGGCCGCCAGCCCGTCGGGGACGCTGAGGGAAAGGGGGAAGAGCTCCTCCACGCCCACCTCCCAGTTCGTCTTCAGTTTCCCGGTCTCGGTGGCTGTGCACTCCACTGCCGGCAGCCTCCCTTACCTGCCCAGTCCCATCACCACTTCTCCCACTTGCTAGAGGCGGCCTCTGTGGGTTGCGCCCGGGGGTGACCCAAGGACAGAAAGACGGGCAGCCCCGTTGGCCACCGATCATGGCAATAACGTACTCTGCCCACCCAGCAGCCAATCAGAGCCCACCCAGAGACAGAGCAATAATAGCTACCCTTGCAGCTGGAATATTCGGGTGGGGAGAGGGAGGCGGCTGCAGCATGTCTTTTTGTGGCAAGATGACTTACCTCATTTTTTTTAAGTATATATATAATATATAAAAACGTTTGAAATTGTGAAATCGTCACGTTCTGGTGTGTGGGGAAGAGTAAGGGAGACGCACGCCTTGAGACAGGAGGAGGGACTTCACTGTGTTGCCAATGTTCCTCTTGGTTCCTGGTGCGTATATGAGGCCTACAGTATGGGGTTTGAGGCCACAGCTTCTCAAAGTGCCTGGTTTTTGGTCGCTGCTGCTATTATTTCTTATTATTATTTATTAAGAGGCCCAGGGTGGTTTTGAAGTAGGAGAAAGGGGTGGCTATTACCTCACAAAGCCGTTCTTGGATTCCACCGAAGCAGCTCTGTGTAAAAATAATCAGATCGAAAATGGCTTCTGTTTTGGCCAAGAGTAACAAACACACTTGTTTATGAAATGTTGGTGTGGAGCTGGAATCCACCATATTCAGTGTGGAATTTCCTCATGGTTGGCACTTTCAGTTACCGTATTTTTTGCCCTATAGGGCGCACTGGCCCATAGGACGCACCTCGTTTTTTGGGGGGGAAATGAAATAAAAAAATTTATTTCCCCCCCCCAGCCCCCTGAACAGGCTGCTATCCACAAGCCTTGCAAGCCCGGCGGGAGTTCCCACGGGCTCGCAAGGCTTGCGGATACCTGCGCGAAGCACAGGGTGCCCTCCGGAGGGCGCCCCATGCTTCGGGCTGCAGGCTGCTGCCCGCAAGCCTTGCGAGCCCGGCGGCAACTCCCACCGGGCTCGCAGACACCTGCGCGAAGAACTCCTGTTCCTGCGGGAACTCCCACCAGGCTCGCAAGGCTTGCGGATAGCTTCCTGAAGCCTGGAGAGCGAGAGGGGTTGGTGTGCACCGACCCCTCTCACTCTCCAGGCTTCAGTGAAAGCCTGCATTCGCCCCATAGGACGCACACACATTTCCCCTTCATTTTTGGAGGGGGAAAAGTGCATCCTATAGGGCGAAAAATATGGTACTTGCCTAAACAGTGCCCTTCCAGCATGCATTGGAAGGAAAATTACTTAACCCCTGGTTTGGATTTTGGGCGTCCTGTTTATATGGACCGCTCTCTGTGGTTCTAGAGAGGAATAAGCTACCAGCCTTGGCAAACCTGGTCCCTCCAGATGTTGGACTGCACTCCCCATCATCCCCAGCCAATGTGGCTGATAGTCGGGGATGATGGGAGTTGTAGTTCAGCAACAGCTGGAGAGCGCCAACTTGGTCAAGGCTCAGCTAGCTTATGTAGCCTCTTCTCCCTGGGCACTGCACGGCCCGATCCAATATTGGTTTCACCAGCATCTAGGGTCTCCCCCAACCTGAAATCTGTGCCCTGAAAAAATGCAGTTTTTCAAAAAAGCAGTTGGTCTAGAAGTGAAACATTTTAATCAGCTATATTGTGATCTGCTACATGTAAGCAGCAGCAAAATTAAGCAATACCTGTGTGCATCAGAGTAGCCCTCCAGTAGAGATGGAGAGGAAGACCATTTCTTGGAGGGGTAGGCAGAGTAAGATGCCTGACAATAAAAAGGCAACTTCACATTGATTCTTTGGCTCTCGGATTTCTTGATGTTTACCTTCTGTGGGGTGCAGACAAATATGGAACCACCCCTTTCCAAGAGGAGCAGGGAAGAGCAGATTCACAGAGAACCTCGGTACAGATGTTGCTGCATTGCGAGGGGATGTTGGAAATTGTGGTTTCCATGTCCAAAGACCAACATTTCCACACGTGGTACAGATGGACCGAGTATTGCGCTGTACCATTTAGTTACCTTCTGTCCATAGAGGCGAGAGTTGCACCAAGATCTCCAGCAACTTTAAGCCTGGTCCTTTCTACTACTGACATGTGGAAGAAAATTTCACAAATCAGGGCCTTTCTCAAGTACAGTGGTGCCCCGCAAGACGAATGCCTCGCAAGACGGAAAAACCGCTAGACGAAAGGGTTTTCCGTTTTGGAGTTGCTTCGCAGGACGAATTCTCCTATGGGCTTGCTTCGCAAGACGAAAATGTCTTGCGAGTCTTGAAATTTTTTTTTCGCTTCCCCCCCCCTTTATCTAATCTGCTAAGCCTTTAATAGCCTTTAATAGCCTTTTAGCAGCTAATCCCCTAAGCCTTTAAGCCTTTAATAGCCGCTAAACCGCTAATAGCGCTAATAGCGCTAATCCGTCAATGGGCTTGCTTCGCAAGACGAAAAAACCGCTAGACGAAGACTCTCGCGGAACGGATTAATTTCGTCTTGCGAGGCACCACTGTAAGATGTGTTTTTTAAGTTTGATGGGTTTAGCCTCCATATTCTTAGGATGGTTTTTCTCCTAACCTTTCTTTTGTTGGGGTGTCTAGCCTAACGGTGAATGCTTCCCCCACCCCCCCGAAACATGGACAAAGCTTTATTCACAAACATGGTGCATCCACTGGCATGCATCAGGTAGGGTAAAGGTGGGGACTGTGTGGCTCCCATCACCCCTGACCATTAGGCATGCTGGCTGGGGCCAGTGGGAATCCACCATCTGGAGAGCCCCAGATTTGTCTCTGAGGTTTGCATGATGCAACTTCAAATATTGAGGCACTATTTTATTATGTGGGGCAGAAGGACAGTGTGGGTGTGTTGGTTGAATTGGATAAAATAGCAAGGAACTTTCTTCTATATCTGACCACATGGTAGTGTTGGTAGAAGCTGTGCTGTGAAGGAATATCCTGCAGTGAAAACTCCTAGGGCATAGAATCGTCCAACCCCTGGCAGTGCATTGAACCTGGCTCAATGTGGGGCTCGAATCCACAACCCTCAGATTAAAGAGTCTCATGCTCTACCGGGTTCAAGGCTATTTGGTAGAAGAAAATTCAGTAGTCGAAAATTTCAAAATCCAGTTGGATTTTGAAATTTTATTGGAACGAACAAAACGTCACAGCTGGTAAGCACGTTCTCTAGAAGTCATTGTCAGGCTGGATGCCGAAGCTGATTCCCTTTTTTAAAAAAACACACCATAAAGCCCCACTGTTACTCAGCTCTTTCTTGTGTCTTCAAAATTCTAAAAAAAATACGTTGCATACTTTTAAAAGGAACTTGCAGATTACATATTTTTCCATTGCTGCTGCTTCATGTAGTGGTGAGATCATCCACAGATGATGATGATTTATTTATTGATTTTATATACCGCCCTATACCTGCAGGTCTCAGGTGGTTTACAGAATAGAATCAAAATATAAAGCCACAAAATCCATCATCAAAATAAAAATAATCCAACAACGCCCCCCAAAAACCCACATTTTAAAAGGGCATAGGACAAAGGATCTGCGACGCTGACAGATGCCCTGTGTCTCACCAATAACTCTGCCACTTTGTAGTGTCCATATCAACAGGCATTGTGGAGGGGCACTAAGCCACTAATCAAAGAAAGAAACATGTCAAATATGTCTATTACCCTAAGGCTGAACTTCACCAAACTTGTATACTGCAGGGTGTAAAAGGCAGGAAGCACGGCTTGATCGGGGTTAGCTGTGCTCACTGTGATTCTCTGAAGTGGGTCATAAGGATTCAGACCAGCCCTTCTTTGCCCTCAATATATCCGCTCCCTAAACATGGGGACTCAGTTTCACCCGTCACTCACTCATGGCTCCAGCATTGTGTCCAGGAGTGCTTCTTTTCTTCAGTCCGGAACCTGCTCCTGATCAATGTCAACTGCACAAAGGCTTTCAGTAATACTTGCAATTAAGTCATTTATTTCTGAGAGTTGATAAACATCGGCCTACTTCTCCCTTTTCCCCCTCCCCTCTCCCCTTTAAATATCCTATTCCCGTTTTCATTTCCCGAACCGCTTATTTTCCTTGTGCCGCAGCTCAAAGAAAATTTTATACTTCAATTCCACCGATTGTTTTTTATTTCAATGGGACTTTCGTGCAGAAATCTAGTACACTGTGGGGCGTTTGTTCTTCTACCACATCACCTAAAAAGCAGCCTCCTCTGTATTCCAGAGAGGAGGCAACCGGACGTAGGCCGGATCCGTAGCTGTTTTGTTGTTTTAGATGTGGTAGCCAGCTGCTGCCCTTGACCACTAGAGTGTCGAGGCCGTCAAACAAGGAACTCCCTCCCTGGGGACACTCTGAAAGAATCTGCTGCTGCTTCCCTTTTGCACAAGCCTAGCAGAAAGCTCACTTTCTATATCCTGTAGCAGACCAAAGAGGAGAGGACAAAGTTAACTTCAGTCCCAGTGCACAGGACTCTGGAATTGTGTGACTCTGTTCTTCTTGTTCATAAGACAAAAGTCCAGGCAGAGGAGGAGGTGATGGCAGACTCTTGTGGTGTCACAGGAGGAAATGGACGCATAGGAAGAAGCTACTGTGGTGCATGTTTTCTGCTCCTTGCTAGGTGTCCATTCTCTTCAAAATACTACACTATGTACAACTCCAATCTGTTGCTTAAAGTGGGGTGGAGTGAGGGAAAAGGCTTTTTTTCCCCCAATGGGATTTAGGCAATGTTAGAAAGGGGTGGAAATGCTCCCCTGCAGATTGCGTGATGGCTCAAATAAAACCTGCTGGGTTTCCCTTGGTTCCTCACATCCGTACATTCTGCTGCTACGAATGCTTCACCCCATGTGCAAAAGCCAATTTACAGCCCCCAACCACGTGTGTACCCCTGCAAGCAAGCCTCAAGCGAGAAAGCAAATTGGTCTGTGCCCTCTCTTCTCAGCTCATCTAAGTATGGAATGATTACACTGAAGTCTTCAATTTTCAGTCCCAACGCTTTAAATCAGACTTACACCCACACCTCCTAGTTATGCTACTTGCACAGTCACTGCCCAGCTTCTTGTTCTCTCCGTGGCCAAAGGATAGGAAGCAAAGATACCTCCTTGAAAGCAGGTGGCTTAGTCCACTCACCTTTATGAATGAGCTTTTGATACACCTCCCACCAGTGCAATAGCCCAAACTCCCACCTCTATATTTTTATGTATAGGCTGTCTCAAATGCATGTGTGTGTGTTTTAGGTTATCAAGTGTTTAATTTATTGTCTGACAATGATCATTCGAAATAAATTTCCAGTAATGGTCTCCTTTCATACATAGTAATAAGAGGCTCTTTGGTCCTGCTTGGGTATGGTCTTGGAGAGGGAAAATGGCAATAGTGAACAAGCTGGTTTATTTGAAAGGAATTTGCTATTCCTCATTTTATCAGTGAACCCTAGCCGACACCGGAACACAGTTTAAGGGGGATGGAATGAGGCTAAAGTGGAGAGGTGTAAAAATCTGCACCATAAAACAAAAGGCCCTTACATTATTTCTTCTGCACTTAATGTATAAATAGAAAGACCATTTACCCAGATAGTACAAAGCTGAGCTATGCTTCAGAATGCCATTTGAGTGTCAGGAAAACCAGGCACTGACTAAACTGTACAACGGGGTGAATCAACTCTATCAGCTTTAGAACTCCTGTACCTTTTAGATAACTGCTTTACTGCATATGTAATTTCCACTAAAAATAGCTGCACCTGTCATAATTCCCTCACAGTCACTATTGCAGATTAAAGATCCTTGAAGTTGGATGACTGCATTATTATATCAGCAATTCCCCCTGCAATATTTTACTACTTTATTCTGGTTTTGTTTTTTGGCTAGTCCTAGGGAGAGGCAAGGAGCCACACAAGACAAACCCTCCCACTAGCTTCTTACAGATTTATCTCTTCCTGTCTTCTGAGATTTCAGAAAGTGTTGCTCACGCTGTAGAATAAGCTGTAAGAACCAGAAAGTTTAAAAGAAATAAAGTGAGCTTGTGCATCCTATGCCACACATTGCGGCAATGTGGAAAGAATAGTGAGGTACACACAGCTCTGGCAACAACCAGCCTTTGGAGTAAGCAATTGAAGAAAGTGGTACAACCTTTGGTGCCTCCTAACACATGATAAAAACCGCCAAAAACGTTTTTAAAAAGTGTGTTTATTGAATCTTAATCTGTCACAAGTACTTATAGGTCAGACATTAAGTTAAAGCACAGTAAGATCTAAGTTGTTACATTGGCTTTATGCAAAATTCCATCACATTGGTTAAGTTAAGAGACTCTAATACCCTCTTTTAGCAAGAGGGGGGGAAATAAACATCCCAGTTCCAGGTCACAAACAATGAAAGGCCATTTTGGGATTTCATATGTTCTTCTATGGCCAACAGGTATCAAGAACACAAGGCTAGCTATGCAAGCAAGTTATACAAGGGTTTTTTTTGTTTCGTTTTTTAATGCAAAGCTAGTAGTTGGTAGTGCCTATGGAAATAACTAGGTGTTAAAATTGTTAGGAGGGTTGTATACACAGGTTGATGGCTACTGCAAAGTTGCCAATTGCAAAAAGAAAAGGAAAAGAAAGTTGAGATTGCATTGTAACAGACAAGCTTTTAAACCCTTTACCAGTAATACTTTGAACTGAACCAGCACACACACAAATCTACCTTCTGGTCGATCAGTAAGCTACAAACACAAATGAGTATTCACCGCCATAGACACATTTCAACTTCGATGCATAATTAGTCTTCTTTCTCCACCTTCACAGCAACAAACCACAAGGACCATGATAGGAAGTGAAGGTGAAAATATTACCGTCCTCTGTGATCACAGCCATATTTTCCTCCAATAAAAACGTTCTTTTTATTAATATGAAGAAAACCCAACTCTGTGCTTCACAAAACCTCTAAGCAGACATGGTGGTAACCTGGGTGAGATTCCATTCTTAAAAAAAATTAAAATTCTGCATCCAGTTTCTACAGCTTGTCTAAATTACCGTATATACTCGAGTATAAGCTGACTTTTTCAGCACATTTTTTTATGCTGAAAAAGCCCCCGACGGCTTATACTCGAATGAGGGTCCTTTCGGGCTGCTTGTTCTTCATCCGCCGCTGCCGCCACCACCAGGTTTGTGGTGTGAACTGGCTAATACTCGAGTCAACAAGTTTTCCCAGTTTTTTGTGGTAAAATTAGGTGCCTCGGCTTATATTCGGGTCGGCTTATACTTGAGTATATACGGTATGCTCTAAGCAAATATGCATGATCTTATTTCCCATGTGTTAACTATTTCATGTAATTCTACAATTTTCCACTATTTGTTCTACCTTTGTATTAGGGAATAGCAAGGAGCTATGAAGGATACTGAAGTCCTAGCCTCAATTTATGGAAATTTTATTCAACCAGCCCTCTGACTTCAGCAGACTACCGTATTTTTCGCTCTATAAGACGCACCAGACCACAAGATACACCTAGCTTTTGGAGGAGGAAAACAAGAAAAAAAAAATTCTGAATCTCAGAAGCCTGAACAGCAAGAGGGATCGCTGCGCAGCGAAAGCAGCAATCCCTCTTGCTGTTCTGGCTTCTGGGATAGCTGCGCAGCCTGCATTCGCTCCACAAGACGCACACACATTTCCCCTTACTTTTTAGGAGGGAAAAAGTGAGTCTTATAGAGCAAAAAATACGGTAATTGCCCACACAGTATAAAGCACCAGAAAACTGTGTTTTGGTGCAGGTGAGGTTAGCAGGAGTCCTACACCCAATATTATCCTGCAACTTTTTTCAGTGCTACTGAAGAATCACAGAATACATGCAGCTTTGCTCCTACTGGGTACAATCCTGGGGAGCCATTTCTACATATGTGAGGAACCCAACTTTAGGAGAATTCCTTTGAGAACAGTTGAAGGCTTCTGTCACTGACACTGGGTGTTGCAGCAATAACGACAAATCTAGTTCCACTTGCATGCATGAAGCCAGCTAAGAATGGGAGATTTATACTTGGGAGTGTCAGAAAGCACCAGAAGTGGTATTGATATTAGGATGCACAATAATCAGATGTATGGTGGGTGGAAACATTAGAGCTCATATTCATATGGACATTTTAACATTTGAGACCAGGATTGCTGCAAGCAAACGCAGCATAAAATGCATCAGTCTTCAGCCACCAATTTCACGGGCTCTATTCACATTCACAGCAGCCCACACACCATAGCCTGGGGAGCAGGGAAGGCTAGGCTTCTCTCGCAGCAATTTTGTTTGCAATGCGAACTTCAGCGGCCATGGATACAGCTCTCACATTCAAATACTAAGGCTTCCATGTGACAGAACCTGACTGCAGCCTCTGCCCATGCTGAGAAGGCTACTGTAAATGTGAACTAAGGGAACAAACCAGCTCCATTTTATCCATCAGCCACACAAACATGGCATTTTAATTTTTCCAGTCGTTATTTAATACGTTATTAAAATGCTGCCAAGTATACTACTAAATTAAGCAGATTAACAGCACTGAAAACAGCATCCAAAGTTCCCCCCGTGACGGGCTGTAATTCAGTATCCTGGCAGACGCTTTGATGTGCAAGGCCGAAAATTCAACACCCTCCCCATCCACGGTGGTAAAAATATTGACTAGCTGGTGATTCGCTATCCTTTAAGTGGTACGCCAAAATCTCCTCCGCCTAATGGTAGCCCTGCTAGCAGATCCTCCTGCCAATCTCTTAAGAGCTGGAACATATACAGGCATCCCACTACTTAATGCATGTCCTACTTGCAAGTGGCCATGTATATGTGCAGCGCTGGGTAATAATTAAATACAATCGTAGAATTCTAGAGATGGAAGGGACCCTGAGGATCATCTATTCCAAACCCCTGGAATGCAAGAATATTCAGCTGTCCCAAAAGGGTGACCGAACCTGCAACCTTGATGTTATCAGCACCACAATCGAACCAACTGAGCTGCCCAGGCTCTTTAAATAAGTCAATTAATTAAATAATTCAATTCAAACCTGGGAATGATGGGAGGGAGTAGGAGAGACCTCATGGCTCGCAAGGAGACTCTCCCCGGAGCCTGAAGAGGACGTCAGTGAAAGCAGAGGAAGCCCTGAAGAGACTGGAGACCCAGTGGGGCTTTGTTTACGCTGCTCAGCCGCGCAGGTTAGCACAGCAGCAGCAGCAGCAGCAGCAGCAGCTTTCCCTTGCGTCCTTGAGCTTCTTGCCAGCGCCAGAGCTTCAATTCTAGTTTGTGGATATTTTTGGATACAGTATTTTTGGCATGGATTGAAGAGACAGCAGCAGAGAGGGCATTTAAAGGGTGTTTAGAGGGCGCTGCCCACTTCACACAATTTCACTTATGCACATTGGGCCCCGGAATGTAACCCATGTGTAAGTGGGAAGTTGCCTGTATAAGGAAGACCCAGTACCTGATCTACTCTCCTTCTTTTGCTTTAAAGTAGGATTTTATTCCATCCTTCTTTTTGGGTCATTCCATTGCTCTAAACTGTCCCGTGGACCCGCAATAAAAAACACAACCCCTACAAAAGAGGCACATGCTGCTTTATTCCTGCTGCTGGACTTACAGCAGCTGGGGAGAGGCACAATTTAGAGTTGGAAACAGCACAGTACAGTTCCCAGCAGCACCGTTGCTTCTATCAAAATCAGAGTCTCCTATGCCTGGTTTAAAGCAAACAAAAAATGCATACACATCCTCACCACTTCAGGAGTTCAAATCATAGCTCGTGGAATATTCATGTTTTGCCCCAAGATCATGAGGCCCAGATAATTTAGCCAGAAAAGAGGGACTTGCCATCTTTTATTATCCCACCCTCTTTTAAAAAAAAAAAAAAAACCTGCTACAATTTGTCAGGGTTCCCTGGAAAGAGGAAACAGCTATTCTTAGAGAGTTCATTGAAAACATTTTTTTTATGGTGCAGATCTCTTTTCTACCAAATATTCAACGTGACATTAAAAAAAGGCAAATTCTGCAAATGACGTTTTGTTTCTTGCAAACCCCATTTTCGGCAAACAAATTAACCTTGCTGCTGTAGCAGCAACATACCAGTCACTGAAATGGTGTGACTTGGGGCATCCAGAAATAATCACCATGGGCTTTGTCACACATTTACATCTGCAGCTATATACTAAAAAATGTAGAATGCAATGTGATAAATGTCTCGTTCGCCAAGACATGCATCATACAAGTACATCTGTCAGGGATCTGCAGATAATGCAATGGCATTATATAATGTTGTGTTTCTATAATGTTGTGACTGAGGTCTGTTAACTAAATTCTGAGGTCTCTCAACCCAGTGAGTCAGCCCTCACTCCCGTGAACTAGTAGCCCTCGTTCCCAGGGCAGGATGAAGCTAATAAATTGTGCAATGTTTATAGCATCTTCTTGATCCATCCTGTAAGGAGTGGTTTTTGGGTTTTTTTACCCAATGGCCAAGGAGATACTGGATTTATTTAAATATAACACAATTCTTGTTACTTCGACTTCACAGTTGGAAGGAAGGAGTGTGCTTATGCCCAAAGCTCTTACCAGGCCTTCTCCCCAGAGCAAGTAAGAAGTTGTACTGAAATAATTACTATGGAATTTATTCTGAAATAAGAGGGTTTAGGAATCCAGTCTGTGAGTTCTTTGGGGCAATACCAGCTCCTGTATGAGAGAAAGGTGGCTATCATTTTATTCTGAAGGACAGTAAACACCAGGTGTGCATTTCATTTTTCTAAGACTATCCATGTTAGGCTTTGAGATCTCTGAAGACTTGGAGCAAACATGCAATGCGTATTTTTCAAGGTCCGACCAAGAAAGGGTTAACAGAATCACGTAACTACAAGACAAAAGCCACTGCAAATGGAATTCCTCGTACAGCACCTTTTACTCTGCACAAAACATCAGTTACAAAACACGGGCAGTTTAAAAGATTGGGGCCATAGTTTGAGAATCTGGCTGTTAGGACTCAAGATGAAATCTAAAACATCCATTAGGTGAACTCGCACACTGGAGGAGAAAGACAACCACAGAACTGGGACTTCTCTCTCCCGAGAGAAAGGAACACTGAACTTCCACATCCAAGTTAACCATTTAACTTAACTATGAAGTACGGCTGGGTTACGACTAACAACTACGTGAAGCTGGCGGAAAAGTCTTTTAGCTTGCAATGCAGTTGCCATATCCCCCCAGCTATGCTTAAAAACATAAATCCCAACATGAATGGAAATCAGAATTCTAACAGTGAAGCCCCAACACGCCTTCTTAATTAAAAGAAAAACTATTTTGGTCAGCTTTGGCCTTCAGAGTCCTACACTGTAAGCCAACAAACCCAACGAGACTTAAGTGGCCATGGACAACAGAAGCAAAGGGAAAGGTTCACAGTTGTCAAAGCTTGTTTCATCTGGTCTCTCTTAATATTAGAAGTCATTTCGTCAGCTTGAATCAAGTACTGATCTTGACCAATGTCAAAGTCTACATGATTATTATTGGCAAAGACATTTTTTCCAAAAGGTTTTTTGGGTTTTGTTCTTGTGCTTGCTGTGTCAGCAGGTAAGATTTTTTGCCACGATTTCCAAGCAGATGCCAGTATATGTTGTAAAATAATTGCCACAGTCTGCTGTTGTTACTCTAAAGAAATAATCATAATAAAACCTTTAATGGAAGAACTGTAATTTGAGCAATTCAACCTTCTTTGGCTGTTGACCTCCTCAGACTAAAGATTTTACAAGGTTATATTTCTACAACAAACACTGCAATCTCTCTGTTACATTTCCTATTTATAAACCTCTATTGCTACTTAATTTTCAACTTCTTCCTTTCTCCCCTAAAGCTATTTTGCATTGTTGTTTTTTTTAAAAAAAGTTGCTTCTCTTGGAAAAATTATTTTTTTTGTGGCTAGACCTCTGAAAATAGACAGGTGGGTCACAAAGAGGCTTCTTCACATACAAACAAGATGTATGGGGACGAATTTAATGGAGGGAAAATAACTGTCAGGCTTCTGGGATTAGATAAATGCAAATACGCTACTTGATCAATTGGTGCTTTAAAAAAAAAACCCCCCGCACAATTTGCATGTCAGAAGACAGTTGCTGATACAGCACGTGACTGAGACCGTCGGCAATGTAACAGTTTAGAATTTATTCTGGCTGTAAGCTTAAGGACAATTTTCACTTTCTCACAGCCCCTGTGTGGGAAAGATTTTTTTCTCTTGGATTGTACCAATGGCGGGCTCCTGGCTCACCCCTCCTCCCCCCCTTACTGGCTTGTTTTCATGGAGAGAACTACATGAGATGTCCAGTTCAAACAACCACTGGGGCTTTTGCTCACTTGCTCATTTCTCCCTGTGTTGTTAAGCGCTGGGATGGAGAGGGCTGGGATGGGCAGAAGGAGCAGTATCAAGGCCCATTGCTTGATCTCTTTCCAGAGAGAAAGCGATGACTGAAACATGCCATTAAACACAGGTTCCTCTGGCAGATTTATCTGTTTGTGTTCATCCTAGTAAAGTAACTCATACATTTCAAGGACAGGGGTGTTTTTAAAATGAGGTTGCTACATGAATACTAGTATGAACTCCTCTTATCGAAAGAGGAACTCAGGAAGGTCAAAAGGACAGGTTTCTACCCTGAAACTATGCTTCTAGTAACATAAAAAAAGAAGAGTTCATAAAAAGTGCAAAAAGAATCCCAAACCAAAGAACTAGATCTCTAACACCTTCTTGGACAAGAAATTCCTATTGCATTGTTCATTGATTTTAGTCAATTTGACTTTGTGCAAAAAATATCCTCAAGAAGGGCCTGGCTCATTTTCGTAACAGGGGGGTGGGGGGAGTAAAATAAATAGCCAACTAAGGACTTTTCGAAAAGACAACCAACTCTGAAAAGGCGGCATGGGTTCAGTACAAGCTATGCACACATCACACAACCAGAGCAGTGGCGTCAGAATTTATTTTTAAAAATATGGTCTGGACCTAGCCCTGCTTGTTAAATAATGTTCCCAAACACCCAGATTGAAGCAATGATGTCGTCACACACATGGCAACTGCAGGGAAAGTGAGCCTGAGATATGTTGTTAAAAGGCAAACCTTTGTAAACATTTCCTCAAAAGGAATAGTAGCAATTGAGTACGTATCCGTTACTCACATCTGTTTATAGAGCAATGCTTTATAAAACACATACAGCTTAGTTCCAGGGTGACAAGCATTTCATAAAACGTTGATGTTTTGAAACTAATGTCATCCATCCAGTCCGTAAGTTATTAAAGTCATCTGATTTGTTTCCCCAAAACAGCATTTACTAGGTCTTCTGCTCTGCGGCCGTTGCTGTCTGTGAGGGAGTATCTGGCTTTACAATTTGGTATGTAATCAGATACTCGGGGTAAGCCTAAGAACAAGAAGATAAATACAAATACAAATAAATTATGCATTTCAGAGGTTCAGAAAGAAATCACATTTCAGCCCACTTATTCCACCCCTCCCTATGATGCTGATGATGATAATGATGATGATGATGTATTACTTGTAACCTGCACATCTGGCTGGGTTGCCTCAGCCACTCTAGGTGGCTTCCACAGAATACAACCCTTTTCCAGTGTACTGCAACACTATGTCCACGTTCATAAGGTATCCATCACCCCTCCAGACATTGCATCCTCTATCTGGAAGATGTTCCCTCCATGCTGCTCACCATAGTTATCAGATGCTCATTTCCCCCTCCTGCAAAAGGCCGCAGGAGCCCTCTCACCCACGGCCAGTTCCTAAGCTCTTCCTTTTCTTCAGAAAGAAACTACCATCTGAACAAGTGCTACTAAAGAGAAAGGGCAGAGCATTAAGAACTGAATGTCAAAAGGGCATGGGAGGTTGAAAGCTACGTTTTAGACGTTAGGCTTTCTAAAGCATCCACCACAATGGCAGCTGCTGGTCCAGGAAGTCGCTTGGAGTCTTTTTTCTGTCCAATGTTCAGAGCTGGTAGGCGAGCGACACTATTTTGTCTCCTGCAAGCAGCACGCTGGGACTTATTTATCACATTCATATCCCCGCCTTCCTCTGAGAAGCTCAGGGTGGTAATACAGGGAAGTTACCCAATTTCAACATTGCATCATAAGACAGAGGGGGAGTGTCTGGCCCAAGGACTAACAGAGAGAGGGGTTTTTTTTGGGGGGGGGGGGCTTTAAAAAATGCCACTGAATATGAATCAGTGAAACAGATGGAATGAAACCCAATGAAATGTTTTTGTTTTACCACAGGTAAATGCTCAAATGTTCCAGTGGCAAAGAGATCTCTCTTGTTGCATGTATTATAAAACAATTTGGATCTTTTAGGAGCCTTTAGGGTTACCAGGCAGGGTTGACTATATTTTTTGGGGGGGTGGGAATTGAACAAATTCCTATGCCCCACAAATACCACAGAGATGCATTTTAAATAAAAGGACACATTCTACTCATGTAAAAACGGGCTGATTCCCGAACAGTCCGCGGGCCAGACTGAGAAGGCGATTGGGCCGTATCTGGCCCCCGGGCCTTAGTCTGCCTACCCATGCTTTACGCATTTGTGGCAGGAAACAATCACGTCTGCTTTGTGAAGCGTGAAAGGCACATGTGTCTTTAAACATCCATATATATATATATATATCCTGGCCAGCCAAGACAGCAAACTATAAATGTGCTGCGGGAAACAGCATTGTCACTCTGACGGTACACTCAGTGGATGAGCTTGCTGTGCAAAGCATGAGGCAGCCCAGATGGACTTTAGTGACACATAGGCAGTGCGCATCAGTTGACTGGTACAGTCAATTAGCACATCAATCACCCAGCTGTACAGAAGCACCACGTACACTGCTTACCTGTTCTCCTCTATAGATAACATACTCAGCATATGCAAGTCCATTGACGCTTGGCCGGCCAATGACTGAATGATGCCCAGGAGGGGCATGGGCCATTTTCATGGTGCTAAACTGCAAGAAGGATTTCCCCAGCGTCACACGACAAAAGAGCATTTGCCTGAAAGGGGGAGGAAAACAAGATGAACAAAGCAATGTCACTAGCAGGAAAGAAGGAATGCTTGGGATGAGGAGAAGAAGAAAAGGAGGAGGAGTTTGGATTTGATATCCCACCTTTTACTCCCCTTAAGGAGTCTCAAAGCAGCTAACATTCTCCTTTCCCTTCCTCCCCCACAACAAACACTCTGTGAGGTGAGTGGGGCTGAGAGACTTCAGAGAAGTGTGACTAGCCCAAGGTCACCCAGCAGCTGCATGTGGAGGAACGGAGATAGGAACCCGGTTCACCAGATTACGAGTCTACCGCTCTTAACCACTACACCACACTGGCTCCAGTGTGCAGCTACCTGAAACTTCTTAAGCTATTTACTTTGAATGCCCAAAGTTCTTAGAGCAGTCAAAAGTTGTATTTTAGGCTGCATTTGTACAGGCTTTCTGGCTTACTATAGGTTATCTAGAAATGGCAACATGCTCTCACATGCTGCCCAATTGCTTTGCGTGAAAAGCCACAACCAGCAAGCTAACAATAATCCATGGCTTCAGAGTGGTTAGCCAACGACACATCATGACTAAATTTTTACTGAGGTGAAAAAGAATTCAGATTTCCCCTGTTTCAGGATTCATGATTGAAGGGAGAAATAAGATGGCTAACCTAGGAAAGCAGGCATGGCTAAGGAGCAGATCTGATGAAAGTCCTGTGTCAATAACTAGCTCCCCAAGCTGTGTCTACTCGCATGTTGGACTACGGCCAAAGTGGCAGTGAAGCCAAAACTTTGTTATCAGCGGTTTTATTTAGTACACAGAATTTGTCAGTGTGCACAACAGAAACATTTCTCCGGGTGAAAGACCTGACAAGTTTAAAGCATTTCCTTCTATTTCCAGTTTGATGCTCAACCAGCACTTTTCCTCCCAAGAACTCTTAAAGAAAAAAAAACATTACATTTGGCTGACGGGGTGATACAGGTCACCAGAAACCCACCTGTGGCAGATGTAGCACGATCTGTCTTTATGCGTGGGGCAACCTGTGCCTCCCCCAATTCCATATACGTATTGGTTACTTTTAGAGGAATTTTCTGCAAAGTAAATCCCAGCTCCAAACATGCCTCCAATGTATGCGTGCCTTTCATCAAATCCTTTGTGAATAATAGCATTAATAAAAGGGGACCCTGGAACAGAACGTAAAACACGTTGCTTATGCATGTGGTATACAGCCTCCATGTTCAAATGCAAATTAATTAAATCAAATTCGGAAGCAATGTACAAATGGGTAAGAAACTGCACTGGAGATTTTCAAGTACATATTTATGATTTCCATATATATGAGGAAATGGCAAGCTCCCTACTTCAAATTTTGCTGAATATACACAAAAACAAAGCCATCTAGCTTTGTAAGCCATTCTCTGGGATTAGATAGCACTGTCACTTACAGCCAGAGTTCTGAATTTCTACTGATTATGTTGTTGGACAAACCACCAGTGTTGGAAAGAGTTTGGGCTTGTTTGCAAAGAAAGAAGGAAGGCTCTTCTCCCCCTCCCCCCACACTTGTACAATAGAAATATAGTCATTCATACTACATGGCTAATACTAAGGCTCAACCAATCCCTTTCTCTGATAGAGACTGCCAGGGGCATATAGGAAATCTCTGAACACCACCAGCACCAACATGGACTTCTGATCCTTTTCAACATCTGCCACCAATGAGCAATAACATTTGTTAAACACTCCAGAATCTTTGGCAAGCTCCTTTGACTCCAGTGGTAGGGTGCCTCTTCCATCATTTTTCCCAGCACCCTACTTTTAACTAACAGAGGAAGAACTGGGGGTGAAGAAATGATGTCGAAACAGAAAACTAATGTCCATTAATTTCAATGGGCCTGCTGTGTGTGAGACTAACACTGGATACAACCCAAAGGGAACAAAAAACACAATTTATGGATTGAAGTTACAAGAAAGGAAATTCTGATGAAACATCAGGAAGAACTTTCTGCAATAAGAGCTGTTTGACAGCGGAACAGACTCCCGCGAGAGGTGGCGGACTCTCCTTCCTTGGAGGTTTTTAAGCAGAGGTTGGATGACCACCTGTCATATATGAAGTAGCTCAGATTCCTGCATTTCAGGGGGTTGGACTAGATCAGGCTTCCTCAAACTCAGCCGGCCAGATGTTTTCAGACTACAATTCCCATCATCCCTGACCACTAGTCCTGCTAGCTAGGGATCATGGGAGTTGTAGGCCAAAAAACATCTGGAGGGCCGAGTTTGAGGAAGTCTGGACTAGATGACTAGATGAGGCAAGGCTACTCACCATGAAATAACATGCGTTCATTGTGGTGGTTATGGTTTTCTTCTGAGACTTCTTTCTGTCTATGACAGAATCTCTCCCTCAGCTTCTTATTCACCACCTTTTGAATCTTTAAAAGGATAAAAGATAAGCAATAACTGAACCAGAGAAACAGAACTCCAGATAAACTATTTCCATATAAACTGACATTTTAAAAATATGTGGGATTACCTTAAATAAAAGAAAACAGTATTACTAAATATAAGGGAGATCTTAGGGCTAGCTCTCTTTGTATGACACTCCACTGAATGAAAGAGAGGAGAGGTAATTTTTCCTGCAATCCCATGAAAAGGCGCTCCAGAGAATTGGGGGATCCTTCAGAAAAGGAAGGGGAAGTGGTACTCAGAGCTGCAGCAGGAACTGGTGAAAACTGCACCCCCCCTTCCTTCCTCCAGTGGGAGCCTCTGTTGAATTTGGGTCACGTGCACAAACAATGGGAGGCATTATAATAATTATCCCCTTTTGTAGCCTTGTATAACAAGCTGCAGTTTCACCCATGATTCCTCCAGAAGAGAAATACTTAACACTCTCTGGAGAATGTATGTTAGTAGATTAAGTACAATGTAGTATAATTCAGAGAAGAAATGGCTTGGACCAAAACACATTTGGCCCCAAGGAGAAAAGGCATATGGCAACATTATTCCACCAGGTTTCAAAGGCTGCTGTGGCACTCTTTCTAAACTGGAAAAGCAGTGGGTGCTGCTGCAGGTCTCTTATCTTTAAAGCGGATAAAGGCAGGGGCAACAAGCACTCTGATATGGAAAATGAGCACCATTGAACTGGTTTCTCCCAACCTTGAAGGGTCATAAGCAGGCATCCCCAACCTGCGGCCCTCCAAAAGTTTTGGCCTACAACTCCCATGATCCCTAGCTAACAGGACCAGTAGTCAGGGATGATGGGAATTGTAGTCCAAAACATCTGGAGGGCCGCAGGTTGGGGGTGCCTGGTCATAAGACGCAACTGAAATAAGGTCAGAAGGAGAACTGGGTGTGATTACTTATGAAGATCCTGAACTGGAAATATATTAGCCTCGTGAATATATGGCTAAGCTAAACCACCTGCTTGTGCTCCCTTTTCACCTGCTTCCTTAATTATGGCCCCCAGTCTAAAAGGTCAGTATAAACAGTAATGTAAAGGCTTTCTGTTCAAAGCTGCTGCTCAAATTCTCAACAGTACTCCATTCCTACGATCGCTTTATTTAGAGGACCTAAGAGTCCTCTATCCTGCTAGGCAAGGATTTCTTTATCAGCAAAATTGGTAGCTGTTTCATACGAAGGCTTTCAAAGTCATTGACACTTACCCTGATGACATTATACCTGTTGAAGATCCCCCCAGCATTGCCACCATCTCTGTGTTCCCTGATGGTACTCTGCATCTGTAAAACAGTCAAGTGGTAAGACACCCAGAAGGGGACATCTCAGAAATACTGCCCGCATCTTAATCTGGTGTTTACATCTATTGCCTTTTACGTTCTGTGACTGTGTGGAGGGGGAAAACAAATACAGAAGCAGTGTTTATCTTCCCAGCTGAGAGAGGCAAGCTGTGAATAAACCATTCTTGCTCTTCTTTCTATCCTTCTGAGGAAGGAGGCAGAAATGGAAAAGAGAAAGGTAGGTATTTCTGCAATTTTTTTTCTTTCTTCAGTAAAAGAATGAATAAGAGATAGTGATGCCCGCAGTCTTGTTTGTTACAGAGAAGGAACTTTCCCATTCACCTGATCCATGCCCAGTATAATCTGGAAAGGAGGCATGTTTCTGAGTTGCTCCCATCCTCATTTCATGCACCTCCTTCAATTAATATAAGCTCCTATCTGCTCCCAACAAGCTTCAACCCCTCGTGGGGCTGTAAGGGCATCTAACCAGATGAGCACAGCAGATAAAGGGTTGAATACTGTTTCCCTTTAGTGAATGAGAACTTGAACTGAGTCATGGACACTGAGAAACCTATCAGGCTTACCACTACTTGCTCCCCTGTAACCTTGTTGAGAGCGGGTAAATAAACTTTTATTCACTGAAGGAATTCTTTCTTTTTCATATCTAGAGACCATCTTGGCTGTGAGTCCTGGAAGACCTGCTTCCTGCCTGGCAGGGCTTTTTCTACCTGGCCTAGGAGGGCAGGGCCCTGAATAACTCCAGCTACAAATGTATTAACAACAAGAAGTTATCCAGCAACCTTAGCATTTGGAGCATTTAAAACATAAGACATAGTAATTAGGAATGCTCATTTTATCTCTAGAGGGTGAGAAACACAAAGCATTCAACATAGCCCTAAGCCACGGCATGTTTAAAGTACAACTACACAGGTTTTGGAAACAAGAGGTACAAAATTAACCCTAGGATATTTTGCAACTCTATCAGCACAATACAAACTGTATTTACAAACACAGATAGGCTCCTGTCTGCCAATGGAATTTTCCTCCAGGAAAAGATGGATTCAAGTGTATAAAGGGAGAAACAAAATTTCACACCACAACCTTCCATCCCCATGTGTTGCTCTGTGTTAGACTACTTGTGTCTTTCAGGAAATTATTTTGCGTCCCACATTGCAACAGACAGGTATAAAGTACCTATTTCAGAAGGTTTAGGTAATTAGTAAATTAAATTACTAGTTCCTCTACTGAACGATCAGGTGATCGCCAACTTTCAGTTCTCTATATGGTGTGGAAGCACCCTTAAGAAGTTTAATACATTCACGAATGAGTCAGTCCCAAATGTCTTTACAGATATAATTACCTCTTCTTCCACAGATTGATACTCTTTGTCGTCAGGAGCAAGGTCTATCAGGATAGTTCCCTGGCTGACACAGTGAAAAGTCAAATAAGGATTGGTGCCTGAAATACAGAACATGCACATTGAAATACTGCATCCATTCTACAAGTAATTTATATTCCACAGCCCGCAATTCTCTTGATAATACATAACTGCACAAGACCTTAGCCAATGCATGTAACATGCTGACTCCCTGACCACCGTTAAGAGAAAGGGCTTTGGAAATAGGTTGGCATGGTGGTTCCTTGGGCAGGAGCGTAAGAGGAACTGCTGTTTGGAAGGCGCATGGGAAGGGTTGGTGACAAGCGGCGCTTCTGACACTGTGGCAATAGGAATAGCTTGATTTTGTGTGAAATTCGGGTCATGACTTAGGCATGAAAATAAAACCATCTCATTTCATTTGCATTTTTTAAAAGGGGTTTATATTTTATTCTGGTGCTCTTTTCCTTGTTGCCTTCAAGGCCATCAGGCAAAACTGCTGTGCTCAAGCCTGAGGTTCTCTAACAGATTAGGCTACAAAAATGAATAGATAAAGTTCCTAGATCGCTCATTACCTAAGGACCTTCCTGAAAGATTTCTATAGTATACGAAGGATGGAGCTTACTGTTTGTAGACAAAGCTCCAATTCATTTTGATGCAGGATGCTTTAGCAGACTCACCTTGCTGCCCACCTAGAAGTCTCTCTACACCTTTTATCAACTTATGACGATGCCCATAGGCATTGATGCCAATTTCTTTCAGCTCCTCGTGTCCCATGTCTGCCAGTACATCCAACGTAATCTGAGAAGCACAGAAAAGAACAAAAATAAGTATTTTACGTTAGGACAGGGATCTATCTTTTTTACTGATTTACCCCTACTGAAATGAATGGGAAAGTAAAACTACCAATGCCTATGCTGATTGGAAACTAAAGTCCAAAGGCCCCTGCACACACAAAACTAGCTGCATCAGTTCCTCCAATCTTAGACAGTATCTCCTACTATTCTAGGTGTATTATAAGACTAAAAAATAGTGGAGCACTACTTTGGAGCGAGCAGGATCTTACCTGTTCTGTTTCAAAGATATCCCGAAGATGTTCCAGACCAAGACTCTTCAGGAACTGACTGATGTTCATGTCAAGTCCAACAACTACAAAAGGATGCAAACACATACTGAACAATGTACCAGACATCAATTGCAAAATGCAATTTTTAAATGCAAAAACTAATCCATCTTTGAGAAAACTTTCATTGAAAGTAGATTGAGGGGGAGAAACCTAAATATGAAGAATTATTAAGGAATTCAGATGAAGACTAGGTGTATTTCTGCTGAGGTGTTTTTTTCTACAAAGTGGATTCCAAAAGCAGGTTCAGAAACTTTGATTCACAGTTTGTGACATTTAAACTGTTAAGTATAGGTTAATGCTACAGAATACTTTTGAAAGAAAACTAAGCAACTGTTTCTTTTATAAGGAATTGCATGTTCAATGCTTCCTGCCTGCTTTTCTATCAGTATCACCCTATGATATTGCATCACTTGCATGAGGAGGCCACTCATAACTGTCAATAGTTAAACTACACAAATGTATTAATCCCCTCTTAACGATCACCACTATTTCTAAAGCCTTACAACTTTGGTTATATTTTCATGTATTCCTTTCTACAAGTCAAACTTCCACTATAGGCCGAAACAAACAAACAAACAAATAGAACACATCTTTCACTAATTAGAAATATAAAAAAAACCCAGGAATCAATTGCTAACAAAAAGTCAGGAAGATTATTGATTCAAAATGAAATTTCATTTGATTAAAGCAAATCCTTGGACTCTGTAATTTATTTTACAGCTGGACCAAATAACGAAGCAAATTTATTAGGATAATGTGAGAGATTACAGTAGTCACAGTGCAATCCTACATATATTTGTTTTTACTGTTGTAAACTGCTTTGATACATTTTTGTGATACAGCGGTATATAAAAATTTTTATGAATAAATATAAGTAAGTCCCACTAGGTACCAGGGGGCTCACTCCCTAGTCAGTGTGCACAGGATTGCAGCCTGAGTGTTTCGCGCTGTCGGCAAACTTACCTTCTCCTTCTTTTCTTTCTGTTCCTGCTGCTCCGTCACCGGCATTGGATGCCCCTCCCACTGCTATTTCTGCCAGAGGTCCTGCAAGGTTGTCTATGCTGCTGGCAGCAGAGAGACAGGATGGAGTTGATGCTGGCGAAATGATAGAGGCACTAACAACAGTAGCCTGAGGTTTAAAGCAGGTTGGCAAGGCCTCTGGGGGCATCGCATCTATCAGCAAGGCTCGAATATCATCAGCCTGAAAACATGAAAATCACATATACAAAAAAATAATAATTAGAACCAGCGTTCAATTGTTTCTTGAAGATGTACCCTGATTAGATAATTTTTATTTCAATATCCGAGCTGTTCTTTAAACTGGCATCGCTTGTGAATGTTAAATACCATCAGCCCTGGACACCAAATTTGGAAGCATTAAGTTCTGCTGTTTCGAAACTGAGATTATTTTTACGCATGTTCACATTTCAGGTGCCATCACTTGGTTTTTAAAGTTCAATATAAAAGTTCAAGGAGCAGGGTCAAAATCTAATTTAAGGTGGAAAGCAATCGTTCAATAGTAACCAAATGAAGGAACACATCGTGAATTTGCCTGGACGAAATGATGGGCTTACAAACAAAGATGCACAATCTGTATAAGATTCATAGTTCTGCCTGCTCTTCATGTAAAACAAGAGAATTGTAGTATAATGAATCATGTGCTGGATTTGGGCTGGAGAGAAGCAGGCCCAGGTCCCTACTTAGTCTTGAAACTCACTACGAGGTCTACCTGGCCTTGCAAGGTTGTTTGAGGGGATAAAATTGGGCCAACTTTACATATGCCACCCTGAGCTCCTTAACAGAAAGGTCAGGATATAAATGTGGCTGATTAGCGTATTTTTCGCTTCATAAGACGCACTTTTTCCCTCCGAAAAAGTAAGAGGAAATTTTGTGTGCGTCTTACGGAGCAAATGCAGGTGGGAGGCAGGCGGGAAAAGCCCACAAGAGCCACACACACGATCTGCGCGGCTCTTGCGGGCTTTTGCGGGAGATGGGGGGATTCCCCCACCTCGTAGAAAAGCTCACAGGAACCGTGCACCCTTTAAAGAGCGTGCGGCTCTTGGGGGCTTTTCCCCAAGGAGGGAGAAGGAAAAGCCCCCAAGAGCCGCACACACACTCCATGCGCTCTTTAAAGGGCGAACAGCTCTTGGGGGAGATTTAGCCGCGCGCAGCCTCTCCCGGGCAGGGGATGAAGGCTCCCCTTCCCTGCGCTGCGATCCCGCTGGCTGTCCTGGTTTCTGGGATTCAGAATATTTTTTTTCTTGTTTTCCTCTTCCAAAAACTAGGTGCGTCTTATGGTCTGGTGCGTCTTATAGAGTGAAAAATATGGTAAGTGAAAAGCATGCTACTGTACTAGTTCTGCAGCATAGAAATAGCTGCTGTTTCTTTTTCAGAACGGACTTACTGTAGCTAAATCCAAAGGTGTCTGGCCTTCTTGGTTCTTCATCGTTGGATCTGCTCCGTGAGCTAGAAGTAGGGCACACAGCTGCGTCCTTCCTTTTTGTGCTGCTTCATGCAATGGCGTAAATGCCCATTTATCTGTGGCATTTACACAGGTATTGTACTTAATCAGCAAAGCAGCTATATCCACATGCTGCCGGCGGGGCGAGAGAGAGAGATAAAAAAAGAGAGTAGAATAGCAAGCAGGCATTACCCATAAAGGAAGTGCAAAAGGAAGCATTCTTAAATGATGGGTTATGCATTTATAAGTCTTGGATGGATGGACGTATTAAGTGCTGGAAGCTCCTTAACATACTTGCAGTATACTGAGGCTCCTGCAGTTCTTCAGTTACCTGGAGTTTCCCTAAAGTGGGCTTTTCTTAGTTGCAATCAATAAGCAAGCCTTTTTCCATTTCTACATAGGAAGATGGGAGCAGAAGAAATTGAAAAAGGCTTGCTTATTGATTGCAAATATGAAACAAAGGGAGCAGGATAAGGTAGAACTCCCCTAATACTTTGATCTGGATTTCACCAGTCCACTGGCAAATACTGATGACTATCAAGGGGTAACTTAGCATGGTAGTCATGTGACCACTAGAAAACAGTCATGTGCATTTTTCTGCCACGTCGTGCAAAGAATCATCATTCCCCTGCTGCTCAGTTTTTTGGCCAGGTGCAAAATTCTCACCCCCAGCTTATCAAATAGCTATATTCACGCAAGGAACAGTTTCGGTAAAAATGATCTATTCACCCTATTTCAATTAAAAGTCCTGGAAAGACGTTTCTGTTTCCCATCTGACAGGCTTTCCACTTAAAGGGAAAACTGCAGTAATTAGAAGCTACCAATATACTCTACACCTCTACCAGTTTTAGCAAGCTTTTATAGTATATTGCTGCTGCACCTTCTTTGGGGGTATAGATTATTTTCTTCATTATTTATTGCTGTTATTATTACTTGCTGGGTTTTTTTTGGTTTTTTCTTTGTTTTGCATTGTAAGGTGCCTTGATAATTCTACAGAAAGGGGGAATAAGAGTCTTGAAAATCTATACATTAATTAATAATGCTTACCCCATAGGATGCTGCGTTATGTAGTGGAATTAATCCTCCTTTATCTTGAGCGTTGACATCAGCACCATGCTCCAGAAGATACTCAGCAACTTCCAAATTATTGTAACCGGCTTTATGAAGAAAAACAAAGCATCAACGGAACATCCAGCGGTTAATAGAAAAATCACTTGTATTTTTAATCGAGAACCTCTCACTTCCTGCTGCATTCATGTATGATTCTTTAAATAGCTGGGACTGTTTCCAAGACAATTTTTGGGTGAATAAATTATGTGGCTGTGATAAAGAAAGCTTGACAAACCACTTACCAGCAAGATGCAGCGGAGTTGAGTTTCGTCCCTGGGTATCTCGGCAATTGATGTTTTCTGGAGAACACAATTTCTGAACTCGTGCCAGGCAGCCCTTCTTGGCAGCATCCAACAGAGCTGCGTCACCTCGCAGCAGGTCCTGTATATCTGTGTCTCCCTCCTTCACGAGGTCTAGAGGTGTGTTGCCATCTCTGTTCTTTTTTGTTGGATCTGCTCCATGCTATAAACAACATTTCTACTGTTTACTAGCAGAAATAAAATGCAGGGTGGCTAAGATTCCGATTCCTTCACCCTCCCCACAGGACCCCAAAACAGAATAGTTTAATATTTCTAGATAAGTAAAACTAAAATGGGTCTACTCAAGAGTGCAACTCATAGTGTATACCCCTCTAATACTATATTAAAGTAACGCAGTACTCAAAGAAAGAATATATAAATACCAGCAGGTGTTACGTAAAACAGACCCTAATGTATTTAATAGTATATGCCAGTAGAGAATATGTGGGCAAATGTATTTTAACATATACCACACATTCAAGATAAAGAGATGCGTTTTCCCTCACTACTCAATAAATTATTCTGTTATTCATTTCATAAGCCTAAGATTAGCACTGTGTTTGAGTGTGACGTTATTCTGCCTTGAAGCTCATAAACTCTGTGAAATCTCCAATCAATAATTATCCAACACACCGCTCTCTCTTTCAGAAGTACCATAGGAAAACCTTAAAATCCAAAATTCAATCCGCTACTGTTCTCATCTTCTCAATATTCCCTCTTACAAACACATACCCTTATAAACACCCAAATACCCTTTGTTGTAAGATCTAAGTATTCACTTCCTTGTGTTTTATCACAGCACAAGCGAAGAGAATCTCCTTTCAATACAGTACTTAAACCGTGAGATTCCGGTGGTATGAAATGTGTTCACTGCAACAGAACTAAATCTGCTTTCTCTTCCTTAATCCATTTACTTATTTTACATCTTTTAACCAGATTAAATAGCTCATTAGGATGAAAATGAATTGGTCCAGGCTGCAGCTCTAGTTATACTTCATTGCATGTGACTAGTCACCCCCAAATGAAGGTGGGCATCAAGAACCAAGCAAAATGTCCAGTTGGGAGAACTTTGTCCCCTGAGAGGTTGATGACAAGCCAAAGCTCTGGCAGCAACTTGATAATGCTCTTTCAAATCGATTTTTGGACAGATCTAACAATAGCACTGGTCTATCATCTTTCTACAGGGAGGCGGGTGGTGCTGTGGGTTAAACCACAGAGCCTAGGACTTGCCGATCAGAAGGTCGGCGGTTCGAATCCCTGCGACGGGATAAGCTCCCGTTGCTCAGTCCCTGCTCCTGCCAACCTAGCAGTTCGAAAGCACGTCAAAGTGCAAGTAGATAAATAGGTACCGCTCCAGCGGGAAGGTAAACGGCGTTTCCGTGCGCTGCTCTGGTTTGCCAGAAGCAGCTTAGTCATGCTGGCCACATGACCCGGAAGCTGTAGGCCAGCTCCCGCAGCCAATAAAGCGAGATGAGCGCCGCAACCCCAGAGTCGGTCACGACTGAACCTAATGGTCAGGGGTCCCTTTACCTTTTATCATCTTTCTGGTGATAAGATGCCCTGATGTCTTTCTATATTGCCTCTCAGGGAGATCTCCAAGCCAAGACACCACCCCCAATCCCTCTTTTCAGGGTAAGTCAGACTAGCTGGGAGGAAGGCAGGGCAAACAGAATAAAATCAGAAATAGAAAATGGCGGAAGGTACAAACATTGCCTGAGCCTGTCTCCAGGAGTAGGCAGGACTGAAAACTGGGAGGGGTGCTCTCTCTCTCTCTCGTGCAAGGTAAATTACATAGCCCTGCCTTCTGAAGCGAGTGGGAGGTGCAATCCTAACAGGGATATCCCCCCACCATTTCAGGAAAATAGCATTATGCTATGAGTCCTTACAAGATGAATATCTTCACTAAATGGTTTGTTCCACATATAACTCAAAGAAAAGGAAGGAGGAAAGAGAAAAGAAGAAAAGGTTTTGTAATTATTTTGATTGCTTCTTCTTTAAAATTATCAATTCTCCTCAAATAGGCCCAGTAGTAAAAGCAGATTTTATAATTTTCGTACTACCTTCCTGAAGATGTTCCTTTAAAAATACAAAAAAGAATGGCTTGTGGGTAGAGACTTTCCAGAACAGAAATGCTGATACCATGGAAACTGTGAGAAGCCCATGAAAGAATATTAATCAGTTAGCCCACAAGTCTGACTACAGGTGTTGTGATTTTTCAAAGAGAAAATCCTGCCCTTGCCCTGAAATTGCTTCACAGCAGTGCAGAAGTAGATGTTGACAGCTGAAGGCACAACTTCAAATTGTAAATAATTATCTTGATAATTTTATGGAGGAGGAACAGGAAGGGACACTCCCTCCCCCACTAAGCTGGTTCCTCCTGCAAAAATAGCCCCAGACAGATGTCCATTACAAGCACCTAAGTCTGCTCTTCCATAAGCTGTGGGGGTAACAGAAAGTTGTAGAACCCATTCACATGGTCAGCAATCCAGCAATACTATATAACTGGTGCAGGGCGGGTGACACCCCTTTCTTTGCTGAGAAAAAAACTAGAGAAGGGGTATTAGTGCCCTCCTTTAAGCTCCCCAGAATAATATGGATGACCACTGTTGGAATCAAAATGGTGGTCTGGATTAAACAATTGTTCCAATTGTTCTCAAGGCAGAGAATCCAGCAAATAGAGAGTCTATCCTCTGAACATTTTAAAAATGCTTGGACAAGCTTCAAATGGCTTCCCACAAGAGACAAGTGGGAGAAAAGTGATGCTTATCTTGGAAACCATTTGAAGCAAAATGGTGGACTTGCACATGCTCACTTTAATACAGTGAAGTTGTGACAGTAAGTTTACCAAAAGGAAATTTTAACAATTTATGGAGTCTGGAGGGAAGGTTTTGATGCAATGCATATCTTTCTGCAGACATAAAGAGCAATTTCCTTTTAAATCCAGAGTCAAACCTATGAAACACCAGTTAGGGACTCAAATCGTTTTCACAATGGTGGCAATTTGAGTGAGACATGACCTTTATCAGATAAAGGAGGGTGAGGGGGAAGAAAGGGAGAAAAATGCAACTAAGTTGTAGAAGGAACCACTTCTGTTAAGAGTATAAACACAAATACTACATTTAGAAATTTAATGCACTGCCTCTCCGACCCCAACAGATTTACTTCAAAAATTTGTCCTAATTATTGCAGCTAACATTCAATGAATTAGAAACCAGGAATTATGAGTTCAGATTTTTCCATGGCATGCCGCACATACAAACTACTGATTTTATTTGCAAAGGCATGCCAGTTTCCAGAGATACTATACTTGCAGCCCCATGTGCGTGTGACTGTGTATACACGCATTGCGCCAAACCCAGAAGTGACCCGGAAAGGTCATAAAGACACCACTGAACCATCACTAAATGAGTGAAATGGTAGAGGACCAGGGTGAATGGGGGTGTTTGCAGGCTTTTTCAATGGGTATGTATTATGCTCGATTTCATCAATGCGCACAGGGCCTTGGAACGTAACCCCCGCATAAACGGGGGGGGGGGGCTGCCTGTAAATCTGAAAAAGAGTACCATGTCTAACCTATAAGTAAAAATACAATTGTATTCATTATGTAATTTTAATTTTTATTATCATTTCTGATCTTGTTTTCATAGAATCATGAAATCATAAAATCCTAGAGTTGGAAGGGACCACAAGGGTCATCTAGTCCAACCCCCTGCTAGGCCTGGGTGATTTATCAATGTACCACCCAGGAGCAGTATGAGGAACTGGTTTCACTCAGTGGTATATCGCTGGTGAAACCGCCACTGCTCCCAAGTCCCTCTGCTAGCAGCATCCCCTGGAGGGAGTCAAAAATTCCTTCCTCCAACGGTCACTGCTAGCAGAGGGATTCAGGAGTGGCGGTGGTTTCACCGGCGATATATCGCAGGTGAAACCACCATCCCACTCTGCCCTCATACGATGGAGAGGGAGAAGCAAGCTGTACCGGTGAGGTGTCGATACACCTTGTTCCTCCCTTCTGCATCTTTAAACTGCTCAACTGAAGAGTGTGCAGCTGCCCTTGCCTCAGTCAAGCAGTTAAAGGAGCCCTCAGTCCTGTGCTGGCTCCCGCAAGTCTGCGGTGGAGTGGGGGCTCTGTGAAACTGCTTGGCTGAGAGGAACACGGTTGCCACTCCCCACAGCAAGCAGTTAAAGGAGCTCTGATGCTCTGCCCACTCACGGTCAAGCGGGGAGAGCACTGGGGCTGTCTCAGCTGGGGTGGGGAATGTTCCCTCCTCCCAGCTTAGCTGCGCAAACAAGCTGCATTGCCCCAGCCCACCAGCCTCGATGAAACTGCCTCAGCTTTCAAGGTGAGAGCTGGGGCAGTTTCACCCGGTGTCTCGCGGGCAGAGGCCAATGCATCTTGTTTTTTCAATGTTGCGGTATATCGCCAAACCACAATGTTTGGCTGGCGACACACCACGATGTTGCAAAGTTGGTATCGCCCAGCCCTACCCCCTGCAATGCAGGAATCTTTTGCCCAACATGTGGGCAACCCTCAGATTAAGAGGCTCATGTTCTACCAACTGAACTATTGTCTAGCTCAGAAACACTGCGTGCGGTACCATGTTCCACAGGTTCCATTAGATGAAGGCGCTTTATTAGAAGAAAATTCAATAGTCGGAAAATTTCAAAATCCAGTTGGATTTTGAAATTTGATTAGAACAGACAAAATGTCACAACTGGTAAGCACGTTCTCTAGAACTCATCGTCAGGCTAGATGTTAAAGCTGATCCCCATTTCTTAAAAAATAAAGCCCTGCTGTTACTCAGCTCTTTCTCACGTCTTCAAAAGTCTAAAGAAATTGTAAGTTGCATACTTTTAAAAGGAGCTTGCAGATTTCATATTTCCCCTTTGCTGCTGCTTCATGTAGCGGTGTGAACTTCCACAGATCTGCGACGTTGACAGATGCCCCGTGTCTCACCAATAACTCTGCCACTTCGTAGTGTCCATATGAACAGGCATTGTGGAGGGGCACTAAGCCACTAATCAAAGAAAGAAACATGTCAGCTTTTAACATGTCAGGATCTAGAAGTAAGTAAAAATTGTAGTTATCCTTCAAGATAAATCAGCATTCCAAATGATGACATCAACTGTCTCTTACAAGTGATGGACCTCCAAACCTTAAAAATTATATACATTTAGTAAAAAGGTAAAGGTAAAATAGGTAAATGGCCCCTGGTCGGTTAAGTCCAGTCAAAGGCCACTATGTGGTACGTCGCTCATCTCGCTTTTCAGGTTGAGGGAGCCGGCATTTGTCCACAGACAGGTATAATCAGAACACTGATGAAACGCAACCCCTTTTCCTCATGAGATCCAGAAGCAGAAATCTTCGTCCAAAAAAACCAGCATCTGGCAGCAGTGGATGGGGCCAACAGGTTGAAATTTAATCAAGAGTTTGCCTTTGTTGGCTGCAAAACCGGAGCATATAAATAGAACCTCTGGACTGTGGCCATACAGCTGAAGAATAAGGTACTGAAAAGCACAGAAGCAAAAGGACTTGGAAAGCAAGAAGCTATTCTATTCACACACAAAACCGTAAATTGAATCCCAGGTTACCCTTTATCCTTTGCATGCACATCCGCTCCGTGATGAAGCAAGTACTCCACGACTGACACTCGGTTATAACCTGCAGCGAAGTGCAATGGGGTTGAATGACGCCCCTCCAAATCCCTGCAGTTCACATTCTGAGGACTGCAAAGTTGCTGTGAAATGAAAATTGAAAAGGAAAAACATCCATAAAGAAACTCGTGAAAGAGACCTTTTCAAGCAGTTACCACCTTCTCAAAGTGTAAAAATGAGAGGAGGTTTCATTGCTGCTGCTTATCTTTTTTCTTTTTTCTTTTTGCCTCAGTGGCTACTGCCATGCCCTGCCTTACAGATGCAAATTCTTGAATTGCTTATTTAAATTTTAAACCATGAAGTGACTCTCTTGCAATAAAGAACACCAATTCAAAACGTTTTTGAGTAAGACAGGGTTTTTAAGTCTACTCACAATAAGCCATGGGTTTATCGTGACATCCAAGCTGGTCTGCGAGTCATAACGGTCTTACTGTGCTCTATTTGCAATTGTGATCCATTTAATCCCACTGATTCTAAAGCAGTCCAACGCACCTGCCCACCAGCGAGCTGAATTATAATGCACACAAAAGGGAATCATCACACACAAAAGGTAGGGCTGATTTTGATGGTGCCAAATACTTCCTCCTATCTTTTTAGGCAGATCACAGAAGCAATGACAGTAATACAGTGGTACCTCGGTTTACGAACTTAATCCGTTCTGGAAGTCCATTCTTAAACCTTCCCTAATGAGGCCTCCCGCCGCCCTTCCACCATTCAGATTCCGTTCTTAGACCAAGGTAAAGTTCGCAAACCGGGACACTACTTCAGGTTTTGCAGAGTTCATAAACCGAATTGTTCATAAACAGGACTGTTCTTAAACCAAGGTACCACCGTATACAGGAACACACTGGGTGTTATTTGCTCCAACCTACCTTCACAGTTTCCAAGTCTCCAGCTTTAGAGGCTTCCAACAGTCTGTAATCCACATCAGATGTATGTACAGGAGTGCTCTCTACACAAGAGACAAAAAAATTATAAACAGGTTGAATTCATAGAAACAACTTTTAAGTAAAAATATGAACTACAAACCAGGACGTTCCAGTTCAGTTGGTAGAGCACGAGACTCTTGATCTCAATGGGTTCAAACCCCACGTTGGGCATTGCAGGGGGTTGCACTAATTGACCCCCGAGGTACATTCCAACTTTACAATTCTATAAATCCCACCTTCCACATGAGTTCAATGGATCAACTAAGACAAGTAATTACATGTCAGTTGCAGTCCCCATATGAGGAACATACTGGGGCATACCATGGGGCTGGAGCAACTCTCCAATTAGGAAATGTTATAACATTTGAGGATTTCTAGCTTAGGGGGGAAAGTGAGCAATGACTGACTGATGGACTGAATTTCTATGTTGCTTTTCATTCAAATGAATCTCAAAGCGGCTTACAAACAATACAGAACAATAACAGAACAGAACACCGCAAATACAGCATAAAATACTGTATTCTTCGCCCCATAGGATGCACCGCCCCATAGGATGCACCTAGGTTTTTTGGGGGGAGGGGGGATAAAGAAAAACAAATTATTTCCCCCCCAGGGACGGGGCTGCCGCAGGGGAAGCCCGAGCTTCCCCCGACCCCAGCCCCCAGAACAGGCTGCTGCCTGCAAGCCTTGCGAGCCTGCTGCGGAGCGCGCCCCGTGCTTCGGGCTGCCGCCCCAAGCCTTGCGCGCCCGGCGGGAGGTCCTGCCGGGCGCATGAGGCTTGCGGACATCTGCCCGAAGCACGAGGCTTGCGGATAGCTTCCTGAAGCCTGGAGAGCGAGAGGGGTTGGTGCGCACCGACGCCTCTCGCTCTCCAGGCTTCAGCGAAAGCCTGCATTCGCCCCATAGGACGCACACACATTTCCCCTTCATTTTTGGAGGGGGAAAAGTGCGTCCTATAGGGTGATAAATACGGTATATAAAATAATCCACAAATCATCAACAGTTCATCAATAAAACAATTATAATATATAAAACACTATTAACAAAACAGCAACTAAAAAAGAAGCCGAACATCACAATTACAGCATATTATTTTATGAATAACCAATCAATATGGCATTTATAATCTATAAAACATTAAAAACATTAACAAAATAGCAATAACAACAAAATAAGCTAAGCACTGTTGAGTTCATGCACTCTCCATGTCTCATTTTTGCTTCTCAGCTACTGGCAGAGCACACTTGTGCTCAAGTCCTGCCTGAGGGCTTCTTGTAGGCATCTAGTTGGCCACTGTGAAAACAGGATGCTCAACCAGATGGGCTCAACCAGGGTCTGATCCAGCCTAGCTGATCTTATGGAGCTGTAAGAATTAGCAACAGTAAAGCACTTTGTAACGTCTAATGTGTTCCCTGTTTTTGATATTGAATTTCAAATTGTTGCAACCCATCATTGCATCTGCTGGTGAAGTTCGGGTAACTAATACTAATTATTTCATGGAAGTGACAAAGGGAGATGTTTGTTTGTTTGTTTGTTTTGTATACCACCTTTCATCTGCAGATCTCAGAACGGTTCACATAATAAATATACTACATAGAAAAACACAAAAGACATAAAAACAAGAACAAAAACAAAAACAAAACCCAAGAAATCTAATGGTGCCTGTCTTCTGGCAGGCTGGACACTACTGGCACACTACCTTCCACAAACTTCAGGGGGATGAAGGGGAGGGAAGAGGAAAGAAAGTTCCACTGCGTGATCTTAAGTCTGATTGCATGATTGTGGACATTGCACAAAATAATGTGCTGGCTGGAATTTTAAATATATGGATAAAAAAGGCTAATTGGCTTTTGGTGTAGTAAACTGGATATTTTTTATAACATATTTATTTTCTTAAAGGGATATGTTTCTCTGAAAAGAATTATAAAGCATTCAAGTGGAGCTGCAGCTTTTATTATTAGAAGCTATGATTTTAAAGCATTTATGTCCTGATCTGAGCAGCTGGACAGGGTTGCTGCATTTACCATTCCTCTCTCTGATCCCCCAGCCAGAACTGTGCATATGAAGATTCTTTGTTGTTATAAAAGCTAAAACCCCAAGATTGGCCATTCATATTTCCAGCTGTTAAATAATCCCAGTTCCATATGATCTGTGGTCTTAGAATCACTTTGGCTTTGGAACATCAAAAGCAGCTCTCAAAAATTCACCTAATGAGTTAACTAACTGGGAAGTTTCCCATTTGCCTAGCCCAAGGGCAAGTAGGTACACGATGCATGTAAAAGATTCAAAACAAGCTCAGTAAAGGAAATCATAAAAAAGAGTCTGGGAGGCAGGAGGAGGAGGGGGAGAGGGAGTGGGTGACTAAAGTATCAAGAGAATTGACATAATTAAACATTGGAAAGAGTTCCCAGGTCTGAAATTAGCTCATGTAGAGCTTGTCATCCTGTTTACAGTGACTTTTTAACAGTCATTGTAAATAGAGTCACATTGTTTCAGTGTGTCATTTTGTTTATCCTTTTCAGTCGCTGCCTTGAGCCTCATTTGCAAAGCAATTTTATTTTAATTAAAATAAGAACCAATCAGCCTTTCCTGCAAATTACAAATGCACATCATTGGTTATCATTATCGTCTGAAAGAACACCCACCATTCAGTATCTGCTGCACTGCTTCGTTGCCCATCTGCGCTGCTGTAAAACCTTGTAAGGAGATGATGGAGGGGTCCGAACCATAATTCAGCAGGAGGCGACATGTCTGCAGGTGACCTGCCATAGCAGCCCTATGCAAAGCCGTCTGTCCAAGTGTGTCTAGTGCATTCATCTGAGGGGGGAAATATATATATATATGTGCTTAACCCAAACAGAGCTTACAAATGCTTTACAATCTACCTTACCTCACAATCTGTGGATGGAAGGGAAAAAGTTAACCAAGACTACAAGACACTAATTTCATTACCCCTCCTGCTGTGTTTAAACAGTAACACAGCAGGACAATAAAGGATCAATTAAGCCCTTCCACGTTACTTTGAAGGCACATTTATTTCATATGAAGTAGGTGATTAGCGGAAATTGTTACCAAGGTAAAAAAATTAATGGGGCTACCATAAATTTAAATGTACAATAAGCACATTTATTTAACTGTAAAATAAATACATGCTTTCCGATTCTGCTGGCAAATTAAATAATATCCAGTTATTGTAACAAATGGAAACATAAATGCTGGATTTGTATGTGAAAATGTGTTTTGGGAGAGAAAGGGGGCAGCTAGCATTTAAATAGGGTTTTGCTCTGACAGACCAGTCTCCATTTTTGTGCCTAGAGGAAGGACTCTCCCCTGTAGTCAAAATAATCAATCTGAGAGTACAAGAACCTGTCTGGCTGAGAAAAGGGGGGGGAACTGAAGAGCAGATCAAAGCATAGTACATACAGTAGTACGTAGCAAAACACTAACTCGAGTTGCTGAATATTCTTCAATCAACACACATAACCCAACTCTCAGCTCTCCTACCACTTAGGATGAACAATTTGCCCAGGTATCAAGGGAACTTAAGCACAGGGTCAGAAAGGGGATCCCTGTAGATAATTGATTCTCCCTCTAGGCATACACGTCTGGCTATAATATATGGACCTCTGTATGTAGGAACAGATTTACTAAGGGTGGGTTTGGCTAGCCTGCTTCCCTTGAGAAGAGCAGAACTTCACAGGTAAATTCAGAATTTCTCAAGGGGAGGGCAACAAGCACAAGAATGTGAAATTGCAGTGCATCTAGGGTCAGAAATCAAACAGCCATGAACCATTTGACATCATCCCAGCTATGTGCATAAGGACACATCCCGCAAAACTGCCTTTGAGTTGTCAAGCTCTCTCATGGTATCGGAGGTGTTATAGCTAGCAATCTTGGGCCAATTAACACTTATACCTGATTTTCCAGATTACTCTTGGAAGAAGAGGTTATGGCAGGGAAGTACAAAGTTAACAGCATGGCTAATCTGCCTTTAGGGCATCAACTGGTTCTCCTCCTACCTGAAAACTTATGCTGAACCTCAACAACTTCTTGTTGGAGGAAGAGGTAAATAGACACATGATCAGTCCTCAGAACTGAATCAGATCTGATCAAATATCTTTGGGTTAAAGGCTTACTCCACTGGGGTTAACCAAGCCAATCTGGATGAAGGTTAAAAATGAACCTTTTCCAGTGTTTTTGCCCTTGTGGGCAGATGGGTGTTTACATAAGAGAATAGTTTCCTTCCTTCAGGACTGATTTTGATCAACTACCTCTCTGCCTGTGACATATGCATTTTAGCTGCCATACTGTCTGTCCTAACCAGCACACACTGCGTTCCTCATTTATGGAAAGTGAGAGCTAAATTGATAGCTCCAAGTTCCCCAAGTGTAGGTAGAGGCGGTTTCTTAGAGACCCTGGCCAGAAGGCCCTCACCATGCAGACCCAAATTTCTTGCCTGAAGTATCTGGTTCCTCCATATTAAATTTATATCAAGCAAAACAAAAAAAAACATATCAATTCAGCACCCTGCAAATTTCAAAATCTGTAGTTCACCAAAATTCCAACTGACCTAAGTAAAGTGGCTGAGAGCTAACATACCAAAACGACTATTTTGCCTGGTATAGAATGAAAGCTTCATTCATCAGCCCACTGCTGGTTTCCCAAGGATATATACACTTAAAAGTTACACTGCTCGCTAAAGCTACACCAACCCCTCCCCAAAAAACTGTGGCAGTCACATTGATTGTTGTTGTGCACATTATGTTGATGCAGTGATGAATTGCGCTGCAGACTGTGAAGAGCTCTTTCAGCTTACAAAGTGACAGGTCTATCAGCTCCACCAGACAGACATCAGCGCAGACCTGATAGTCACATGTTTTAAACCTGCTAAAATAAGCAATGCTAACATCACTTTCAAAGTCATGTTGCCCAGGTCTATCAAGCAAGAGTTTGCCATTGGAATGAATTATTTTCACTACATCCAAGTCCCTTCCCTATGTGAAATGTTACTGAAAGTCAACATGGATGTATGTCATTGTTCAGCGAGCAATTACTTTTTACTTCAGCACTTTTTACTGCTCCTGTGTTGCAATGCAGCACTCGCACCTATAACTGTCCTATGTTCTGCCAATCATCTGTAATAGCTCAGCAACTGAAGACTATTTTGACAGGGCTTCTTATTACTGATTTCCTTCCCGTTTTGAATTCTCAGTGTTTCCTAAATCCTTACTTCCTAGAGGCAGAGGATGGAAAGATAGAACATTTGGATGTACATTTCTCATCTATTCTTTCCAGTGTATTGTTAGGAGCTGTGGGTGAAGGCTTCTTTACTGGGTTCAAAAGACACTGTTACTCAAATAATCTCATTTTCCTGTAACCCATTGGCCAGATAGATTATTTTAATCAAGAAACAGGATCCCCACTTCTGAAATTTTATTAGACGGCAATTTGGGGAAGTCATTTAATTAGCAGCCTGAGTAAACAATTTTGCCATTTCAGTGAGCGCAAAGGCTCTTCTCTAAAATGTTTCCCCACAGAAAAAAGGTAACAGCTGGTTCAAAATTCTGGAACATAACACACTACACATTCACAATTCTGTATATCACTGTATTTTATGATCCTATTAAACCTGCTTGGAACAAATACAGAAACAGAGGTCTGGAGAATAGCACTTCTATATAATAGATTCCTAAATTAAAACGCATCTGTCTGACATAATTGAAGAATTGTTGATATATGTTATATCTCTCTAATAAGATATAATAAAGAAGATATACTTAACTGTTTGGGGGTTTGAATGCAAACCACAAACTCTCTCTCTTCCCCTCCTCCACACTCAAGGTCCCCTCAATCCAGGCCATACAACAGCCGCCAAGAAACCTCAAAGGTTGCACTTAAGAACTGCAAATCTGGACCCACCCATTTAAGAATAGGAGTCACTATTGCTACTATTGCAAGGCCTGATACTTATTGCAAAGCTATGGGGCTTTCCAGCTTCCTGAAGCCTTGGTACCCTTAGGCCTTAGAGGCTTCATTCGCCTGTGCCAGCAAGACAACCACTTGAGAACTGCACCCAAGATCTCTTTATCTGAACATCTCTATTTAATACTCTCAAATAATAAACTGACCATATCTCAGCCAAAAGTATGGCTTGTGTCACCATAATTCCAGAAAAGACTCTGAAGAACCCCAAACACACAGAATCAGAAGTATAATTCACCATTCAGGAGTTCACTGATTCCCAGGATGGACCACTTGAAAATTACTGATTGTCTTGGTGGGCAACTTAAAGGTTTTTTTTTACCTGTTATAGAAATTGTAATGCACGATGCTAGATGCTGTATGATCTTTATTTGTATTTTTATGGCTTCTTTTATTTCCTATATTGTATTACATTCTGAATGCCGCAGAAATTCAAAATGTGGTACAATACAAGAAATAAAAGAAGCAATAGAATACAATTAAAAATCAATATGAATGCGGACATGCAGCGTGCCAATTGAACGAATCTCATGAGCCACAGGTTGGGGACCCCTGGCAACATATATGAAATCCTCACTTTATAAGCCATCTCGAAACTTGCACTTTAAAGAAGGCATAAGACAAGTTAAACTAACAAGAATCTAACAAGTCTATACTCAAGTAAGAAAGAAGTATATGTAACAACATTTATACATTAATTTATGAAATTGCACCTCTGTGTTTTAAAGAAACAGAAAAAGGAACTTGAAAAGGACAGCTAATGAAAGAGCCTCAGTGACAACAATTTACCCAATAGGCTTTGAAAAACATTATTTTATGTTTGAAAAATATGTAAACATTACATGCGCCCAAGCACTCTGGATATCAGGAGCAATTTGAATTAGCATTTTTATTTGATTATACACTGGTTGGTTGGAACAAAAAGATGTAAATTTAGACAAAAGTGGGTAGATTACGAGTTTTGTGGCCCAGCTGCAGCCAGGACATTAGTGCCAAACAATTAAATGGGCAAAATGTAGCTGTGATGGTTCAGTGCAGAGATAGTTAACAGGTGTGCTGAAAAAAAGGCATTTTGCAGCTCTTCTTATTCCATAATATTCAGTATTATCATGGTCTGAGCTGCAGACTTCAGATGTGAAAGCACCCTATGATTTCCTGTCTAATATCAAAGCTCTCGTCCAAATTGAATCTTTAAAAGCTTGGCAGGAAATTATACAAGGAGAACATTTTATCCCGGTAAATTCTTCAAAGCCAAGGCAGACTTTTACCAGGATCGTATCAAGCAGAGATTACAAAGTCAAAGAACTTATGACAAACAAGCTTCTTCCAAAACCTCATGCTAGCGGACCCAGACTTCTGTTCAGATGTCTGGAAAGGAAACGTGTGCAAATAATTACTTCCAACTACCAAAGTTAGTATCAATGAAAATGTAACGAGTACATTTGTTTGTGTGAAAAGAGGCAAAGAGTTGAACCCCCACTGTTTCCACAGAACCACAAATAAATATCAGAGTAAATGTTTCCCTAATTTTTCACATTTGTAGGACTAGCACACAAGACCACAGGTATAATACAGTGTGTGGAAAATTAGGAATAGTCCAATATTTACCTTTGCTCCATGTTTATGAAGAACTTCCATAACATCGTTGTGAGCTCGTTCAGCAGCAAAATGCAAAGGTGTCATGAAACTAGTTTGGAAAAGAAAGATACAAATAAATAAGTTTCAGAATGCGTCCATTTCATCTAAACACAAACGTTGCTGTTTTAAAGAAGAAAACATACTCTTTATTCTTCTCATTGACGTTCGCTCCTTTCCGAAGCAGTAACTCAGTGACTTGTTTCCGTTTGGGGTGAAGAGAAGCCACAGCACAGTGCTGCAAAAAAGGCAATGTAGGAAAACTTAAGCCAAGGGTTGGAAATCAAAACTGAAGGACATGCTGGAAATACAAGATGAGAAGGCTGCAGTTAACCTGTATAAATCGTAATAGTGTACAACAAGGAATTTGCTTCTTAGGATGCAGGACTGGGTCAGGGATTCAAAATGGAAATGTATGCAAGTGATTGGAGTTCAAGTAGCCCTTCATGCACCAGAGTAATTCCCTGTGCCGAAGATGCAATCTGCTACTTTAATGGAGTCACGGCTTGCTTCTTCTGTAGGAACCGCCATGACAAATTGACAAGCAGAGCTCCAGAAATGTCCATAGTTCCATATGCATGTATCCTTTCTGTGGACACCAGGTAATATATAAAATATTGTGCACATACTGTACTATCATATTTTGAACTTGTTCTCATGTGAAAATCTTAGTATAAGTACAAAAAGTGCACTTAGAACCTCTAACAGCTTTGGGGTGTGTGTGTGCTGAGGTGTAATGCAATAATTTGGGGGCATCAATCGTTTTCCATTTCCCTGGAGTAAACATGAACTGTTGCTTCTACTCCATATGTATTTAGTACAAAACTATAATAGAAAGCACAAGATGTTCTGGGATAGGTTTTACGTATCCCAGAGATTGGCAGGGGCGGCCCACTGCGTTTTGCCACCTGAGCCAAAACAGGAAGGTGCCATGCGTCCCCCCGCCAAAGCCTCACTTATTGGGGTTGTGTGGCTGTGGCTTCCAGCAAGATCTTGCAAGATCTTATCAGAACGCGGAAGCCTTCGCAGGTACTTCTCTGATATTGAGGGAGGGTGCACCTTGAGTTCTGCCACCTGAACCGCAACTCCATCATTCCTGACCACTGGCCATGCTGGCTGTGGCTGGTGGAAGTCTAACTTTATCGGGAGGGCTACAGGTTCATTACCCCTAGGTTGTAAGATCACACACTTCTTTGGTAATGCAAACGTAGCCCTTAATCACAGCAAACAGTGGCAAGGGAATTCGAGCACCAATGAGGAGGGGCTGGTGAGCGGGACAGTATGATCCCTCATCTTAACCTCAGCATGATCACTGTTAGAGGACGTACTATGATATATTTGAACTGGCGCTCTACAGTCGTGTCTTTCCAACTGTGGAAGTATGAAACTGTTTCAACCATTTTGTCTATTGTTTTTGGGTTATAAAATGGCTGCTTTTCGCTCTCTGTTCTATAACCAGGCAGGTCAGAAGTTCACTGTATGAAGCAAACACGTGAGGTGCAAATGAAACCTAAACACGAATAAGATGAAATTATGGAAAAGAGAATCTCAAGCAGAATTCTACTGCCCTTCTGATTGGTCACCTGAAATAATGCGTGTAAGTAAAGCTAGCAAATGGAGTTTAGAAAGACACAGTGCTGGTGAAATAGGAAATAGGACTCAAAAGAAGGAAGCTAAAGGACAGCTACGCATCCAGATTCCAGGAACAGAAGATGCTGAACAATGAGAGAGATGGACACTGCCTGATGAAAGTATCAACTTGGGTAGGGAAACAATCTAGACTAGGTTTAGATGAACATGTTTTCCTATTTATTTTCATTTTATCTTCTTTGCTCAAACTGTTTCACATCATTACTGTTGAATAAAGACCTTCATGATTATTTTTTACATTGCCGCCTTACAAAACCTTTTACAAAATCTAAATTTGGGTTAAATGTGTAAGAGGCTTTGTAGTTCACACTACTTGATATGGCTGGGCCACTAAATAAATTCCAGACGTTAAGGACTGTTTAGTGGAGGCAGGCAGGTTATCCACACTTGGTGGCAGCAGTGAGGATAAAGGGAGGAGCTAAATTAGTTGGTTTGCTTGCCTCCCTTGCCTCTCACAGCACAGGCTACAGCTTGTGCCATTGTGCCTACAGATACGCAACCCCCCCCTTTTTTTTTTACTCTAGCAGATTTTGAATGCTGCTGAAGCAATTACAGTTGCAAAAATACATGATGTACTGAAGGATCAAACTATTCATTTCAAAGCAGCCAACTGAAAAACATTTAATTTTGAATGGCAGAATTCTCAGATCCCCGCTAAAATGGTGTAAACATGAAAGAAGATGCTTACTACAGGTTCTTCCTTAGCTCAGCATTAAGTCACTGGCAGGTCAAGCATCATTAGATATGTGATGGGCTGAACTAGATTTACCTTGAAAACGCCAGTCTTAACTATGGGATAACTTCAGCCACAATTATGTATACAAAACCTTACATGCTGCCTAAAGCGAGCAGAGTGACTCTTATGATCTCACCAGTGCTGTCTCATGGGACTGTGGCTGCTTGAAATTAATGACCTCCAAGGCAAGTGTCTTCTTTACTTTGGCTAAGTCAGCTTCTCTTGCTGCTTGTAGTAAGGAATGTCCTTTGAATTCATCTGCAGGGGAATAAACAATATTCATGACTGTCAGAATTATACAGCATTAGCTTAGAAAAGCCAAACAACAGTTAAGAGGGACAATATAATTCCACATAGTTCACCAAGAACTGTCCTATTGCGTTCTCTCAAGTGAAGATTGTGAAGACAAAACAACGTTCTTGGGCTGAGAGGTAAAGGGGGGGTTTCTATTTCAATGCTACTCAGCCTAAATGCAAAATTAGTTTAGATGCTCAGTGACTTGTATAAATGCTGCCTAAAGGACTTTACACACACACACACACACACACACACACACACACACTCTCTTCTGATCTGCCAAATATGTTGATAAGAGAAGATTAACAAGAAAAAGGTTGCAGGGAAAGGTTTCTGAACTGACTTTTAATGCCTGAAATAAATTAGAATGTTGTCCCAAAGTGACCCAAATTTTGTGACAATAGTGATATCTATTAACACATATGAAGCAGATATTATAAGGGCAGTAATTAAGTAATTAAGTAAATATTACACAAGCAACTAGCATGATTATTCTCAGTTTGCATAATTTATTACGTAATTTTCATTATTTCGAACAATGTATTCTGCTTCTGCTGGTCATGATGAGGGATGCGAAGGAACCCCAGGCATTGAAACCCTACCCTATGACTGCTCAAAATGTTACACAGCAATCCCTCTGAGATTTCACTAGAAATGCCCACATCAAAATGATCTTTGCAACCATCTTTGCTTTAATAAAAAAAAAAGTTGAGGTTTACAGGGGGCTGAATTCTGTGATCAATATCACACTCCGTAGAGCACAAAGAGCCCTTTCTAGATGTGAAATACAGTATTTTGCACCCTAGTGATACCTACAGGTAAGCCTCTCTTTCAGCTCAGGCGTTGGGGCCATGTCAACAGCACTCTTTCCATGACAGTTGACCAACGTTGGATCTGCACCATGGCTGAGTAACAAAGAACAAACTTCCACACGATTCTTAGAAGCGGCTTCATGTAATGGAGTAAACTGCCAAAGATCCATCGCATTAACACAGGCACCATGCTAAGTAAGGAAAGAATAAGAGTTAAATTGTACAGGTCAGTACCTGTATGTAGTGTCAGTACCACAGTTAACTTTCAGTGCTAAACAGAATAGGTGTTATCTAATGAAAACTTTGATTATAATGAATTGATATTTTAATACATGTTCAAATAATATGCACTTGATAGAAAGAATGTGCTCCAGGTTTGCTGCTTACAAATGTTTAATGAAAGCCCAGAGTCTCTCAGAATATGAGATTACGGAGTTTTGGTTTTTTTTAAAAAATAAGTCAGTTTCAGTAAGACTTGGTGTAGCATAGAAGGTAAAAAACATCCTATTTTGAATCTCGAATCAGCCACAAACAGTGGTTTGCTTGGGGCAAGTAATAGGTTGTAGCTAACTTAAATTATTGCATGACTTCCACTTACACAACAGAACTTCCTCCTCCAACCCTCCAAATCTGTTTGGGGTGTTTCCCAAACCCTCTGGAACACATACATATGGGGCAGTGAGGCATAGAAGGAATAGTTCAATTGTGTGAGCAGAAGTCACTCCAATCACGTAATAATTTAGCTAGATGTAACCCAGTTTCTGTAATATGGGGAAAATACTCTCCTATGTGTGGAATGTGGACCAGGTCTGTTATTTTCCCTTAGTTTTTAATAAGATGGCATAATAGAAAATATTATGGACTTCAGCTAAAGCGGCCCCGTTGATTTAGCAAATTTACGTGTTATGGATGGCATAACACCTAATTTTTACAGCGTATTCTTCAGAGGTGTGACATTTCAATCACAAATATGTCACAATCACACACAAATTCAGTTAGTCATATGCTACTGTTTGAAAAATGGCCTCATTGATGAGAAATGTGTGTCCCTCAAACATTGTTCTTTCGTTTGTTTGACCACACAGAAAGACCCCCACAAGCCATACCGTATTTCCATACATATGCTGTACACAGGAGCTAAGGACATTTATATTGCTATTGCCATGTTTAGTTCACGGGGTCTGCAAGGCTGCTTACACAATTTAACTTAAAAATACAAATAACCATACAATAAAGAACAACACACAAATAGTAAACACGACAGCACACTACATGTTAATTACCGTATTTTTCGCTCTATAACACGCACCAGACCATAACACGCACGTAGTTTTTAGAGGAGGAAAACAAGAAAAAAAATATTCTAAACAAAATAGTGGATATATGATTTTTGTGGTTCATGCTGTGGCCACAGACATGTGATCTGACAGTGAGTTTGGAGTAGCCCAATGCAAAAATCCTGAGGATCCATGTGGATCCATGCTTTGTAACCATGGAGGAGGGAAGGAAGAGGAACCATGGATCCTCTGCTCACGACTGTAGCAGATCCCCCCCGCCACCCGCAGGCATTCGCTCCATAACACGCACAGACATTTCCCCTTACTTTCTAGGAGGAAAAAAGTGAGTGTTATGGTGCAAAAAATACGGTATTTCCTTCAATTAATTACATAACATGAAGGAATTACTTCTCTTTAACGTTACCTTCAACAGCAGTTCTGTAACTTCATAATGTCCATAGGAACATGCATTGTGGAGGGGCACAAGTCCACTGCAATAAATAAAGCATTAAAATTACATTACCTAAAAAGCAATAATTAGGCAACTTAGAACCAAATTGGCTGCAGCAAGAGAGACATTTAAAGATGTAAAATGTAGTTTAACCTCAGTAACATTATTATTCAAACAGATGCTTGGTCATAGATTCTAGCCAGATGTAGGGTTTTATGAAAATCTGAGCATGTAACAAAAGCAACACTGCACTGCCCAGTTTCATGCAGGGTATCAGTCACATGATTCAGGCCTGCACAAATGGGAATTCTGATGCACAGATGAGAAGATCGCTTGAACTCATCCGGAGAGGCAGCTCAGCAGCTGTTCCACAGGACCAACTTTTAAAATCCTTTCTGAGCCCTAGCTGCAAGCCACTTTTTAAAGCACTTTGCTATATCTTATTCCAGCATTTGAAATGCGCCTCTTCCTTGCCTTTGTACAAAGGTTCCAGCAACTTTACAAGCAAGGGAAGAGGAGCTTAAAAAAATAAATAAATCCCTGAATGCAAAAATGAGGTCAGAGCACAAAGGAAAGCTTTAGAAGAACAAAAAATTGTTGCAATAATCTAACAGACTAATTTGTAAAGGTGTGACAAAAAAAATATGGCGTGGAAACACCCCGACCACACTAGAAAAAAATGCAGTAGGAAATATGAAAAAGTCTTAAGATATTTCTGAATTACTCTACAGCATTGCTGTTTATCTCCCTGCACTTTCCACACAGACATATCTGTCGAGGAACCACTATACCTCCCCCAGAATGCAGTTTGAAAACCACTGCTCTAAGCCATTGGGGGGGAGGGAGCTGCAGTATGTGATACTTAATCAATTCTGTGATCTCAAACTCCAAATGTACATCATTGTAACATCTACAAGATTTGAAATGCTTGGGAGAATAATCAAGGTTTTACTATTTCCCAAAGGATAAGCCTTTGTTAAAAAGGTAAAGGGACCCCTGACCATTAGGTCCAGTCGTGACCGACTCTGGGGTTGCGGCGCTCATCTCACTTTATTGGCCGAGGGAGCCGGCGTACAGCTTCCGGGTCATGTGGCCAACATGACTAAGCCGCTTCTGGAGAACCAGAGCAGCGCACGGAAACGCCGTTTACCTTCCCGCCAGAGCGGTACCTATTTATCTACTTGCACTTTGATGTGCTTTCGAACTGCTAGGTTGGCAGGAGCTGGGACCGAGCAACGGGAGCTCACCCCGTCGCAGGGATTCGAACTGCCGACCTTCTGATCGGCAAGTCCTAGGCTCTGTGGTTTAACCCACAGCGCCACCCGCGTCCCTTGACTATAATGGTATGATATTGGTTTAACCCACAGCGCCACCTGCGTCCCTCCAAGCCTTTGTTAGGTACCACTATTTAAGAGGCCCTTTCACTAGTATCCACCTGCTTTATGAGTGCTAAAAAAGCCAGTGAGTTCATTATAATGTCTTACATACCCCTTATCCTTCGCATGAACATCAGCCCCATGCTGGAGCAAAAGCTGGACTATTCGGACTCTGTTGTATCCTGCAGCCAAATGTAACGGAGTAGACTGTAAGAAAAGGCAGAAACAAAAAGAATGAAATTAAGACTCTTTCCTTGGGTAAGGCAAGTTTCCACACAGACAGATACTTGCAGGCAGAAATGGCAACTCTGGCTGGGGAGCAATTACAAAGCACCTTCTATGTTCTGCACAGATTCCCTATGGGAACCACCTCACATGAGCAGCAGCCTCAAAACACCAGAACAGCTGGCATGCATAAGCTACTTGAGGAGGGCATAGAGATAAACGTATCATCAATAATATACCCCTCTCCTCTGTTTTCTCTTCCCAGTCGATTAAAAAAATTCTTCTGGCTACTGCCTTCTCTGTAGCTCCCTATTAATCTATCAAAAGTGCATCCTTTACCCACTATTTAACCATTAAAATTGAGTGTGTTCATTTGCTTTCTTTCACAACAAAAGAGAAACTGGCTACTTTCATCTTAGACAGAAAAAAACATTTACAAATGTTCGATCAGTTTATACGTTTAGTTTAAAAGGCTACATCACAGATCCTGTTATAACATCATTATATATAACATTATATGCATTATATCAACAGACTGAATATTTCCAGTGACATATCTAGCTACCACTACCCAAGAGATCAAGTTTTTTAAAACTGATGTAAAAGGTATTTAATCTGTTGAACAGATCAATTGATTAAAAGTGGTTGCCCTACTTTCAACTTCTCTCACTGACTGCAAATACCAAATCCAAGTCTCAACTTAATTAGCATTCTCTAGGTTAAATCAGTCTAGCTTCCCCCAAATTAATGAAAAACGCTTCTTGCATTCCAGCTTTGGGGAAATTAGCCCAGACTGTTTAAGTGACCCTGCTGTCCCATCATGGTCCTCTCAGCAACCAGGAAGTACAATTACAGTTGCCATGGCAAGCAAGAGTTTATATCTGGTGAACAGAATTAGGGTGTAGTTTCTGGCCAGCTTAAGTCCCAGGAGTCTTCTTCACTCCCTGAAGGTGCATCATGTGATTAGCATGTCTGCACTGAAGAAATTAAAAATGAGCAGCTGCCATGTGTAAGCTCCTTCTGTGCCCCCTAACACATGCATGCTTGGGGCAAGCTCTGTAGTGTGACCAGTGCTAGCCTTTGGCATTTACCGTATTTTTCGCTCTATAAGACGCACCAGACCATAAGAAGCACCTAGTTTTTGGAGGAGGAAAACAAGAAAAAAAATATTCTGAATCTCAGAAGCCAGAACAGCAAGAAGGATCGCTGCGCAGTGAAAGCAGCAATCCCTCTTGCTGTTCTGGCTTCTGGGATAGCTGCGCAGCCTGCATTTGCTCCATTTCCCCTTACTTTTTAGGAGGGAAAAAGTGAGTCTTATAGAGCACAAAATACGGTATTTATTTTTCTTTAAATTGTCAGCATTCTCCCTGCTGGCAGCTGTGTTACATTTCCACGCCAGCTCCTGCTTCTGGGAGCAGCATTTTAAAACCTCTTTTTTTACTTCCCTCAATTTTTTTATTTCCCATTTCTGTATTTGCCTTCATCTGCCACTCTTCCCTGTGACTTCATCTCAGCATAATTCTTCTCCAGTCTCTTTGGCAGCATCTACAGCAGAGGTACACTCAGAGCAGGACTCTCCCTCACACCTCACTTCTCACTCCAGAAAGGGGGAAACAGTTTTAAGCAAATTGTTTAAAGATAAACACCAGGGAGGATGAAGATTCCCTGCCGGTTTCATGCAGGAAAACTGAGGTGCTCTTAGGGAATAGCAGGTCACCAGAAAACCTGGAGTGGACATCTTCTGTGGAGGGAAATATGGCGATCGTAGCCTTTTTAGCTTTGGTGTTGAAAACAGTGCTCTGCCTATGGAAAGAGAACTGCAGAAGGGAGAAAGTATTTTGATTGTAAAGAGATTATACCACAACACCACCAGTCAGTTTCCAATAGATGCAAACTGGGTATCCTAGCACATCTAATCTGTATCAGAATCAGATGCAAAAAAACATTCTGGCAGGAGCTCCATAAGCGAAGTAACCAAATATATTACACCTATGTTCAAGAACACACATTGCTCATCAACCTCAGGGGCTCAAAAAAGGTTGGTGACCCCTGCAGTACAAAGAAACTAGTACCGATGTAATGCAAAAGGGCAGTGTTTTTGTCCTAAACACAGCCCTTTTAAAATGATAAATGCCTTAAGCATTATTTCATTTGAGGGTAAACATGAGGTGACTGGCCTAAGGAAAACGGTAAACAAACATTACTATAGTCTGAATTGTTGAAGCTGAAAACAAACTGCTTTCTTTCCATCTATGGAATTCTATAACCCTTCCTTCCAAATATTGAACACCTAAAACATTCCAAAGTGAAACATTCCATTACTTGATTTTTCAAATTCTTATGTCTAAAATAATTTAGTACCTAGTAGTGAAAAATCATCATAATAAGCCTTGCAAAACAGCTTTCCCACCCTGCACTTTCAAAAGGAAAATGGATCATCCTACTTTACAATCCTGTTAACACATCCCCCCAAAATAAAAAAGGGTGACTTTGAAGACATTTAACTATCTTTTTGGTTACTTAAGAAACTTTAATGATTAGAGTTTTACTGACATCACGGTTCCTCTTTTGAAGAAAAGTGTAAGAAATTGGCACTCTTTTGTAAGAATGTGTACATTAGCAGGTTTTTTTACTTTACAGAAGAGACAAACAATGAAGGGCTTAAACATCACAAGAATGACAAAAGAAACCTTTTTCCTTGCACAAACTGAAAGGCTGTTTTTTTGTTTTTGTATTAGTATGTCTTACATTTATATGCCATCTTTCTTTCATGGAACTGAAGAAGGGTGGTAAACAGTGCCTGTGTGTGTGTGTGTGTGTGTGTGTATATATATATATAGTGTCAGTGTGATGGTGACTGGCTAAGATCACTCAGCAAGCTGAATGGCTCAGTGGCATCTTCCTTGTCTTAGTTGAACACTCAGTCTAACCATTATGTCACCTCTGCTCATACCACAATGAGCCTATCACTTCCACAGGTATTCCAGCATTGTGAATGATCCTCTTTAATATCTTTGTGTAAACAAATGAAGATTCCTTCCTGACTGTAGAATAGTGTATTGATGTCATCTGGGGACTAATGGAAGCAGTCTTAGGGCAAGTTATTTGGGGTGGTTATACAGAATGCGATTGCTGGGTTTGACAAAAATCTTCCAGTTTGCATTTCAGAAGGTAACCAGTAAGAGTGAACTTTCTCAAATTACTTTGTATTTAAGGGTAAGAAACACACAATGCTTGGAAAACAGAAAATCTTCTTGTGAAAATCCATTAACTTTTCCAATTGCATCATCATTTAAAAGCCAAACAAAAGCAAATATTGTCTTCCAGAATCCTGTTTATGGTAGTTAAATGTAAACACAATGGGAAACTAATCCAAAATGGGGACTTGAGTTTGTTTCCCTCAAGAATTAAGACTTACAGCCTGTCAACAAAGAATGGCTTTGTACAGTATATAAAATGGTGAATAGGAAAAACAAGTGACTTCTAATATCTGAATTTGAACTTGAACTAACTAGTATGGTGCAGTCGCTGTATCAGTCCTGAAGCTCACTGGGTGACCTTGGGCCAGTTGATGTCTCTCTAACTACATGTACCATTACAGGGCTGCTGAAGGATAAAAGGGGTACAGGGTTTGGACGAAGAACAATAATATATGATTCCCAAGTAGGGTAGCATATATGAATAAACCAAGAACAGAAGATAAGAACTTCATTTTTTCCCCCCACATGAAGTATCCAAAACTACTCCAAATACAGATGTGCCTAGTTTTCTTTTCAAGTTTATACAAAAGATTGCCTGGGTATGATACATCATTGTAATTATATGGATTTATAACAGCAAAGACAGAAAGGAAACACTTGCCCTATTTCCTCTCACATGCAGAATTGAAAAGGCTTTTAAGACCTCCCGTGCTAGTCATTTTCCCACATTGCATACAAGGCAACGGCAAGAAAATGAAATGGCTCCCTCTCCCTAGGTGATAGTTAAGGAAAGTAGTGAAATACTATAAAGGCTCTGTCTTCTGAAATAAGATGCACTCAGTTGGCTCATTTGTATCTGCAGAAAGCATGATGAGTTATTTTTTGGCTCTGCATTGGTCTTGCATCTCCCTATGGGCCTCCGTTTATGTTTAGGGGCTTTGTTGTTAAGTATGCACAGCATGAAAAGGAAGTTAATTTCTGTATCAAGCTGCTTTTATTCTCCAGTTTCCAGCACCATGAAACAACACTGCAGAAAGTTCCAGAAACATACTTTAACATGACAGAAAGCAAACAGTTAAGAGAGTCCAGAGATCTGAACTTGCACTTGATACGGAAGGGGGGGGGGCATGTCTTCTTCTTCTTCACCTTCTTCTTCGCTACAATATATCCATTTATGTCCAATTGCCAATGTCAAAAGGGACTAAAATCTATAAAATTCACAGAAAATCAACGTGCCAATTTGCTCTATATCTCTAGGACTCCATGACACCTCCCCTGCCCTCCATAATCCCTCAAGCAAGGTGTCAATACCCTAATCCTGTCAAATCGCTCTGCCAAGCCCTTCCTCCGGGCGATGCCAGGTGACAGACTATGCATACATGGACCATTGTCTTCTCAGGATGTGCTTATCTGTGCATATCTCCAGCTCTGTATATTCCCCCCTCCCTCCTCCATATGTTAATCCGGTGTAACCCAACCTCTTCCTAATGTATTCGTGATGTAATCTGTGTAACCCAACCTCTTCTTAATGTATTCATGATGTAACTGGGATGTATTTTGCACTGTATTCTGGGACATGGAGGGAAATTTCAAAAGTTCATGTCACCCCTTTCTCGCTGTTTAATCTCGCCTTGAACCTGTTGCGCAATAAACTTGGATCTTCTGCAGTTTGCTCCTGTCTCCGGCTGAGCTCATTTTCTTCCGCAGGGACCCGCGGACTTAGTCCGACGAGCTGGGTGGCAGAGTAGCCTCGCACTCAGATTTTACCGTAACACACTATAAAGGTTTAATGGGGTGAGGGGCAGAACTTTTAAAAGAATTAGCAGCCTGGAGAACTGCAACTCACTAAGGGCCAGTCTACACAAGCAGATCACACATTGAAACCTTTTCTGGTCTAAAGTCTCATCCAGTGTAAACAAACACTGATGACAACCCTCAGAATCTCACTGCTTTGAAGTAAATAAATTAGCAGATGTTGTTATAATGTGTTTTATGATGGCTTGAGCACCAGCAGTAAAGCTGGAATAAGTAACTGCCATTTTAAATGGTGTATCAGTAACCACGAGGGCTGCTGAGGTAAAAGGACTCTGGACATCACTGCAATGATATGGAACCTGCAGCCCTCCAGATGCTGTCAGACTACAACAACATTATCCCAGACCATTGGCCTTGCAGGCTTTGACTGGTGGGAGAAGGAGTTCAGTGACTTGTTTCCTAGCCTTGCTGTATATGACTGCTTCCAAAGGGATAACTGCGGTTCCATTGCTGCCCACTATAAAAACTTCCCTTGTGTCACACAGAAGCATTTATGCAGAGCTAAGCTTTGCAAGATCTTTTTGGAGAGTAATGCAGAGGCAATTTATTTTAATGCAATATTGTAAAAGTTGTTTGGTAATGTGAAATTGAGTTTGTATCATTTTCTTCTGTATTGTGTCAACACAATATACTTAGTTTGTCTAACTGAATTAGCTAACTGAATTTATTTTTCCTGGTGTTACTGTTTAATTTTTTAATCTTTGATGAGCATATTTGCCATTGATTTCCTGCCAATATGTATCATCACCTGGCATTCTGAATTCAAACACAGATACTAGCCAATTCTTCATTTACAATTCAATTCATTGACAGATAATAGGGTCATGGGTTCATTAGAAATACAAAAAACTGCACAAATGGTTCTAAAAATATATAGGATGACTGATAGGATTATTTATAGTATCTTGGAGTCATTTTTCCCCACACAAAACCCCAACCTCTAGCTGTTATTAATAAGCAGAGACTATTAGGTACTAAAACTTCAGTAGAATACGAGCTTGAATGATGGAATTCAACAGTATACATGTTTCTTCAAAATTCTATACAATATACAGTGTTGAAGATTTTATTGAAGAATTACAGCCTCTTATAACTGTAAACAAAAAAGCGCATCCTCACATTTCAGCTAAGCAATTAATGTTGGTGCCTAGAACCAGTTTGTGTTGCACAAACACTAGTGTTTTAAGTAATGACTGCTGTGCGCATGAATCTTTCACAGCCAGCAGTCATTACTCTGACTGCTGGGATTTCCTAACCCAAAATTAAGGCTTGCTCCATGGTCTCTTATTTAGGCATGCATAGCCTATCTTCCTATATCAACGATGTCAAGTATTTGAAGCTCAAACCATTTTACTCATTTATCTGAACATAATAGAGAGAGGTAAAGGGAGTATGTGTGTGTGTGTACGTGTGTGTGTGTGAGAGAGAGAGAGAGAATGAGAATAAAGGGAATTTCCCAGATAAATTCCAAATCCACATGAGGGCAATCTTTACTAGGCCAACTAAAAGGTCACACCCCTGGTTAACTCCTTTCAGCCTAATTGGATGCTTAGACATGGAAAGATGGCAGAATGTAACCTGGTACTCAACTTAGGTATTTCCTGCCTAATATAGTGGAGTCTTGAAACCCATAGATGAAGGGTGGGATTCACCCAACGAACCTCAACGAAGTCTTGCACAAGGACTTCAACTTGCACAATGGGGCTTTCCTCTCTGTATCACCACCATCCCAATGTGCCCCCCCCCAGTGGCATGGGGGGGGGAGAACACACACACCCCAAACAGCACATGGGGAGTCATCTGGCAAGCTGATATGCTTGCATAGACGGAACATTTGTAATAGTGCCATGCTGAATTCCACCTGAAGCCAGCTGTTGATTTTGGTGGCTTTTAGGGTGGATTTAATACTAATGGTGAAACCAGAGCAACGAGGCACTTATCCAATTTGGTACACTACTGAACCTTGGGGATGCCAGATGAAGGAAAGGAGCAAAAGGCTTCAGCAGTATCACAGAATGAGACATATTGAAAGGCAAGAGTCTCAAAATCGCATTCCTTTGGTCAATGCAGAAGCCAGCAGCATTCCCCAACCCCAATCAAGGTTCAAGGTTCAAAAGCATTACGTATGCACTGTTCCCTATGCGATATGTGACTTGTTCCCTGACAGAAGCGAGGGCAATCGCTGCACAGGTGGATATCTGTGAACAGGTCAGAGTCCTGCAGAGTTTTGAATATTGGAGACTATGCTTTCAACAAAGAAGACATGAGCCATTTTGATAGGGGAGAGAACTGAATGGTGCCTCCACAGTTACAGTAATAGATTAAAAAGAAATAAGCATTTGCTGACCTGTAGGGATACCCCAAGATCCATCACATGGTAGGAACAGTTCTCAACAGAGGAGCTCAACAGTAGCTACCAAATATACTCATTATATAAATGTTTTGTTGTTAATAATAATTTTATTTTTGTTTTGAATAGAAATCTGTTGGTTTTGATCAATTTATCTGCTACTGCATCTCAATTGTTTTAAATACACTGAATTTCTTTCCTTTGTATTCCCTTTCAGAACATTCAGATACATTATATTCCTGAACCATTAATACTATACTTGATGGCATATTGTTTGGGGCCTCATTTAACTATCTGTGGGGATTTAGCTACACAAAAAAGTTCTGCTCAGGACTTCTATATTAAGAACACTGATTATAAAAGAAAACTCTTTAAATAAACACACACAGTTGCATATCATCACTTAAAAGACTTCCCCATGCTATCAGACTAAGAATACAGTACTACAAATCATCTGAATAATTCCTAAATGTAAGTTGCTTGCACAGACAGTTCTAAGGAGATTCAGAAGTACTTAGTTGCGGACAAATGGGGGTGAGGGTAGTGTATATAGTTCATTGTGACAGTAAAACCAACTGATGGTCATTCTAACATATAAATAAAAACAAAACAATATATATAATCACACACACAAGCAATGCATGCTGCCAAGTTTTAAATCAGTACAACCAATCAAGAATCTGGTGGGTTTAATTTTTGCTCAGTTACAGATTATACACACAACATTATTAAAAAGAAAGGGCATGGTCCCATAAAATATAAGCAGTTATAAACATTGAAATAAATGGCACTTACATGAGCCTTGCTCTATAGTGTTTGTGTCAAAAAATATTTAAACTGGCCCTTTTTGCACTGCAAATTAATAAACTTATTTTTAAAAAGATTTAGCTCCAAAATAGACAACTGGGAGACCAAGGGCCACAACATGCCCCAGTTTTTACGAGTCTTCCCTCTTCAGCTCAGCTTGGGCAGGAATGATCCAGCCTTGCAGGCCAAAGCAGCTGGTCATCCCTGTTTGAGACTATGCTATGAAGATTTTGGCAAACCCTAAAAATAGCCACTGAAGGAGAAGATTCCTAATCTGTGTGGACCTGGGTCAGTCCCAAGAGCAAATTCTAGTATACCAATTACAAAATTTCAAAGCTAAGCAGCGAAATTAAATGGTCAAATGCACATTATGTAATTTAAGAGAACATGTCATGAAGTCTGGCTGGTAGCCTGTCATTGTAGGTTCTTCCCTTCCCCTTCTAACCCAATCCATTTCATTCAATATCCCCGTTATATAAAGCTGCAGCCAGACATCAAAAGCATAAAAATATCAAAAGTTAAGAGAATTCAATAGGCACAAATCATACCGATATGGAATTAGCTATGCTAAGCATAGTAGTAGGGGCTTGGACTCCTACCTTTCTTAACTGAACAATACCACAAAAAAGAAAATACTAGACAGACTGTTATTTTACAGCTATTAACAGCCCAAACATGCAGTTTATTTTTATAGCTGAACTATCTGAAGCACAGCCCAACAGTTGACATTTGAAACAAATAGCATGATTTCAAGTGCACGCTCCACTGCCTCTGTCAATCTGTCACATACCATCAATATTAGGCATAGCATCATTTAATTTCATAGTTAACAGACACGAATTAAAACACTTCCACATAAGTGATGGGTTAAAAATATTTTCAAATTGACAAGGCATGCAGGTTAGCTGTCAGGGGGGAAAATGACAAAATGTGTTAAATATGCACAGACTTACTTTTCGCCCATCACTTGCATGGCAGTTCACATTTAAAGGTGTCAACAAAGCCATTAGTTTTTCTTCATTACCACTCCTGCATGATAGAGAAGTAAGAAAGAGGGAGAGCCCCTTATAAAATATTTGAAATGGAGTTTCACATTATATACTGTTCTATATACTGGCATGTTCAAAGAACCATCTAATATGCATTTCAAATTGCAAAAAACAGACACTTGAAACAGTTCCTTTAAGAATACACCATGTAAAAGATTTACATCAATTTAATGTTTAATTTATATTTTACTTGGTTTTATGTATCTGCCGAAAAGACGTTTCCCAAACACCTATTTTTGTTACATTCCCCAAGACGCTATAAATAGCTTCAGAGCTCTTGCTCAAGGTTTCTTATGATGGGCTTTAATAAGAAAATGCGAAATATGCCTTTCAGGTATAAAATAAAGAGAAAATGTCCTAATATACTGTTTCTTTCTAAAATGATCACTCTAAACATAAATGAAATTTGGAGCACATTATGTCAAAATGCAAGCACCCCCATCATACTGCATGATTACAAATAAACACATTCTTTTGCTTTTCGCAAGTGGCTAAAATCCAAAGCAACCCATGCTAACAAGCCTTGTTTATCTGCATAATTTCATAATAGGGTAATGACAGAATGACAGCGATCATAAAAGCCCATTTTTCATCCCGGCTTTCTACATCCTCCCTTCAAAAACCATTTGTATTCTGAGCAGCACTTACCTAGCAGCTTCCAGGAGTTCGTCCTTCTTGTATTCACCTAAATGATTGCAAAATATCATGCTGTTAGCATTTGGCAGAAGACAGATTAAGAAATGCAGCAGGAAGCAAATACAGAATTAAACAGAACGGGGGAGGGGGGGAGAGTGAGCCCACACCCCGCTGGGTGATGGAGCTGTGACGTTAGCCAGCTTGTGGAGGCAGCATCACCAGTGCCTTGGAGACGGGCAGCAAACTGACGCAGCTTCTTGTCCAATCCTCGGATGAAATGGCTTTCTTCAGACAACCAATGAATGCTCAACCTGTATCTAGAAACAATCCCTCCGATAACAGCATGGCAGCTGAATACGATGTCTCCTCCCCCACTTTTCCTATTCACTGTATCACATAGCGTGAAAACGTAAGAAAAAAAGTAAAGCCACAACCCCCTGAATGCCTTTCTAGCTTGACAGTATCTTGCAAAACAATTATTTTACGTCAGAACTTCCTAAGCCACTGCCTCATAAGAGCATGCTTCTGGCCTTAAGGAAAGCAATGCATCAAAAGAGATGGGGAACGGCAAAAGCATTCAGAAAGCTGCACTTAAAACCTACCATTAAAAGGTTATTTGGCTGTTTTCGTATCTTAGGGCAAAATTCTAAATGCACGTCCTGAACTCTAGCTAAACTCCCAGTGCCAAGGGTTCCATGGAATATCTGAAGCTTTTTGATTTGAAGAGTATGATTTGAATCCTCAGGTCTTCAAATTTTAAAAGTTGCAAAAACCTGAACTGGGAAATGCTGAGTACACCTCAATTTAAGAGCCATAAAGTCAGGAAATTACAACTAAAATAATCCTCACAATAGCAGCTACGGTATCCAGGCCATCTTAACATTGCCCTTTCGCTCACAGAAATATTACAATTAAAAACCATTGCACTTTACAATTATGGCTAGCAACATGTCCATTAAAATCACCTGCCAGGGACACTTGCACAAATCCACACACACAGACACAACTACTGAATGAATGTTAAATCAATGTGGGGATATTTGGAGAGCACACACATAATTTCTATTCAATGGCCACAGATACACAAGACTAAGCCACACTGTGTAATTTGTCAAGAGATCCCATTTTACTCCTTCCTTAGTTGGTGGGGAAACAAGCCCTGAAGTGGCTGGCTTAACATCACATCTTAATCAGCATTCATGATTTGCTTCTCTCAAACAAACCAAAAACAAAACATGGGCTCCTTTGTTGCAGTTTGAGAGAAACAAAGCACAAATCCTTGCTCAGAAGTAACTCTATGGTTTGTTTGCCAGCTCAACGGAGGAGGAAACAGGAGTATTCACTGGTAATACACCTCATACATATTATAGTTAAAAGAAACCATGCAGTTTGGGCTCAGTGTTACATGCAAATGCAACTTATATCTGTGAAGAATAAATACAGACTTGCCTTCATAGGATTCAACTTATGAAGTGGCCTTACAGTGTCAGCCCATTGGCCTAGCTAGCCCATCATCGTCTACACTGACTATATCAATGGTTTTTCAAGGCCTCAGGCAGAGCTGTTTCCCAACCCTGCTAGCCAAAATCCTTTAGCTCAGGGGTGCCCAAACTTTTTTCAAAGAGGGCCAGATTTGATGAAGTGAACATATGTGAGGGCCGATCAAAGTTTGCTGAGCTTTTTTTACAATTTTACCCCAAAGTTGCTGAGCTTTTTAAAAAGGATTTTACCCCAGGACTGCCACGGGGGCCAGATTAGGCCCCGGAAACAGACTTTGGACATGCCTGCTTTAGCTGGAAGTACCAGAGACCTTGTGCGTCCAATGTATGTCGTCTAATCCTTCTCATACTGTAATATCACCATAAGGACTAGAGGGAAATACAGTTTTATTCACTCCCCCTTACACTGTATTTTTGCTCCTTCTAAAGAAAAAAGAAATTCAGAACATGCTGCCTGAGTGCTAGAGGGATTATTGGGTGTGTCCAAGGACTTCTGTGCAACGAGTAGGATTTTTTATTCTTCTGAATAATGGATAATACCATATCATAAACTAGACAAGGTTCTGCTGTTCAATAAATTCCCCTTAGGCACGTGGAACTAGTCCAGCTGTTACTTTGGATCCTGGCCATCAGTTACAACCTTGTATGCAGCACCTAAGTGGAAACACTAAACATTACTATTCACATGCAAATACAAACTGCTAACAATGCTAGAGAGATATAATTATTTTATTCGAAGCAGATAACCTATTATCTCTAGGTGAAATACACTTACGCATTTTGAGGATCATTGGCATTCTTGCTTTACATTCAACAACCTTGCTAGTACCACAACACAAAATGAGGTTACAAGCATGTTTCAGACTTTACCATATCCTGCCGAAGCATGAATAAATTGGAAAGTGCACAAGTTTCTTTGTTCAATCTGCAGAATTTCAAAGAACTACATTATTATTTGCTGGTTGCTTTTGACACAAAGCAACTTGCAATATAAAAACAAAACATTAAATAAAGCCAAGTATAAGAACAGGAATAAAATAAATACCTAAAATGTTCATCCATAATACTGTACACAGTACACAAATGGGTGGATCTAAATCAACCCACGCCACTCAAAAAATGAGCAGAAGAGCCTTTCCCCTACAAATTAAGAGTAAAAAGCATTCCACAAAAAGAAAGCCACCACTGAGAAGGCCCTCAGAGGGGGCACACAGACATGAACCTCAGATGATGAATGTTGAGTCCAGACTGATTTATGTGGAAGAGATATATCTTGGTATACCGAGGCCCTGAACCACATAAAGCTTTATAGGTCACCAACAGCATCCTGAATTGAGTCCACAAACCTACTAGTACACAATGCACTTGTGCCAAGATTGGTGCTATATGATCAGTCCATCTTGCTCAGGTCAGCCATCAGTCTACTGAATTCTACACCAGCTGTAGTCTCCAAATGTAACCCCACATATGACACATTGCAGTAATCTAACCTATTGCCAGGACACAGACCACAGAAGTTAGGCTATCCTTATCCTCATAGGGGTCTAGCTGGGCCAGCAACCAAAGCTGATGGAAAGCACTTTGACCACTAAGTCCATGTCAGTCTCAGACAAGCGTAGTGGTTCCAAAAGCACCCACGAGCTGTGCAACTATTCATTCCAAGGGAGTGCAACCCCCATCCTGAACAGGCAAGGGCCCACCCAGCCAATCTAGAGAACCCACGAATACTTATTTGGATTAAGCTTCAGTTTATTGGTTCTCATCTAGTCCATTGCGACATCGAAAGAAGAAACAGATCTGCCTATTATCAACATATTGCTGACAACCACTCCCAAACTCCCGATGACCTTACTCAGTGGTTTCATGTAGCTGTGAGTGGTGCTGCCCACCCCAACTAGGGCATTCACTCCAGAATAATAACATACTATACCATAACACATCTTGAGAGATCAAAGAGAATTAACAGGCATACACACACCCTTGACTTTCTCCTAAGAGAGAATTAACAGGCATACACACACCCTTCTCTTTCTCTTAAGAGCCAGTGTGGTGTAGTGGTTAAGAGCGGTAGTCTCGTAATCTGGGGAACCGGGTTCGCGTCTCCGCTCCTCCACATGCAGCTGCTGGGTGACCTTGGGCCAGTCACATTTCTTTGAAGTCTCTCAGCCCCACTCACCTCACAGAGTGTTTGTTGTGGGGGAGGAAGGGAAAGGAGAATGTTAGCCGCTTTGAGACTCCTGAAGGGGAGTGAAAGGCGGGATATCAAATCCAAACTCTTCTTCCTGACAAAGGTCATTATACAGGGTGGCCAAAGCACTTTCTGTGTGAAAACCAGGCCTAAACCCCCATTGATATGGTTCTAGAAAATTGGTTTCATCCAAAAGAGCTTGGCTCTGGCCCACGACCAAACACTCAAGAACCTTCCCCTCAAAGGGGACATTAGATAATTAACGTTTTTGAATCCACTGAGGATTTCTTAAGGAGTGGTCTTACAATCACCTTTAGGTAGGTATGGACTACCCCCTATTTGCATGAGGCATTAATTACCCCCCTGGCCCAGCTGGTGGTCCATTATTCACTATCAGCAAGAGCACAAGTGGATGACCAAAGCAAACCAAGCACTTTGTCCACATCCTTACAAACTGAAACTGATCGAGAACAGGGGGACTAGAAAGTGCTCTGGACACCTCTTGAGATTCATCTGTAACAGCGGAGCCAAGATCCTGGGCAGATGCACAAGACTTTATCCTCAAAATGCTTGGCAAACAAGACACAGCAAGCCATTGTCCATTCTATTGCCTCCTTTGGACAATGTAAAAGGCCCCATACTACCTGAAAAGCTCCACCAGACAACACAGTGCGGATGCAATGGAAGCAGCAATGTATGTCTTCTTCACTAGCAAAGATTAGGCTCGATGAAGAGCACTCACGGGTGTTTGGTTGTATTCACCTGAAGTTTTGCTCCACTTACCTCCGAAAAAGCCATCTCCAACCTTGCTTCATTGCCCTAAGCTCTGGTGTATACCAAGAAGTTAGAAGAGCTTTATGAAGCAAGAGAGGATATTTAGGGCTGATAACGTTAACAGACCAAGAATCCTTCTGCATATTACACAGATCAGCCAGGGCTTCAACAAAGCATCAACTGTACCCATCAGAAAATCCCACCCCTGCCCCACCGGCTCTAGGTCATCTGAAAACCAATTTGCTCCATCAACCTCCAAAAGCAGACCATCCAAATAGGGCCCCTGCCTCTGCGGAGAAGGTAAGCTGCTGAAAGTCAAAATCTCAGCAACAAGTGATGCAGTCATGACAAGGGACTGATGTTGATATCCTCCACTCTCGGATCACTCTCTTCCTGGCCAGCCAAGAAAACCGGATCCATGAATTAATATATTCATATATGAAAGGGCAGCATAAAGATGGTTACAGCTACGAATGGCAGAATTATTTGTATACTTAGGCTTTCAGGAGACACTTGTTTTACATATGCATGTTCTAGAAGAGTCATGAATTAGGATATGTAGACAATGGCAACAAAGTGCATTGGCAGATTTACCCAGCAACTTAACACTCACACAGGTCTTAAAATGGAGAGAATCAAAATATACATATTTAATACTTCAGTGAGGAATAGCTCAGCAACAATGCATCTCTTTTATGGCAATGATGATCACTCAGTAACAATACAAAGTTCTTTAGTGTGAGGGAATTAGCCAATTGATTCTAACCACAACTAACCTAACAACATGCATACAAGAAAGAGCAAGCACACAGGGTGCAAGAGAAGGAAGGGTGAGGTGGAGGTCAGTGCTGCTTAAGGAAGAACAGTAGTGGACTCATTTCTCTGTGGACTCATTTTACAAACTAGGGCACAGTTATGAGCAGCTGGGAAGGGAGGACCAGAGGGTGACATACAAAAACCTCTCTCTCTCTCTCTCTCTCTCTCTCTCTCTCTCACACACACACACACACACACACACACACACGGGGGACAGAAGGAGCAGATAATTTGTAAGGAAAGGTTCTCCAGAAGGCAGAATAGAGAGTGTGAATCACCAATCAAAGCACCATTGGGCAATGGGAAAGAGAACCTGGGCATGTTGAAGCCAAGAGCAAGAACAGTAAGCAAGAGGGAGCCCTTTAAAAAGGTTTCTTGGCAACTGGAAAAGAGAACTCTCTTTCAGCCATCAGGAGGCAGGAGACTGTATGGAGTCCTTAAAAGGACTATATACAGCAGGCTTCCTCAACCTCGGCCCTTCAGATGTTTTTGGCCTACAACTCCCATGATCCCTAGCTAGCAGGACCAGTGGTCAGGGATGATGGGAATTGTAGTCTCAAAACATCTGCAGGGCCGAGGTTGAGGAAGCCTGACATACAGCAAATGTGCCCAAAGGAGCAGAAACCAGATGTAGTGGAGGAAAAGCAAAGGAGGACAACAGGTTCTGGCCTGGCAGTTTGAGTGATTCAGCAAGTGATTACAGGTAGAGTGGATCTAGGCAACCATAACATTTTTTACTGGGAAACCTGAAGTTTATAGTCACTTGTAAACAAAGACTTTAGAGCAAATTCCAAAACTGATTTGATACAAGAAATGCATAATTCCTGGGCAGTCATGTTTTCCAATACCTGTCTCCTGGTGTATCTTTTGCTCTAGGATGCTTAGTTTGGTCAGAATCGCATATACACTTCCAGAGTTAAAACTAAATACATTACTTCTGGTAGATGAGCCACCATAGCCTCTAGAGTGCCCTGAAAAATTGTGCCCCAGGCTTTTAAAACTCATCTACCCATGTACTATCTGAAACCAAAGAGACACATTGGTTGCCAGATGTGAAATATATTGGCATTATTTTCAGTTCTCCTACCCCACTACTACTCTTGATTGAGTTTTCTTTTGTTGCTTTAGCTGACATGGCGACTCCTTGATTAGCATGATTGGATTTTAAACTGGAATAATGGCCTTAAGAGAGAATATTATGAAAATGATATACAGGTGGTATATGACACGAGTCAAGCTTGCAAAAATCTATCACTTGCCCGATAATAAATGTTGGAAATGTAAGGAAACTGAAGGTACATTCTTTCACCTTTGGTGGACATGCCCAAGGATTAAGGCTTTCTGGGAGATGATCTATAATGAAATGAAAAAGGTATATAAATATACCTTCTTGAAGAAACCAGAGGCCTTTCTCCTGGGCATGGTCGGCCAATTGGTGTCAAAGAAGGACAGAACTTTCTTTATGTATGCCACAACAGCAGCAAGAATACTTATTGCAAAGTATTGGAAGACACAAGATTTACCCACTCTGGAAGAATGGCAGATGAAGGTGATGGACTATATGGAACTGGCGGAAATGACTGGCAGAATCCGAGACCAGGGAGAAGAGTCGGTGGAAGAAGATTGGAAGAAATTTAAAGACTATTTACAGAAATACTGCAAAATTAATGAATGTTAGAATGATGTCAGAATGAAGTTAAGTGGTTTTAGTAGCAATGTTATAAAGGTGTATGTAAAAATGGATTGTTAACAGGTGAAAATCCAAAGTTATAATATATTAAGTTAAAAGATTAAGACAAAAACAAAGAGGGAAAGGAATTGCTGAATTAACCAACAGAACTGGAATACAAAAAAGGGAGGTGTGAGGAGGTCAGGGAAGCAAGGAAATGAAATGTAAGGCATGGAAAGATTGATGTGTTTTTAAGTGTTTTTTATCTTTTTTCTGTATTTTGTATTTTTTTCTTTTCTATTTCTTTTTCTTTTTTTTCTCTTTTTATTTATGTAATCTTTTCTTTGAAACTTTAATAAATATCATTTTTTAAAAAAATTAAACTGGAATAATGGACCTGAAGGGGCACTTGTTATACTGATGGCTAACTGGATTGTACTGCCCAGGGTCATGTCCTGCACATATGACTTGCAACATGCACTCCCTTGAGATGACCAACTTAACTTCTTCAGCTACTTTTCCCCTCAGGCAGGCCTCAAGCAGCCTCCTTGTCTTCTCTTGCAAAGTGAATCACTGAAGCCATTTTTAAAACTATAGAGGCATATAGGAAGTACTGGAGTGGAGTGTCTCCCAGGCTCATGAGTTGGCAGCCTGCCAACAGAACCGAGGAATTAAGGGAAGAGGCACCCAGAAATTGTAAGCTATATCACTCCAGAAGGGCAAATGAAGAACAAGGTTGTTGGCTTTAAGGCTTGTACCAACAACCATCGGGGGGAGTAGAATGGCCATTCACACACACACACACACACACACACACACACACACAATAAAATGTGCATGTGCTAATATGTATGTATAAATACACATTTAGAAGCAATTACTAGAATTTATTTATTTTTTAAATCCAATGAATCTCAACATTACAAGGAAGGCTGAGACCAGGTGGCCTAAGCAATCAAGATGTTAACGTCAAGGCCTCCCTTCTTTGAACAAGATGATTGGACAGCCCTTCAAACAAAGGAGGATACATGAACATGCTGCTGGACTGGAAGGGATTTCTGCCTTAGCTCAATGCTGGGGATAGCCAATGCTACTACAGTACTGTTAGAATTGCAGCAACATAATGAAGGAGAGATCTGAAGCAGTGATGGCTTCGCTGCAGGGAAACAACCTGTTTGGCATTTTATCTTTTGAAAATGAGGGTGCTGAAGGAAAACGTTCTTAAAGTAAGAGCACTGCTATGGGGTACCTGTATTTTATTTAGTGTGTGTATATCTTGCCTTCCTCCACCATACAACTCAAAGCTGATTACATCTGCTTCCTAGATGCAGTCCTGCTTGGCTTCAGCAAGGTGGCTATGCCATGTGCCTTTAAAAACAAAAATGACCAGGGCATGGTCTAAAAGCCTCCATGAAGATTCATGGTAAGGTGGATGAGCTCTTACCCCTTATCAGACTTTGGAAACATTATCTAAGCATTGAGGTAGATGGTATTTTGTCATTTATCCCATACCTTAGAGACCACCACCTTTACGTATGTCAGCATTTAATATCATTATGATAGGCACTTTTTCATGTGCCACCCCTATGCAGTTAAGACATCTGCAGTCCCCTCCCCACTCATCAGAGTATTAGGATTGCGACAGGAGAAGGGGGAAACTGCATCTCCATCAGAGCACCGGTTGATCAGAGTCTTAAACCTCTCCATCCACCCCAGTGCTGTATTTAATTCTTTTTGTTTTTGTCATTGCTGCCAAAGTTTGTGGGTCTTGGGGGCAGGGGAGCAAAAAGATAAGTAACCTGGGAAGTGTTGTTAATTAATTAATTAGCCTTTATAAACGGCTTAATATATTACAATTGCCAAATATGACTTGTGGAAAATCTCCCAAAGCATTCATGCATCTGTCAGATTCTGTAAGTATCCAGGGGCAGGCCATCCTCATGGGCCCCTCAACTTTGCAGTGGGGATCTGCACTGCAATACCAAGCTACAGATGGTCTGACCATACCAATAGGGTTAAATCACACCACCACCACCAAAATAATCCAGACTACACCCCCATGACCTGAGCTGCAGACTAAAATCAAGGGTATGTCCTAACCATGTGTTCGGCCAGTGACAACGTGGGACAGTCCTATGGTTGTCATGGAGTTGAGCTGGCCCAGAGAGCCTTGTCACGCCACCCCTGCTAAAATAGATCCACATGCATTTTGTACAATGCACAAGAATCATATCAAAACTGCTCTATCAGTTATATCCACACCTTCTGCAGCTCATTACACTGAAGTTGTGGATGAACTGTGGCTGCACCAAACAAACTACCATAAAAGTCAAACTTGGACAGATATAAACTCAATAATGCCTCTCAGAGATCTATTTCCTATAAAAAAATCTGAAGCAGCAAATTATTACAAGATGAAAAGTTTTTATGTTCTGTCTTAATCTAACAAGAAAAACAGACAGTGATGCCATCAATCTAATGCAACACAGTGACTTTTTAAAGCCTTTGGTGCTCTGCTATTTGTGACAGTAAATTGTTATAACACTATGCCAACTGCCTCTCCTATTGTCAACAGGTGATGCTAGACATCTGGGTTAGTGCAGCACAATGGAGACAGAACACCAGCAGCAGAGGAAGGGTACACAGTCCCAAGGCTTTTTTGGTAATATTTGTGTACGTAAACATTCCATCGTATCACAGTAAGTTAACCAACAACTGGGGTTGGGTGGATTAGAGCTACCAGGAGATTTTTAACACAACTGTAAGATGTCACTATTGTGATTGTATATAAACAAGCAGTTCCTGTATCCACAGCTCATTACTCTATAGAGAAAAGAGGGGGAATATGTGATAGATTTTCGCACGCTCAAAATTGCCAGAGGACCTTGAGTTGTTAGAAGAAAGCAGGCAAAAGCTTTCAAAATATACCTGTATATAAAGAGATATGCTATAACCAGAGACAACAATACAGAAATTGCAAGGAAGTAAGAGACAGCTGAAAACAGACAGTTGAACAAGGGCCATGGGAGGAGGAACAGAAATAGGGATGACAGATCAGGCAACAACACTGCAAAGTCCAAAATTCACATTCACATGTTCATCAGCACCTTTCAAACATATGTGTTAATAAGTTCTGAATCATGCCAACTACCATGATTTCTAAACTCATTCCCATTCATCTCAACTGGTCATATAGCTAAAAAGGTTAAGTATTAACATTGGTATGAAACATTGGTCTTTCAGCAGATTACGTTATGCATTTCCATTAAGATGTCCACTTTAACGTCATTGCAAATATTTATGCTGAAAATTTGTTAGTGTGCAAACTGTCATTTTGATATCTAAATGTAAATCCATATTTTATTACTGTCTCTAAAAAAATTGTTACGTCTAGACTCACACAGTGAATTATAAATATATCACAGGAAAGAGTACAAGCTCTCCATCAGCTATGTCCTCGCAATCACCTCATTAAAAAAAATGCAAGCTGCTACAATTTTCTGCAATTACATGCAAATCAGCAGCAGTTCTCTGGTTCACGGTTGTAATACACTCCTAACATCACTGCTTTTACTGCTGAAGATGTTGGAGTCAGGATGATTGACCATTTATTGCTACAATTCTTTGCAGATGATAACATCTAACATTTTAATTCAATTTGCTAGGTCACTATAGCACATTCCACTGTCTGAATAGCAGCTGCTAGCATGTTCATAGAACATTTTCTCTTCAAAGGGGGATAGCCAACTTGTCAGGCTGCAAAAGCAGACCAAGTCTACCAAAATAATAATCTGATCTCCAATAAAATGTTGGGAGGGGGCCCTCATTTATAGTTCACTATTAATTTCATTATATAGAATTACAACCCAAACACCCACTCAGAAAATTCAGCCCAGCAGGGGGTGTTGATTTGGAGCCATAATTTAACATTCCTCCTCTTTGCCATAGACCCATTGCATGGTGTAGCTGTGGGGTACCATTACTTAAAATGATGTGGTACATTTTCAAAGGGATATCCTACTAGCCACTGCTTACAAGAGAAATGAAAAAAATAGCCCAGTGGCATTTTAAGCCTATAGCAAATGTATTAATAAAGGATTGGAGCGTTGGGTTGGGTTGAATGATATATTGGGTCCCTCCAGGCTTCTGGTTTTATATCTGTCAAATGAGATTCTGCAGCAGAAGGTACTGCTAAAGCAATCAAACCAGTTTATTTTGTTAAGCACCCTTTGCACATGTCTAAAGATCTGCACAAGTACATGTATGCTGACACAGAAACAACTAGCTAGTGATGCTTTCAGAAGGAGGAAATACGTTTTCTCCCACTGATTTAGGTGTGAGGGTGCCAGTGTAATGCAATCTCCAACCAATGTGAGTTGTGCCAGTGCCAGTGCCAACCTTGGGTTTTGATTTCTTAGAATGAAGGTCACAAGAGAATGCAGTGTCTTTGTGGATATATGATTTTATTTACAGAGAGAGGCTGAGCATAAGGTGGAAGGACTCGCAGAATTAACAGTCAAACAGATCTTGTTCCCCCATTACCCATTAGGTTTCCAGGGAACCCCTGAAAGCCATAACACAACACATAGAGCAAGTCAAGTCTGCATGTCTTCCCACCTCCAGATGAGACTAGCTCTCATCTTTTGTTCACCACCTAGGTAGCTATGCCAGGATGAATTGGTTTTAAGTGTATAACAGTAATATTGCATATAAACGTCAAGGAATACCAAGAATGATGCATCTGATGAAGACAATTCTAGCCCAAGAAAGCTTATGCAATAATCTACATGATAGTCCTTAAAGTGGTAGTACTGTTCTTTTCATCTTACCTACAAGCCCTGCTCCCTGTTTTGCCGGCCTATTTCCACCTACCCTTTATTGTCTATGACTGTTTAAAATTTTCTTATATTTTTGTAACAGACTGAACTATGTAATTTTTTTTGGAAATTGCAGCCACCTATGGCTTAGATGTGGAACGGCTGCATATGAATAAACCATGTTTTGATAAAATTGCACTATGGCCTTACTTTAAAGGGCTGTTGTGAGAATAAAATAATATAAAACACTTTGGCAAATTTAAAATGCTACTCCAAGGAAGCTAAAAATAAACCAAGAACCGTAAGTCGTACCTTGGCCAATATAGAAACCCTTAGCTGTGATTCCTCCTTATTTTTACCTAGGTTACAATACTGCCAATACCTCTTAGCAAAACTTCTACTTCACGATTTCAGAACAAGATCACAAGGAATTATGTATGCATACATACATGTATTTGATGGGTATTGGGGGGAGCACATTCCTGAGGGCAGAGAACAGGAGTGAGGAACCTGTGACCCTGTTGGAGTGCAGCGCTCATCATTTGTCTTCATTAGTCACACTGGCTAGAGCTGATGGATATTAAGATTCCAACAACATCTGAAGATCAAAGGTTCCCTACCCTTGGCACAGATAGTTTGCTGTATTCATCAAGTTACAAACAGCTTTTTTGCTAGAATTCAGAAGTGTAACTTTTACCCAAAAGGTCTACCCTGAGCATGACCTATCAGCCCGAGTTCCTCACAACTAAATCAACTGCATGTTTGCCAAGTTCTACGGGACTGAACGCTTTGTCCAAGGTCTGTAGTTTAAAACTCTGATAATTAATAAATCAAAATGTATTTAACTGGACAGCAGAAGGCTGTTAGCAGTTATTTGTCACTTGTAAGAATATAGTAAAGGTAAAGGGACCCCTGACCATTGGGTCCAGTCATGGCCGATTCTGGGGTTGCGGCGCTCATCTCGCTTTATTGGCCAAGGGAGCCGGTGTACAGCTTCCGGGTCATGTGGCCAGCATGACTAAGCCACTTCTGGCAGCGCATGGAAACGCCGTTTACCTTCCTGCTGGAGCAGTACCTGTTTATCTACTTGCAGTTTGACGTGCTTTCCAACTCCGAGGTTGGCAGGAGCAGGGACCGAACTATGGGAGCTCACCCCGTCGCGGGGATTCGAACCGCCGACCTTCTGATCGGCAAGTCCTAGGCTCTGTGGTTTAACCCACAGCACCACCTGCGTCCCTTTGTAAGAATATAGATTAGCCTATAACAGCTTTCACCATCCTGGTGCCCTCCAGAAGGTTCACCAGGCTGGCAAGGGCAGACCCACAGCATTTGAGCACAGGTGAGCTGAGGGTCCCTTGGTATGTAGCTTCCAGAAGTGATGCTATCTTCCCTCCCTGAATCACCCTCCCTCTACCCCTCAAAATGCATGCTCCTACTTTGTGTAGCCTCTATTGGGACAGGGATACATTTCCAAGATCCCCAAGCACAACCAATGTAACACAAATGTAAAAAAGTAGGTATTTTAGTCTGCTACATCAACAAAATACCAACCTATAATAAAACTAGTTGCTTCTGTGACACATTTTTAAGGTTAACGAAAGTGGCAAAAACTTCACCCACCCTTTTTATGTGAAATAAGTAAGCTAGGGAACACTGGAACAGTTTTTGAGTAGGGCTTTCTCCCTTTCCCCAGCATTTATTCCTTGGGAACAGCGGCATTGCTAGAAATTAGTCCACAGCCTCAAATCTTTTTCAAAGTTTTTCTCGGTGGGTAATGGAGCTGAAGAAACTGAATTGAGCAGGGTGATCTTTGTTACTGGGTAATGTATAAATTTGAGGAATAAATTAAGATTAAATATAGATGATGGGGTATATGTAGGGAAACCAAAATCATTTGGACTGAAATCTGTTGGGAAATTAATTGGGGGTAAATACACTGAAGAGGAATGATTTGGGATCATCTGGGCTGGGGTGCATGTTAATTAAATAATATATATGGGGTGATTTGGATGGGAAATTAGTTGGCTTGCCTTCTGTGGCATTTAAATTGCAATTTGTGTCTATACAAATAATTTAGCATATGCTAATGTGTGCCTATGGACCAGTGCCCTTAATCTTTTTAAGTACCTAGCAATGTGCTTGCTTGGGAACATTTGCTTTTCTTTTCCCTTTGTTATAAGCTGGTGAATGCACGTTTTCTTTCTCCTGTGAACAGATGTAGTATTAAAAATTCACATTATCAGGATTTTCATTTCTTTGCCAAAACATAAACTCCTTCATTAAAAACAGATAAAAGACTGAGAGGGAAGTTAAACTGAAGGGTGATATAATTAACAGCACAAAAACACTTAAAACTGAAAATAGTGCAGGTCTATACCTTTCACAGCAGATTCTCTCTTACACCAGCATCACAAAAGCTAGGAATAAGGCAGTGTCGGTTCGTGGCACGCTGCTTAAGTGAGATTTGGAGTACATCTCCAGGTATTACTCTCAGAATAAATGACTGGGAAAGATCTGTCTGAGGTCCCCAAGTAGAGACTTGACTATACAAGGCAAGGTGGAGTATTGACTTAACTTCTATGTACCGTATTTTTCGCTCTATAAGACGCACCAGACCACAAGACACACCTAGTTTTTGGAGGAGGAAAACAAGAAAAAAAAATCTGAATCTCAGAAGCCAGAACAGCAAGAGGGATCGCTGCGCAGTGAAAGCAGCAATCCCTCTTGCTGTTCTGGCTTCTGGGATAGCTGCGCAGCCTGCATTCACTCCATAAGACGCACAACCATCTCCCCCTACTTTTTAGGAGGGGAAAAGTGAGTCTTATAGAGCAAAAAATACGGTAACTCTTTAGGGTTTATATCTGGAGTCTTCCAAACATAGTATCAGAGGCCTCAGTGGCTTGAGTTCCATGTATTCTTTCACCTGGATGTGTGATGTACCTAATGGTCTTTATGAGTGAGTTCTTAGCCTTCTCTGTACCCCAGCACATTGTAGGGGTCACTTGGAAGACCAATTTAACTGGACATCTAAATGCCTCACCTTATCGTAAGGATAAAAATAATAGCCCAATGGATTGTTAGCTGCCACTATCTGCCAAATTTAGTACAGTATGACTCTACCATAGCTTAGCTAAAAGGTCAAAGCAAGGATGTGAACTGAGATGCTATAGGAGTTTGTTCATAATCCCCTTTGATCAAATCATATCAACTGTACTTTAAATAATTTGATTTATTAACAAAGCATACAGAATTCATTATTGCAGTCTATTTAAATAAATAATAGGAAATTGTTTTAACTTCTGGAATTTCCCTAACTGACATAGGTTGATGGCTTGTCTTACATGCTACAGCACTAGCTGAGCCTAAAATCGGCAATCTCTCTACCTTCCTGGCAGATGCGCAGCATCCGACTAAAGAACTCACTAGCTGCAGCTGAAGACATAGGATCTGACTATGCATTTATAGAACTTTGCCTGTGAAATTGACACAGTGGCCTAAACTGTGTTGGAATGCTGGCTTGTGTGAAACAAAAGTCAACCCTCATTGCCTACTCAGGAACATAGAAGGCAGGAAGAAACACTGGGGTCTTGGAAAGCAATGAAAGGTGCTCCTTCATCTTCCTATCTGTGATCTTTTACCCTCTATTTTTCAGAATGCATTTTTAGGTACGATGTAAACAATTTGCAATATACATATGGAGCAATTCAGCCATATTCCTGACCAAGCAACGTTGTTACTCCAGGAATCAACAATAGCACCTTTCTTTTAACAAACAGTAAATGCTAACAAAAGTACTGTAACTGATATGTTTCTAGTTGCAACCCAAATTGTTGGCCTGATGTATTTGTGCCGTATCAATATAATGAAGATATGGTGCCAAAAAGAACACTCTGGTTAAGCATTGTCTTAAAAAACTACAGGCTACAGAGTTAAACTGCCAGATCCAAAGTGCGGAGATAATTTTTCAGAAGCCACAAGCTGCTGACAAATAACAAAGACATGGCTATCTTACTTAAAGCACTAACCAAGGTTATCAGGTCTAGCAGGACAGAACTAGAAATTTTTTTCCAAGGAATGACCAAAACTGACTAACTTGTTTGGTGTCATTAAAAAAAATTTATTTTAACATCTCTAGGAGTATTTCACCTGCTCTAACTGCATGGCTCCCAGGTGCTCAGCTCCACACCCTTGCTGCAGAGGATTTTGGTGGGAGCTGGGGTAACACCCTAAAGGGCAAGGGAAAGAAATGCTGCCTTAAATAACCTCGGTTCCATATGGACTTCTTGTAATTTCTGTTTCTGTACTCGATTTGAGCATGATTTTAGCTTGAGAACCTTTTGTAAGCTGCTTATGAGAGCTGTAAAGTGGGATAGAAGTATTCTAAATAATAAATTTTTAAAAAATAAAATCATTCTGATGAGAAAAGTCATCAGGGATTCACATAATTTGCAGACTCAAAACTCTTCTTTCCATAATAATTCTAGCAAGCTACTGTGTCATTCCTCACATAAATAAAAAAACCATCCCTCATTTCTATTCCCCATGAGTCTCAAATGACTTCCTTTTTGTTTGCAAGTGAATAAAGAAACAGATGAGAAAATAAACTATATTCCTAACATTTCACTCAGTACTGTCTTTTACAGCCTCAAAATGTGAGACTCTCTCAGGAAAGACAGTGACATCATGATCGATCACCAAAATAGAAATATAGATTTTAGCTTCTCATCCCTTGCTACAACTCCTAAGCCCTTTTAAACAGATATGGAAAACTGCAGACTTCATTTAATTTCAATCAGCATATTTGGTCATGTAAACTTATAGATATGCTACTTTATCTTTAATTCTACAAATGATCATCAGTTCCTTTCTGTATATAAGTTGTAAAGGATTGAAATGGTTTATAGTAAATGAAGTAAATATATAGAAAAATGATATCGGTATCACTACAGTTCAACCAAAATACATTAACTGCAAGTCAGTTGTAGAGTGCCGGAAGGAAGGAAGCACAACAAGCAACTTTATGAAATTTTATGAAATAAATAATATTTATAACATTTGGTCCTCACTAAGTACTACAATGAAATCTGTAAACATGCTGTGTACATTTGTGCTGTTTTATAGTAGAAAAAATAAGGAGTAGTTTAAGAGACTGATTACACACGGTAAGGTAACAAGAACCCGAATACTTCTCACCTGTAAGTACAGCTTTTGCAGAGGGATCTGCAAGATCCAAGGCCGACTTCCCATCTGTGTTTCGAATATTTGGATCAGCTCCATGCTGCAGTAGCACTGTGCAAAGAAGGAGGAAAGCTCTGAAAACTGACTTGCAGAATGAAAACATTGGCCATAAATAGTCCCAGTAACCATATAATGTATTACACACACACAAACACAAGGCCACAATCAAGAGAGCATCTCCCCCTCCATTTTTGCATTTCAAATGACTTCGAAACATGTTTCAAAAGTATCTTATCCAGGGAGAGGAGGGGGCAGTTGTTGCTCAAAGAAAAAAACAGTCTCATTTGGCCCATGGAGTTAGCCATGCAGTTCCTGAACATCAAGTATAGTTGTCTTACATAGATTTGCAGTGCTATCTTATACATGTCTACTCAGATGCAAGTCTCATTGAGTTCAACAGGCCTAGCTACCAGAAAAGAGCTCACAGAATTGCATCCCTAGTTATCTTTTTTCCAGAAGGCTAGCAAGCTACAAAGCCTTACCAGACAATTATTAGACTGTAAATCTGCACAGGCTATACATAGAATAGTGTGGTGGTAGCATAGCAGTAACAGCAAGTTGTCTGACTTTGGATTACTAATAATGCTAATTTTTGTTCAGCTCAGTTTTTCATATATTAGATATCACACTCCTATACAGATGAAAGCATGAAACTAAAGCAATAAACTGAAGTATTGTGCAGTGTTTTACACTAGCAGGCAGCCATGTAAATTTCTTTTTCTTTCAAAAGAGATTCCGGATAATTAAGGATTATGCTCACTTTTCCTTTTTTTCCTCCCTTATTCTTTAGGGTGAACAAATAATATAATTTATCTGACCAAAATCCTTCATTTTAAAAAAAAAAGAAATATGTTGATATAAACCAATACAAAAATACCTTAAAAGTGAAAAGAGACCTGCATGCAGAAATAGAAAAAATAAAAGGAAAAAATACAATGGGAAGGAAAACCTGAAAACAATTGAGAATTCAATACCGCATTCAACTATCACATATTTAAAAAGGGGTGTGTGAGAGAGTGTCAATTCAGCTCTCAATAAAGCCTCTCCACAAGTTTACCTGCAGGGGGTTTAGTGGGCTGTTCAACAGAGTTAACATATGAAAAAACTTTTACCATGTCAAATAAAAAAGATATGTTTTAATGAACACTTAAGGACTCTCCATTTATGTGTCAGATATTCTGATCTTTCGCTAGCCACTCCTCTCAGGAAGGACATGATTTGGACTTCCAACAGGAGGCCACTAACAATCTAGCTGCAGAAAGAAGGATAAACACAAGAGGTTTATGCACGATGGGCGAGTTGGTCTGGGGATAATACCTGTGAGCTGATAATGGAGATATAATCAGAATCCTTCATCAAAAAACAAAGAACCAAGGAAGTTGATGAACAGCCAAAACAAAGATTGTATCAGTTAAGTTCTCTGTATATTTCATAATAGTTTGCTGATAAATATAGAGGAACTGATGTAAAGAGGCCTTTTCAGACATTCTGTAGCACCTGAATATTTTTGCTTTGGTATCAGTATTATTGTTATAAGATACCGTATTTACTCGATTCTAATGCTCACCTTTTTGGGCCAAATTAAGTTGCAAAAATTGATGTGCGCATTAGAATTGATGACACATTTACATTCGCCAGCAAATACTTTGGTTTCAAGGTTCTGAAAACTGAGGTGTGCATTAGATTCAATGACGCATTAGACTTGAGTAAATACAGTAACAACTATGGGCCCATAAGATATAATACTATTGAAAACCAATGAAAAAAGACATATTTTTGGAAAGATGCACTTACCAATACACACATCTATCTTGCCTTTGATAGCAGCTTCATGCAGAGGAGTATAATTCCAGTTGTCTCTGGCATTTGGATCTGCACCCTGACACAGCAACAGGCTGACTACCTCAGCGTGACCGAATGAACAGGCATTATGAAGAGGTATCAATCCACCATCATCACGAGCATGGACATTGGCTCCTGTCTGTAATAAGTGTTCCACTACATCCTTTCTTCCAAACCCTGCAAAAATATGTAATTTAAGAAAAACCATTAAAATGTTGAAGTATACGGAATTTAGAACAAACAAATATATATATATAGTCCACCTAGTGCATTGTGCAAACTAAGACTTAGATTGCATTCATGAATATGGAATACTATTTTCTTGCTTACTATTTCATGTAGTTTAGGGTAGCTCCTTCCTACCTGTTTGTACCAACAGAGGATCAAATCACAACAGCAAATACATTTTTGCATTGGCATCTGTGTATTTGGTGGTGGTTTTCAAGAAGTAACCACAGGGAGTCCCAATCTGGACTAGGATCACACAACATGTGGAAGGGGATTCAGCCCTTTCCTCTATTGAAACAGCCCCAATGAAATCCCTGATGAAACTGCCATTTTAGCAAGTTCTCCTTCCTATCAGTCTAAATAACAAAAATGTTATCAATGGTATAAGAGCACTGAAAAAGTACTGTTCTAAGGCACACCTCTGGGTCATATGAGTAATTATTTTAGTGCAGGCACAGAACTGAACAGCCTGAAATACCATGCCATAAGGCTAACAATGCTCAAGAAAATGGGGCAGCAAACACAAGATCCCTGCTTAAGAGTCCACTGAAATGCTTAATCTATTTGCTTCTCTATTTCTATAGCAAAACTCTTCTGCGGATGGCTCAGTTCTTTTGGTATTCTCCAATGGGATCCAGGTGACTTATTGACCACGGTGCTGGTAAATTGCATCAGCCTCCCATACACAACCGAACTTCATGATGAGACTAGCACCTTCTTTTTTACTTTGAGTATGCCCAGTGTTTTTTTTTCTGAGGCTGAGGATTCTTTGCATCTGAGATTATGAGCAAGCAGCATCACTTACTGCATAATCTCAGCCTGAGTACAAAACTATAATTTTAAATCAATAGTTCTTACACTAGAATATTTAACCCAAAAAAACCTATGAGATATGTGGAGCACTAGTGTTCTCTTCTCACAGTTCACCACCTTTTTTTTAAAAAAAGAAAAGGATAAAGAGACCCCTTTATTTCCAGTCTCATCTCTTGAAGGTTTTTCATTCAGCAGTAGCTCCAGTTGCTATTATGTTCACTTGTAATCTGACTTCATCATTTCTGAACACAATTGACTAAGGATGGGTATTGTAACCCAAATGAGACAGCGCTAACGGCTTTAATAATGGCACTTTTACTTGTCTCTTTCTACAACACCCCAAAATGAAATGTGCCTACTCTCTAGTTATGAGGTCCACATTTTTCTGCCTTCAGGGTTGAAACCCCAGAACATATACCAAACTAGCTATTAACTGCCAAGAGCACAGGATTAAATTATCTAGTACTGGATTTGACTAAGATTTTTATTTGCAAATTGTCCTAGTCCAGAAGCTCTTGGTGGCTTACGATGCCATTTGTGTAGACTGTGGAAAGAATGCAGAAATGGTAAGAATATTTGTACTTGGTGCTGAACTCGATTTATTTTTTTTTAACATAACAGTGATCAAGCTTGCTAAGGCCAATACTGAATTTATTGCATAGGGTAACAAGGCCTAGGGTTCATATTCTGGGTGCCCAATGCTGTATTTTGAGTCAACCTGTAATTTTAGTGTACCAGACATGTTGAGCTTTCTTAGTTATTGGTCAATGAAGCCATATATCTCAAACTGCCCAAAAGTTACTGATTGGGATTGTCTGGTTTTGGCACCAGCATATAAAGGAGACAAACAAATTTCCAGTTTTATTCCTTTGGTACCCAACTATCATGTTTTTCATAATACTGCACTGCTTTTGATGGTGCACTGCAGAAAAATGTTTAAGTCATCCACCGAGGCCCCCACTCATTTTCAAAGGGTCCATGACAAGTTTGAAAACTGCTGTCCTAGACAAAGGTGTAAACAAAGTAATTTTTAAATAATAACTGCAAATAGTGAGTAGAATTGTGCCTACATACAAAAAAGTAAGTAATGCAAGCAAAAATAAGAATTTGATTTGGAAAAAACACACATCACATATAACCTAATAAACAGCAGTTTCCAATTCTTGTCAAGATAGTCTGTGAGCTGCAAGACAGAAGGTGACAACAAGGATGCCTTTCAGGAATTCTTAAATTTGATAACTAGTATGGGATTAGGGCCACCTATGTTTGTAAGAAACCTACTTGAAAGAAGGGATAGCTATTTTTGGAAAAGAAAAACTTGCTTACTCCTCATATTGTTCAGCTGCTAGACTGAGCTACAAGAAGTTTTGTTCAGAGAAAAGGAAAAAGAAAAATTGGCCCACCAGAAGACAGCCATCCGTGTAGTGCAAGAGACACTACATCCCCCCAACTCTTCTTCCAATTGCTCAGGGCATTCTTCCCCCCCCCTTCTATCTCACAACCACCCCATGAGGTAGAATAAGCTGAGAGGGCAAGCCAGTGAGCTTCATGGCTAAGTAGAGATTTGAACATATGTCTCCTCGAAGAGGGGCGACCTGCACCAAGGATGGGGAACTTCTAATCTATGAGGTGGATGCTGTCACATGTTTAATCTCAACCAGCCTCTAAGCATTTCTAGGGAGCCACTTCCTTCCAGAAAGGGCCAGCGGGTACAGCAACCAATTGAGTGCTGCTACTGGAAAGGGCTCCAAGATTCCCCCCTCACCAGTCTTTGCTGCTCCAACAGAAGTATTAATTCATAGTGTCTTCACTTGCGCCTCTCTCTAGGAGTGGTAGTTATATTGTTTAGGCCAGGCATGGCCAAACTTGGCCGTCCAGATGTTTTGGGACTACAACTCCCATCATCCCTAGCTAACAGGACCAGTGGTCAGGGATGATGGGAATTGTAGTCCGAAAACATCTGGACGGCCAAGTTTGGCCATGCCTGGTTTAGGCCATTCACTTGATCCCCACCTGAGAACCTAAGCAAAACCCCAGCATCATCTTCCAGCCATTACAATATATGAACCTATGATATTTATAAGAGAATAGAATACAGTTAATTACCTGACTAATAGTTGTGTGCAGCCCCCAAATTGATGTTTTTCTGTGGGTCAGTTGCCCTTGATACTAAAAAAGGCTCCATGAACTTGGCACAGAAAAACACCCTAGGAAATCCCAAGCTGAGCTCCTTAAGGTCAGACACATCCTATTTGTCAGCTCAGCAAATCTAATAAATACCCATGGGATTTGCATCAATTTTTTCATGTAACCCTTTTAAACCAACTTTTTGAACACTTTCTTCAGTTCACATAAATCCTTTAAAACCGTGGGTATTAAAGCAAACATTTTATATGAAGTAAACACCAGATACTGGTCTGATGTCCTCTTGAGTCTAAAAGCTACATAAATATGGATTGTATCTAATGTTAAGTCATATTCAGGCTAGACCCTTTGAAATTAATGTACACAACCAATTTAGGTCCATTCATCTCAGTGGATCTACCCTGGATACCACTGAGTTGTATACACCCGCCATGTATGATCTTCCTGAGATTCCTGCATTGCAGGGGTTGGACTAGATAACCCTCAGAGTCCCTTCCAACTACAGTACAGATGTGGACTTGTCCTTTTAGTGTGACTTTCAGGAAAAATCCTAAAGTCCTCAGCTCTAACTAAGATACACAATAAAGGTAAAGGTAAAGGGACCCCTGACCATTAGGTCCAGTCGTGACCAACTCTGGGGTTGCGGCACTCATCTCGCTTTATTGGCCAAGGGAGCCGGCGTACAGCTTCCGGGTCATGTGGCCAGCATGACTAAGCCGCTTCTGGCGAACCAGAGCAGCAAACGGAAACGCCAGAGCAGTACCTATTTATCTACTTGCACTTTGACGTGCTTTTGAACTGCTAGGTTGGCAGGAGCAGGGACCAAGCAACGGGAGCTCACCCCGTCGCGGGGATTCGAACCGCCGACCTTCTGATCTGCAAGCCCAAGAGGCTTTGTGGTTTAACCCACAGCGCCACCCGCGTCCCAAGATACACAATACTTTTGAGAAAAGAGAAGCATTAGTTCTGTACTTATTAGGGCCTCTTCACTCATTACATGGCAACAAAAGCTGAAGTTTGCCAACAAGAATACACTAGATTAGGAGGTGCAGACGCTGCTGGCTCTCAGACAGTTCTCACAACTAGCCTATTTATTTACTGAATTTCCATACCGCCCTATACCCGCAGGTCTCAGGGAGATTCACAGGATAAAATCAGAATATAAAACGACAAAGTAGATAATCATAATAAAAAACAACAACCCAATAATCCCCCCCTTCCACAATTAACTGCTCATGTGAACAAATCTGTTTTTCAGTGGTGGCCTTTTCATTTGTAGAATGCTCTCCTCATTGCATTCTAAAATGTAATGCTCATTTAGTGGGGGCGAGGTGGGACTTCTTGTTCCTATTGTGTTGTAGGATAAGCGTTTTAGGAATTTTGTATTGCACATCATTTGCTAGATTTCTGGCTTTAAATTTATTTATTTATTATTTTATCTTGTTAAGTCACTTTCAGACTTTTTTGCTACAAAGTGACGAACAAATAAAGTAACATGCAAACTCTCCCTCCATATTCCGCAAACTCAATAAATCACACTATACTTTTGTAGACAAGAGCAGCAATCTCACACAAGTTTATCACGCCAACACTAAACTGCTCACACAGAGTGGGCAACTCATGGTAGCAGTTATCTGCAGAGAAAAATAACAGATTCCAATTCACAAAAACTTATACCAGTCTAAGGTATCATAAAAACCTCAAACACAGAATGCAGTAGTAGCCAATGTGGGGGCTCTCCAGATGTTTTTGGACTACAACCTCCATCATCCCTGACCAATGGCAAAGCAGGCTGGGGCTGATGGGAACTGGAGTCCAACAATATCTTGAGGATAACACATTCACTACTCCTGTGCTAAAACCTGTACCAACAGGATACAAGTGCTTGCCTCATCAACATTTTACGATATACACCTGAAATATTAATAGCAATAGTGTTGCAATATGGGAAGCGGTCCTTAGAAGCATCTGATGCTTCACCTTAAATTGACATCAAGGGCCTACGGGCCTCTAGTCTACACCCTTGTCCTTTAAGAGGTGGTGAATGAAGAACTTAAAAACTCATTGACCATTCACCTCTCCAGGGTGGCTTAGTTTATAGCAGGCCCACAGTCAGAGAACTTTCAAGGCCTTCTTGTCTTCCCTCATCACCCCTGCTGTGAGTCCAATATTAGCAGAGAGAGAGAAAGAACAGATGGGCATTCCTTCTGGGGAGCTAAGTAATCACCAATTCTCCTTGCTATTCTTTTGAGGGGGGGAAGTCTGGGGGGAAGTCTGGGCAGAGGGAGCTCTTACCTGAAAGGATTTGTTCCTCCCTGCTGGACTGCCCAAACAGAGCAGGAGGAGGCAGCAGCAACTCCTCCCCTTGCTTGCTTGCTTGCTTACTTATATACTAGGCCCCATCCTCCAGAGACTACCACCCACAAAAAAGGGGAAAGTGAATGAAAAAGAGCAGGGGGGTGGATGGCTGCCCCAAGGAGGCAGCAACCACCACCTCCTACCCCTCGGTTCAGTTACACATTTCCCCCCCAGTAGGGAAGTGGGAATCTGTCAGAGGGCCCAATCCTCCCAATCGGGCAGCCCAGAGAGAAAAGGCCAAGTAGGCAGAGGCTGCTCCTGGAAAGGGCAACTACTGCCTCCATGCCCCTTCCCTCGCTGCCCCTGTGTGGGACACACACACACACACACACACACATATACAGGATAGGTGTGTGATTGCTGCGCAGCCCTCTGGGCTGGGGGGGAGGAGCTGTTGATCCAGCCACTACAAGCAGAGTGGACCACAACAAGCAGGGCGGAGGCCCGCCCACCCACTACCCACCCAGCAGGAAGCCAACCACCAGGGTGTCAAATTATAAACAGACAAGTTTTCTGCCCTCTCTGCCTCTGATCTATGTGGAAGGAGCATCCCTACTGTATTTTAATACTTGGTTGGAAGCTGCCCAGAGTGGCTGGGGAAGCCCAGCCAGATGGGCGGAGTATAAATAAATTATTATTATTATTATTATTATTAAGAAAGTAAAGAGCCTTTCTGCCACTTCTGCAACCATGTTTAACCTCGTAAAGATGGGGGAGTGGAATATTGGGGTGCAAACGCAATGACAAACCTAGACAGCATCTTAAAAAGCAGAGACATCACCTTGCCAACAAAGGTCCATATAGTTAAAGCTATGGTTTTCCCAGTAGTGATGTATGGAAGTGAGAGCTGGACCATAAAGAAGGCTGATCGCCAAAGAATTGATGCTTTTGAATTCTGGTGCTGGAGGAGACTCTTGAGAGTCCCATGGACTGCAAGAAGATCAAACCTATCCATTCTGAAGGAAATCAGCCCTGAGTGCTCACTGGAAGGACAGATCCTGAGGCTGAGGCTCCAATACTTTGGCCACCTCATGAGAAGAGAAGACTCCCTGGAAAAGACCCTGATGCTGGGAAAGATGGAGGGCACAAGGAGAAGGGGACAGCAGAGGACGAGATGGTTGGACAGTATTCTCGAAGCTACCAGCAGGAGTTTGACCAAACTGCGGGAGGCAGTGGAAGACAGGAGTGCCTGCCGTGCTCTGGAAGGGGCGGACACGACAGGCATGGGGTCTGGAAGAGGCGGACACGACTAAACGACTCAACAACAACAACGACATTCCCTTCCCGGATTAAGCACACTTAAGCACTGCAAGGGGGCCGTTCCCCGCAAGCACTAGAGGACCCTCTCGGGGCAACGCGCCCCAGGCAGCTGCCCGGCCCGCCCCCCCCCATCCCCGGCGCCCCCTCACCTGCCGCGAAGTGCAAGGGGGTGGATTTCCTCCCCGCCATATCCTTGGCGTTGACGTTGGTGGCATCCACCAGGCGCCGGACGCGGGTCACGTCCCCATTGCGACAGGCCTCCAGCAGCTCGCGGAAAGTGCCGCTTCCCACGGGCGCGGGGGGCGGCTGCAGAGGCGGGGCGGGCGGCTCGGGGCTCTCGGCGGCGGCCGGGCTGGAAGCGGCCGAGGACGACGACGACGGCGACGAGCCGGAGCTGCTGCTGCTGCTGCTGGTGCTGCTGTTGGCGGCGCTGCTGGCGCCCGAGCCCGGAGGGGGAGGAGGCCCGGCGGCCTCGCAGACGCTCTCCGGGGAGAAAGGCCTCTCCGCCGCCTCCCGGCCGCTGCTCCCGTGAGCCTCCCCCTCAGGTCCGGCTAGGCTGGGCCTCTGCTGAGGGGAAGCTCCGAGGGGGGAAAGGCTGGGGCTCTGCGGCGGCGGCGGCGACGCGGGAGTCGCGCCCGGGTGGTGATGCTGCTGCTGCTGCTGCTGCTGCTGCTGGGAGCGACGCGACGACGATGCCGCCGCCATTTCCCAGCTCTTAAGAGCGGCCCGGTCCTGTCACTGCGGCAACGGCGACGGAGCGCCCGCCCTCGCTTCCGCCTCCTCGCAGCCAATCGGCGCCCAGGCTGGGGGGACGTGACGTCACGCGCTGGGATGGCTACGGAAGCGCGTAGGGAACTGGTTCCCTGCTCGCGCGGGGCCTAAAAGTGAGGCAGCTCTTTCTTGCCTGCTGGCTTGGGAGTAAGCCTTGCTGAACGGGGGAGCTTACTTCCAAGGAAACAGGCAGATAGGGCTTAAGACTCTCTTCTTTGTGTTTTTATTGTATTTTAGTGTTTTGTTGGAAGCCGCCCAGAATGGCTGGGGTATAAATAATAAATTATTATTATTATTGTTGTTGTTATTGTTATTCTCTTTCCTGCACACTTTGATGACATCAGAAGGGTCTGCCGCTATCCATTTCACCTGTACTTAGCCAATTCTTTAGTTATGCAAAGTCTCCTTCTCACAAAAAAGGGGTTATCTGCTAGATTAAGCTCACCCAGCTGGTTTGACCTCTTTATCAGCCACTTCTATAGGAAGGGCTATAAAATCAGAGGCCTGGAGGGGATGCCGGAAACCTATTTACAGTCCCAGTTCCAAACTTAATTAATTTACAACAAGATAACTGCAATCTCAGCTTAGGCACATGCAATCTTGAGAGTCTTCCTGCCTGCTCGAATTCTTCTGCTTTTAAAGCTGGGCTTCTCTTTGTTCCTGTGGATGTTTACTATCCCAAGCTTCATTAGTGTGTGACCCAGAAATTCTGGATGCCAAAGTTTTGTACTAGTTTTGTGCAGTTTTTGCTGCAAACCTCATTTTTGTGCTGCTCTCCGAAATGAGTAATTTACACCTGTTATAAGAAAAAACTGCTCCCTTTCCCTTTTGGGCTATTCCAGAGCCCAAATAGAGTCCTTAAGTGGGTTCCCTATCTGTACGAGAAAAATAACAAAGGCCAACCAGAAGTAAAGCGGCTAGTAAGCCTGATCTTTACTGAAGGAAAATAAACTGTTGCAGCAGGGCCCCCACTCACCAAAAGCAGGAGGGAGGGGAACCCTGAAGAATGGGGCGCAAGCCCTTACATAGACTTGAAGTTGACCACCCTGTAGCCCAAAACCACCACCCCCCCAAAAAAATCATACATACATCACAGAAGGAGGTGGTATACAGCAGAAATCCTGTCTGCCAGGATACCTGATAATTGTCACTGGTTGCATTACCTGGGCAGTTTGACCATTCTTTTGTGATGCTTAACACTTTTGTTCCTGACTCCAGGTCACAGGCTCAACCTATTCATACACAAATATGCCCTTAAGACAGGATTTACAATAAAAAAGACAATGGGAAGGCTTCCCCCATTGTAGAGAAATATTTGAGGTCATTGGGAGAGTCAAAATGGCTTCAGGATTACTCTCCCATACTATTTCAGACTCATGGTTCATATATTTAGATATGTGTGCATTTATGAATAAAAAAGGTAAAAATAAAGGACCCCTGGATGGTTTAGTCCAGTCAAATGCGACTATGGGGTTGCGGCGCTCATCTCGCTTTCAAGCCAAGGGAGCCAGTGCTTGTCCATAGACAGCTTTCCGGGTCATGTGGCCAGGATGACTAAACCGCTTCTGGCACAGTGGAATACCATGATGGAAACCAGAGCGCACGGAAACGCTGTTTACCTTCCCGCTGCAGCGGTACCTATTTATCTACTTGCACTGGTGTGCTTTCGAATTACTAGGTTGGCAGGAGCTGGAACAGAGCAACAGGAGCTCACTCCATCACGGGGATTCAAACCACCGACCTTCTGATCGGCAAGCCCAAGAGGCTCAGTGGTTTAGACCACAGCGCCACCCATGTCGCATTTATGAATATTCTATATTTGAGTCCTTAAAATTCTTATAACACACTCAAACAGGGGTCACAAGGAAATGGCTAAACCTCCAACTGATTGCAAACTGGTGCCAAAGTAGTGTGCTGGTTTGGTGCCATTTTGAGCTGTAAACCCCACTTTTTGCACTGCCCCAAAACTGAGTAATTGACATTCAAACCGGGGGCCATCAGTATACCCCAAAACCCAACCTTGTCGGATTGACTGCAAACTGGTGCCAAAGTGGTGTGCTGGTTTGGTGCTGGTTTATGCCGCAAACCTCACTTTCTTCTTTTGCCAATTAATTTTTATTCATTTTTAAAATTTATAACACATCAGCACCAAATTAAAGCTAATTTAATACATTTCCCCCCAAAAAACTGGCTTCCCAGTCTCTTTCCCAGATATTTCCATTTCTTCCCCTTTTTCATTCTGCTTATTTTACAGATTTATCTCTAATTAACATCCATTTCTTTAAAGCAACTCTCAGTTGTCCGTTTACCAACTCCTGCGTCTATATAAAACAAAATTATCTGAGACTGACTGACATTTACAGACTCACTCTGAGGCAGACAGCAGCATAACACAATATACTTGCTGCTCTAACAGTTAAAACTTAACAACAGTAGATAACTGAACTAACTGGGGGGGGAGGATGCCTCAGGCATATAACATAGCAGGATTCTGTGCTACAGCATTAATTCTTTGCATATTATTTTGGATGCACCATTTCCACATTTTGTGATAATAATTGGAGGAATCTCCACCTAAGGGGAGACGCTTTCAATCAGAATTCTTTAAGCCCTTGGTAGCTGAGGCAAGATGGATTCTAGAACTACCAGATGAGCAGCCCAAGAGCCTTGGAAACAACAGAGCCGACTTCCGGGGTGGCGCCTCCGGAAAATGGCGGAATTCCCTTCGGACTGAAGGGAACCCGCTGCACGGAGGCTTGGGTCCTGCCGCTACGGCGCAGCGGGGACCCGCAAAACCACAGGCGGAAGAAGCCTGTGGACGTGGGACTCGGCGGGCACCGAGAGCGCTCTCTCCCCTTGTACAGGAGCCCGGTAACGGGCTCCGGAGTGGGAGGTGCGTGGTGCTGTGAGTCGTCTGCTTCCTCCGTGCAGCAAAGCCGCACTGCCGTTATCGGAGAGCGCTGCCTTTTTCCTGGACAATTTGGCATCTAAAATATCTATCCGTGAGTACCTGATCTTGGAAGAGTTGAACCACTTTTAAGACTGGTGAATAAACAAATAATATTGGACTTGAAATTGAACTTAATTGGGACTCGGAATGGGAAGGTCTAAACAGGAAGTCGCCTTCCGTTCTTTTGTTATGTGAAGAAAGCAAAGACAAAATATACTAAAGCTTGAAAATTAAATTCTAAGAGAACTAGAATTCAACATCTAAGATTTCTGAACCCCCTTTGACTGCAGGAGAAGAAGGGGGTTGTATTTGGACTTTTCAATCCTGCGGAAGTGAGTTTAAAATAAAGCAATTTTCCACCGCCCTGAACCAGGAGCGGGCTGTCAGAATTGACGTTCTGAAGTTTATCCAGCTCGACAGTTAGTTAAAAGAAGGGTAACATTTTGATTCTACTGTTGCCTCTTGAATTTGGAAGGGGAATTTTGGATAAAGTGTTTCTGGAAAAGAAAGATTGTTGCTGTTGCTTTTATTCCTTTAAAAAAAAAAAAAAATTACATATAGTGGAAATTATTGAAAATTCAACGCAGAGAGATTAAAAGAGAAGGACTATTGGACTATTCTCGTGGGAAAGAATTTTCTTTGACCTTGAAGGACAATGCTAGTACAAAGGCTTGAACAATTGTTCCTGGAAGGTTTTTCAAAACTAAGTGCCCAGCTGGACCAGATGCGTCAGGAGACGACCTTGATGATGGAAGTTACCAGAGCACAGCAGCAAACAAATGAAATTCAGTTAAAGGCTATACAAGCATATGAACCTGCTGTAGTGACGGAGGCTTCAGAGATGGAGGGACCTTTGGACGGGCAAGATCAGCCTTTGAACTTGATAAATGAACTTGGGACAAACCAGATTCGGAAAGATGAAATGTGGTCAGATTTGGAAATGGGGGATGGATCGACCCCCTCCATATGGTTATTTGGACCTTCCGAGTCTGGTGATGGGCTATCAGAGGATTGGAGTAGCCGAAGTCTCCAAGCTTTGTGGAAATTTGAAGTGGTATTATTTGCTGTCTGGCTTGGGCAATGGGTTTGGGATGGACTTGCTGCAAAGGGTCAAAAGCATTTTCTTGCTGGAGCATCCACGACTGGAAAGGAATCATCAACAAGAGTGGCGAAAGGGGCAAGAAAGAGACTTGAGGGCCTCGGATACGAGACAACCAGGTTAAGGAGCCGGATTATCGAGGTTAAAAGGACTGACAATCCCGGGTCCAGGGGAGGGGAGGTTGGAAGCTGACTGGACTGAATTTGACTTATTATTTTTCTTTTTATTTTTAATATTGGGAATGCTTACAAATGTTTGAAGGATGTTGAATGAAATTACATGGCTTAAGTAAGGATTGGTAAATGATTCGTAAAAGGTAATGATGCAAGAATTTGGTAAATATTGAATATAAGCTATGAGTTTTAAAGTTTTTATATGACAATAGAATAAGGAAACGTAATGACAGATTGTTATGAAAAAACAGAAAGGATTTGCTGTAAAAATTAAAAATTAAGAAACAAAAGAGGGGAGGAGGAGGAAGTCTAGAAAGGAAGTCAATAGAGATTGTAAAGGACTTTATATTTTTGTTTTTCTGTTTCTCTTTTTTTTTTCTTTGCGGCTGGGTTTTCTTTTCTTTTTGTTTATGTACTATCTTTGTTTTTTGTATCCTTAAATTTTTTTTTTGGAAATTTTTGTTGTTATTTTTTGAAAATTCAATAAATATCAATTATAAAAAAAAAAAAAAGGAAACAACAGAGCCAACTTCATCCAAAATAGAATCAAGAGTTTCATTTGATTATGTTACTTAAAATGTGGCACTGTTATTCATATTAGGGATGGTGTTTGGTTTTGCATGTGGAATTTGTGTTGTATTTCTTCTGCTGGGCTGTATCCAGCATTCTCTTTCAGATGAGCTTTAATGTTGCCCAACAGAGGAATCCGACACATCGTTTGCAAGGGGAATTGTGTGAGATATAAAATATGGTCACCAGGGGGTGTTCTCTACTAGGGATGAGATGATCAGAGAATTCCAATGTGCTT